ATTGTGAGCTCATAGGCTTCATTCTTCTTCAATGTTTCAGGACCAGGCATTTACATTTTTTTTTGGGACGTACTGGATTGTAGTGTTGTTTATTCGTCGTCACATACCTCAGCATGCAAATCTGGTTGAATCTGATATCATTACAATCGGTTTTCGCCCACTAGGACAACTGTGTGTGTGTTTACATATGGCCTATTGCAGTTCATCAGGACTCGGAGTGCAGCAAATCAGTTGCCTGGCTACCCAAACTCCTAACGCAACGCCACAGACTTTAGTTTCTTCTCCGCAATGAGTCTGGATCTGAGTACCTCCCCGACAATTTTAGAACGCAAACACATTCTAACCGTTCTGATTAGTCCCAGAAACCGATGGGTTGGGCCAGAGCCAGAACACACATGGGTTCCTCTGCCCCGTTTAGAAAATGTTTGATACTATGATTGGTTAGAAATGATCCTATTGCTGATGACTTTGTTTTGTCCAACACCCCTCATTTTGACGTCACCACAAACGACTTCAACGATGGCAGTCTGACTGAAGTATGTAGTGAACATAGAGCAGCGGAATAATTCAGCTTGAGTCATCAGGCAAGAAAAGCAGGGCCTTAGTGTTAGTTGATACAGTATACCAGCCGATATACCAGAGTAGTGAATGTGTTAGATACTGTGACAGTTTGGGAGAATTACCATTATTAGGCCTAACTCTTATCCTGGCATAGCTGAGCGCAATCCATTAGAGTCGTCAAGGCTTGATGATACAGTGTTTAGTAACAGTACAGTAACTACTAAGAAATTAGTTTTTGCGATGAAGCCAGGAATCAGGGAAGGGATGGAATGATGAGGGAGAGGGGTAAAACCTTTCACAGGCCCAGGGGTCACCATTCAGCCCCTACAAATAAAGGGCAAGTGGTCTCCTGGGCAACCAGCCCATTCATACACAGCACAAGGACATCATTTCATCCCTCTCTCATCCACCATTTATTTATTTGATGAAAAACAGGATCTATAATTCCAAATGGCACCCTATTCCCTGTAGTGCATGACTTTTGACCAGAGCCCTAGTCAAAAGTAGTGCACTAGATAGGGTGCCATTTGGGATGCAACCAGGATCTATAGTTCCCCTATAATAAATACAGCTTCAACAACATTGATTCAATATTTACATTTTAGTCATTTAGCAGACGCTCTTATCCAGAGCAACTTACAGTTAGTGAGTGCATACATTATTTTAATATTTTTTCATACTGGCCCCCCGTGGGAATCGAACCCACAACCCTGGCATTGCAAACGCCATGCTCTAACAACTGAGCTACATACCTGCCGGCCATTCCCTCCCATACCCTGGGCCAATTGTGCGCCGCCCCATGGGTCTCCCGGTCGCGGCCGGCTACGACAGAGCCTGGATTCGAACCAGGATCTCTAGTGGCACAGCTAGCACTGCGATGCAGTGTCTTAGACCACTGCGCCACTCAGTGTTATTATCTGATTATCCTATGGAGGCTTTAAAGCGGCAATCAGAAGTAGAAACAAAGGACTCCCTGCCCCTGTTTCGGTAAAAATGTAACCACTCTCAAATTCATAGACAGAGATGCAAGGACTGACCATCCATGATATCAAAAGTATAGTTTTAACCGTACTTTGAGGCTATACAGTGTTTGTTAACATTTACTTTGTTTACAAACAATGGAATATAACAAGCTTATATGTTGGCTTCTGATGGGGTATGACAGTTGAACTAAGCTCATGAGGCATTTTTTAGTTATATTCTTCAACAATCTGTCACGCTCGTTGATAGACGGCTCGGACCAAGGTGCAGCGTGGTAGGCGAACATATTACTTTATTAAATGAACACCGACAAAACAACAAAAATACAAATGAATGTAAAGTTCTGCAGGCTACACAGCACCTATACAAAAACAAGATCCCACAAACTAAGGTGGGAAAAGGGCTGCCTAAGTATGATCCCCAATCAGAGACAACAATAGACAGCTGCCTCTGATTCGGAACCACACCCGGCCAACAAAGAAATAGAAAAACTAGAATGCCCACCCAAATCACACCCTGACCTAACTAAATAGAGAAATAAAATGGATCTCTAAGGTCAGGGCGTGACACAATCAATGGTTACATATCATTATTAAATGGGTTAGATACGACAATGAGTTCTTATCAGATGATAAAGGAAGTGATTCCTTCTTATCTTCTGTCTTTGCTTCTTGGAAAGACTGACTTTGCTACTGAGCATTTCACCAGAATTTTACTGTACCCCCTTCCTCCTCTTCTCCTCCCCTCCCCTCCCCTCCTCCCCCTCCTCTCTTCTCAACCCTCTTTTCCTCTGCCCCTCGTTCTCCTGACAGTGTTGACAAACAGTCTTCTGAGACTCCTCCTCCACCTCTTCCCCTCTCCTCATTTTCTCACCCTATCATGCTCTTTAAGTACGGTCTTATAGTCTCTACCAGACTGGACTGCTTCCTATCAGCAAACTGTCACCCTGTCAACCCCCTACTCAGACAGCGGTCCTCAGTGTACACTGGCTGAGAACAAAGGTGAACACACGTTGACACAACAAGATGAAGAGAGAGACAGAGAGAGGGGGAGAGGGGGGCGAGAGAACGAGAGAGGAGAGAAGGGGGTGAGGAACCACTGACCGTGCGTTGACACGACACGATAAGAAGGGAGGGAGGGTGCTGAAATGTTAAGGATTAGGGATGAGAGAGAGAGAGAGAGAGAGAGAGAGAGAGAGAGAGAGAGAGAGAGAGAGAGAGAGAGAGAGAGAGAGAGAGAGATAGCAGAAGTAGTAGAGAGACGTAGAGATGCTAGATGAGAGATTGTGCCAAAATGTTTGAGAGGTGCAGAAAAGTTCAAGGGAGTGATGACACTTGCCTTGCTGCATCTACAGTAACAGTACTGTAGGGGAGTGTCAGGAAAAGTCCAGTCAGTCAGTAAAGGAAATAGTTCATCCTGAATCAGCTGTAATGTCTCCTCTTTATACACAACCTTGGACTACTGTGTTAGTGCTGTATGGTGTTGTGTACTAGTACGGCCCCAGTTTATTCTGTGCTGTGCTCTACAACCATTGCAAATAAGGAACAGGATAGAGGATAATGTCATTTTTCCTAAAAATAGTGTCTCACTCTGGCTAAGTGGATATTTCTGCTTCCAACCAAGGGTTTTGTGGGTAGTTTGGCTCGAGCTAGTCCCAGGGGACAAAGTGACAATCTTTCCCAGGAGGACTTGTGACTTGAATAGATCCCATTCCAAGTCCTAGAAAGAGCATACCAGTCTGTAACTGTGACTGACTATACTAAGAAAGTGAGGGCTGGATAGGAATGATGGGTGCAGAGACTCTATGATGTAGTGCAATGGATTATAGTCTGAGTCTTATCAACCAAGACTAGTTTGATTTACCAGCCCAAAGGTCAACATTTATCATTAGTTATGTCTTATGTCTGCGTAGTCTGATTGGAATTTGTAAGATCATGTGTGTCACAATCATTTAGACACTGTAGTACTATTGAACTGAATCAATTGGTGTTTCTATTAGGGTATTAAACACAGCAGGTTATTACCACGTTTCCAGTAATGCATTCATAACAGTAATGAATTATAAAATACTAGCACTGAGTTTGCCATAGAACTGTGCACCTGCCGTGGCTCCACCTCCTACAGGTATGACTCAAAGCCCAGCGGCTAGCTAGCTAGCATCCCTCCCTCCAGCACACTACACCATACAGCCACAGATGAGAACAGCACAGTGGCGGGATCATATGAAGCATGAACCATGAACATGAAAACCCCCCAAACAAGCTCTCCCTCTCCGTCCGTGTTATCATTTTGGAGTAAACTCCAAACTGCGTAGACCAGCTGTAGACATACTCTTCCCTATAAGGGCTTTGTTTGGGAGTTGAACTTGCCTGGCTGTTTAGGTCCATCGAAAGGCCTGCTCCAGAGAAGCAGGCCATATATGGGCATCACAGCACGGGACTGCAATGTAGTGGACGGTGCTGCACAGGGGAGAGAGGGAAAGAGAGAAAAAAAATAGACTTTATTGTTGTTGGAGCAATTTTTTTTTGATTAGGGTATGGGTTAACCCCTCACTTGTAAAAGTGAATAGCTAAAGGGTACTTACAGTACAAGAGTTGAAAAGATCAATATAAGTCCTTATCGCATATGGTACAGTTACTTAGAAGTCATTTCCCAGAGTCTATCTTCATATCTAAATTAGGCACTGTGATGGTTGTAGTCTCCCTTGTGGCTCGTGTGTGAGAGTGTAGGAGGCTAAGCCCGAAGACGAGGGTCTGTGAGAATTACTGTAGTCTGGGAGTTTCTAGATGGATGAAGAAATGTTATTAACCCTTTGAGTGTCCATGCCTTCTGTGAACGAATGGCTGGCAGTGGTAGGAGAGTATACATGTAGTGTCTGACTCATACACCATTTAGTTAACCCCTTGGGTATGTTGTTGCCGGACTGAAAACAGAGTTTTCTGTGTGAGAAAGTATTTACAGAAAGAATCATGCAAGGCTTTGTGGTCCTCTGTAGCTCAGCTGGTAGAGCACGGCGCTTGTAACGCCAAGGTAGTGGGTTCGATCCCCGGGACCACCCATACACAAAAAAAATGTATGCACGCATGACTGTAAGTCGCTTTGGATAAAAGCGTCTGCTAAATGGCATATTATATTATTTAAATCTATTCAATTATATATATTTTTTGTAATGACTCAAACATCTTGACCCCTAACCTGTGGTTGCCGTGCATGACACAGACCCACAATCCCCTTCTCTCAGAGTCAATGACTAGCCAAACCATAAACACATAAACCAAACCAAGTCAATCCAACCCAGTCTTTTAACATTTGAACATTTCTTCTCTCTTTCTCCCCCCAGCCCCCCTCTCTCTCTCTCTCTCTCTCTCTCTCTCTCCCCATCTCCAGCTGCCCCCCCTCCCAAAAAAAAAAAAGACAGAAGATCTTAGAAGATCCAAGATCCTCCACCGACCACCAAGATGGCTAATAAAAAACAGATGACTGAGGACGAGAAGTTCCTCTTCCTGGACAAGGACTTCATCAACAGTCCCATGGCCCAGGCCGACTGGTCAGCGAAGAAGCTGGTGTGGATCCCCTCTGAGAAGAATGGCTTCGAGGCGGCGAGCGTCAAGGAGGAGCACGGGGACGAGTGCCTGGTAGAGCTGGCCGACAACGGGAAGAAAGTGACAGTGAATAAGGATGATATCCAGAAGATGAACCCTCCCAAGTTCAGTAAGGTGGAGGATATGGCCGAGCTCACCTGCCTGAACGAGGCGTCGGTGCTGCACAACATCCGGGAGAGGTACTTCTCCGGGCTCATCTACGTGAGTTGGACTCTCTACGTTCACACAGATACATACAGTCATACTTGTACACACTCTACACAACCTGAGGTAAATTACTTCTGTCCCACGGCACAGACGTCAATTCAACATCCATTCCACGTTGGTTCAATGTAATTTCATTGAAATGACGTCGAAACAACGTTGATTCAACCAGTGTGTGCCCAGTGGGATAGGCCTATCTACATGAGAAGATATGGTCGTAGAAGCACACAGGCCCATAAATACTCACAATAATACTCACAGTCTTCACAACCTTAGAAAGAGGTCCTTGCTACCAGCAAAAAGGACTGTGATAATTTCAAACACAGCAATTGAATAAGTGTAGAATAACCGTGTTTGCTTATTATCAATAATAACCCTGCTTATCCATGTTTTCTCTCTGCAGACATACTCTGGCCTGTTCTGTGTAGTGGTGAACCCATACAAGATGCTGCCCATCTACTCTGAGAAAATCATTGAGATGTACAAAGGGAAGAAACGCCACGAAGTTCCCCCTCACATCTACTCCATCACTGACAACGCCTACAGAAACATGATGCAAGGTAGGTTCATAGTAACACATCTTCCTGTTACTGTAACTTCTTTGTCTTGGAAGGAAGGGTTGGCGTCGATTCAATTTCAATTCAGTCCATGAATTGACTAAAATGAAATGTTTGGAATTTCAGTTTACCTGCTGAATTGACTGAAATTAATGACATTTGAGTTGATCCCAACCCTGTTTGAAGGACCATGGTATCTCACCACAGCTGTTCTTCCTATCTAGCTTGTTACTATCTTGGGAGAATTGGTTTGGTTTGTATCATATCAGCTGCTACAAAACAGTGATTGCAACAGTCTTGCTTCAGTTGTCTTAAGGTCAACAAACCGACAAAACAACATTTTCAATAACTCAACGATAGCTAGCTCTTCAAGACTCTTCAAAAGTGACAATATTTTATATACTCAGCAGAAGACACTTCAGAAGTGACAATATTTTATCAACTTAGCAACTGCAGATAGTTTAAAAGCTAAGCCGAGCGTTAAGCTGAGTGCTAGGCCGTGCGTGCGCACCGAGAGCCTATTTAACGTGATTTGCGTTCTGTTGAAATGGGCTCTGACAGTTTTAAGAGCATGTTGTGGGTAGACTGTCGAGGCAGCTGTAAAATGTCTCACCTTTTGCCACTCGCCTGACAACATAAGAGGTTGTGATGAGGTATCAAGCCACAAAATTAGTGGTACACAAACACCCGAGGTGCCTTATTGCTTAAATATACTGTAGACTTACACGCTCTATCAATGCCCTCTATGGTCAAAAACCTCTCTTCCTGAAGTATGTGGGCTGTGAAACTGCATAAAAACAATGTAAACACAGCTTACTTCAATTAAAGTTCATGAACAGTGACGGTGAATAAGCCTTTTAGTAGCTCATTCAAAGAGAATTCTGGACACGAGGTGACGATGGGCCAACTCTGCTTACAGTAAATGCCAGTAAAGCGCTCCTGGCTAGCCCCTATAGTGCTAAGACTGAGAGAGCATAAGAGGCTAATATCCTGATGTGGACGACTCAGCGTTTCCCACAAGGCTTTGTTATGTGGTGCCATATGTCAGGGGTCATGTGGACTGAGTTGACCCCAAGGATTTGCTAAGGATTCTGGGGGATTCTTAGAGAAGCTTACTGACATCTGGATTTAGAGAGATGGAGGACAGGAAGTCGGAAGACAGTTCCTCTTCGAATCTTCAATAAAATATTCTCTCCATTTAGCCTTTTCTGTCTGTTGCTTTAGGATTTAAGATAAACTATGGACATTTAGTTGCTACAATATTTCTGTCCATTCCATTTAGATAACTCCTTTGGCAAAATTATCCCCTTGATTCAAGTACTTCATTTGTTATTGTGAATTCTAATCAGATTGTGGATATCAGCCCCTTATATGTTTTAAATTCTACATTTGACATTTGAGCTGTAAGTAAATGTTAACAGTGTATTTAAATGATAATAACTTGTGACAGTACATGTCAATACTGCGATGATAAATGACACTATACTGTGCAACAACAAGTTCTCACAAGGGCTTTGAGGTTTTATCACATTTCTACTATTGTGTCTTTTTTTACAGCCAGTCACTGTGTTGCTTGTCATGTGTCAACAAAACAGATCTGACTAACTCAATCTATAACCACACAAAGCAGAAACAGAGGCTGCTGTTCTCTTTCCTTACCAAGTCACTACTTCAACATTGTTACACTTCACAATTTTTACACCAGTGATCCAAGCTGAGCCGAGCCAAACCGTATTGCACTGGCCTGCTTACTCATCTACGGTAGCTGTGAAAATAATGTGAAACAAATGTATCCGAGTCAGCACAGTATGGTTCAGGTTGGCACGATCGTCTAAAAGGGTATTAGTGAACTTAACATTGCAGTCAAAGAGCTGAAAAACAACACCATCTCTCCTTTAGCCCTCATTTTGACCCTTTTCTGACCAATGGGGTCCTCCCAGAACATGACCTTGAAAGCACATTGTAAATGATGTAAGAACCAACCCTCTCCATTGTTCAAAGTGCTGCAGCATGATGAGAGAAGCTAGAATAAGCCCTGCGATGCTGGCCAAGCAGAAACACAATGACCTCACTCCTACTCGAGCTCAAGTTCCTTATGATGTAGTACACGGTTTAAGCACTGGATACATTTATAGTCATACGTTACAAAGAAGAGAGCAAACCCACTGACTTGATTATCCTCCTCTGTTTTTATCAGTCACTCCAACTTCATAAACTTGAAACCCCATGTTTATATCATTTGGATTTAGGTCTTAGATGGACTTTCTTACACTCATAAGTCACAGGGTAAGCCTGTGCGTGTGCTTGTGTGTGTGCATTATCTTTGAATTTACACACACACACACACACACACACACACACACACACACACACACACACACACACTACGGATCACTCTAGGAGCTGCATGCCATTCTGTGGGTTCTTGTCAGATAGCATTTCACTTGACATAACATTACAGCTTAGTCAGAGGTAACACGTTACTGTGTGTGTGTGTGTGTGTGTGTGTGTGTGTGTGTGTGTGTGTGTGTGTGTGTGTGTGTGTGTGTGTGTGTGTGTGTGTGTGTGTGAGTGTGTGTGTGTGTGTGTGTGTGTGTGTGTGTGTGTGTGTGTGTGTGTGTGTGTGTGTGTGCGAGTGCGCATGCGTGTGTGTGTGTGTGTGTGTGTGTGTGCGCAGCTCCTAGGGGTATCTGTCATGTGAACAGGAAACAAGGCAGGTTGAGGTTAAACAAAACCACCACAAAAATGTTAAGCCCTCATTGGATACATTTCTGAATTGTGCCACTGACACGTTTATAAACTTTGGAGTAGGATAACAAATAGTTAATCAATGTTTTTACCAGCGATTTGTACTAAGTTGGATCTATGTTGGTCTATGATTGTTACTCGATTTCATCTGTTTTGAGAAATATGGAGTAATATTCTTCCCCACATCTGATTATTTATTTATAATTTAAACAGCACTTTAGAATGTATCTAGATATGTTTAGCTGCTGGATGTGTAGGCGTGCTTATATGAAGAGTTTCTTTCCAAAACGCTATATATCCGTTTTCAGAAATGTTGGTAAATTAGCTTTTATTGTTTAAAGAACTTATGAAAGAGATTGGTGTGTTTTTTCACTGTCTAATCATGGCATGGGGTTGTTGAATGACAGACATGTATTTGTTTGAAATCTATCACTTGATGGTTTCATTTCAGAGAGACAAATAATCATGTTTTTTGCAAATGCTATATATCCGCCTCACTCTCAGAGAAATAAGTAGTACTGCTAGGTTTTACACAGTCAAATGTAACAAATAACTACATTTGTTATTAAAAAAAACTGTACAAATGATACATTTGTGACATCAATATCTAAAAATGAATCAATACAGTAATATGAGATCTGTATGTAAAACATTTACATTTGACATTTTAGTCATTTAGCAGATGCTCTTATCCAGAACGACTTAGAGTTAGTGCATTCATCTTGGTTGAAACAACTACATATCACAGTCATATATACAGGATACGAACATTCCATTCCAGCTAAACAGTGAATATACACTGAGTATACCAAACAGGAACACCTTGGATTCACCTGTTCAGTCTATGTCATGGAAAGAACAGGTGTTCAGAGTATATACACTCAGTCTATAGTGTTTTGCAAAAAAAAAAAAAAAAAACATTTTAATACACACCTAAAATCAATGAATAAAAAATCGGAGAACAGTAATATTTTAGCGTTTTGGGGGCCCTAAGCAAAATGTTGCAAATTTGCTGCAATTCTACTAATTTTGCCGTGGTGTAGAGAGAAAAATATGATTTAATATGATATCTGACTGAGAGTGACTAACAAAATCAATAGGGGCCCTCCGGTCGGTAATTCGACCATGATTACTACAAGTTTAGATAGCTGCCTAGACTAACTTAACCCCCAAAAAATGTTTTGCTGACGTGACTGACATAACAAGAGAAAAACTGCTGATGCACAACCAAATTTCGAAATTGCACTTTGTGTACTCTACTATTGTAACTCTCAACAGTAAGTTAAGACACCGACTCAACTTATTATTATAATTTTTTTATCAGCGGGCCTACAAAAGCTGCCCATCTCTGGTGTAGTGTATGACACATACTTTATGTTGATATGCTGTATGTGTAGGAATCTACCATCTTATTTACATGTACACACAGGAAATGTCTACAGCTATGGTGTGTGCATCCAGTGTCGTGAGTAAACATTATGATGATGGACGGTCAATAGCTCTACTCTGTCACTATGTTTAGATTTGAGAGTTCTGAGTTTTTATTGTTAACAGACTGATAGGATTTCCCACGACAGAATAGACGAGATGACTAATGGACTAATGGTACAGCCCAAACCCCTTAGAGAGATGACTAATGGGGCCTCCCGAGTGGCGCAGTGGTCTAAGGATGCAGTGCTAGCTGTGCCACTAGAAATCCTGGTTCGATTCCAGGCTCTGTCGCAGCCGGCCGCGACCGGGAAACCCATGGGGCGGCACACAATTGGCCCAGTGCCGTCCAGGGTAGGGGAGGGTTTAGCCGGCAGGGATGTTCTTGTCCTACCCCAGTGCACGCTGACTCGGTCGCCAGGTGTACAGTGTTTCCTCCGGCACATTGGTGCGGCTGGCTTCTGGGTTAAGCGGGCACTGTGTCAAGAAGCAGTGCGGCTAGGTTGGGTTGTGTTTCGCCTATCCCGTGTCCATACGGGAGTTGCAGCAATGGGACAAGACTGTAACTACCAATTGGATACCACGAAATTGGGGAGAAAAAGGGGGTAAAATACAGAAAAAAAAGATGGATGACTAATGGTATGGTCCAAACAAACCCTTTAGGGGGGTGTCGCCGTGCGATCTCTTCATGGGTCAACATGTACGTTAAGACTATCAACAACCCTGGCAGTGTCTGATATGGCACCCTATTTCATACAGTGACTTTGACTTTTTCCACATTTAGCCTTATTCTAAAATTGATTAAATTATTATTTTTCCTCATCAATCTACACACAATACCCCATAATGACAAAGCGAAAACAGGTTTTTAGAAATGTTTGCAAATGTATTAAACATAAAAAAACATGAATAGAAAATGTACATAAGTATTGCTATGAGACTCGAAATTGAGCTCAGGTGCATCATGTTTCCATTGATCATCCTTGAGATGTTTCTACAACTTGATTGGAGTCCACCTGTGGTAAATCCAATTGATTTGACATGATTTGGAAAGGCACACACCTGTCTATATAAGGTCCCACAGTTGACAGTGCATGTCAAGGCAAAATCCAAGCCATGAGGTTGAAGAAATTGTCCGTAGAGCTCCGAGACAGGATTATGTCGAGGGACAGATCTGGGGTAATGTACCAAAAAATTTCTGCAGCATTGAAGGTCCCCAAGAACAAAGTGGCTTCCATCATTCTTAAATGGAAGAAGTTTGGAACCACCAAGACTCTTCCTAGAGCTGGCCGCTCGGCCAAACTGAGCAATCAGGGGAGAATGGCCTTGGTCAGGGAGGTGACCAAGAACCCGATGGTCACTCTGACAGAGCTCCAGAGTTCCTCTGTGGAGATGGGAGAACCTTCCAGAAGGACAACCATCTCTGCAGCACTTCACCAATCAGGCCTTTATGGTAGAGTGGCCAGACGGAAGCCACTCCTCAGTTAAAAGGCACATGACAGCCCGTTTGGAGTTTGCCAAAAGGCACCTAAAGGACTCTCGGACCATGAGAAACAACATTCTACCAAGATTGAACTCTTTGGCCTGAATGCCAAGTGGCAGGGACTGGGAGACTAGTCAGGACCGAGGAGAGATCCTTGATGAAAACATGCTCCAGAGCACTCAGGACCTCAGAATAGGGCGAAGGTTCACCTTCCAACAGGACAATGACCCTAAGCACACAGCCAAGACAACGCAAGAGTGGCTTCGGGACAAGACTCTGAATGTCCTTGATTGGCCCAGCCAGAGCCCGGACTTGAACCCGATCGAACATCTCTGAAAATAGCTGTGCAGCGACGCTCCCCATCCAACCTGACAGAGCTTGAAAGGATCTGCAGAGAAGAATGGAAGAAACTCCCCAAATACCACGCTTGTAGCTTCATACCCAAGAAGACTCGATGCTGTAATCGCTGCCAAAGGTGCTTCAACAAAGTACTGAGTAAAGGATCTGAATACTTATGGAAATGTGATATTTCAGGTGTTGTTTTTTATACATTTGCAAAAATTTTGAAAAACCTGTTTTTGCTTTATCATTATGGGGTGTGTGTGTAGAGTGATGAGGGGGAAAAAAACGATTTAATCAATTTTAGAATAAATAAATAAATACTTTCCAAATGCACTGTATGTAGTGCATTACTTTAGACCAGACACAGCCTTGCCTGTCTGCTACATAATAACAGATAAAAGTCTTAGATAATAGTCTTAAGGAGTCTACACTTTTCTTAAGTCTCTTAACGGGGTTATCTACAATCAGAGTCTCTGACAATTCTGTGAAATCTTGGCTCTGTTCTCTCCTGGGAAGATTCACATTCCTTCACTAAGGCTTAGAAATGTGCCCTGCCTGCTCTTTGAAGTTTGAAGGGAATAGAGATGTGAAGTTCTCATGCGTTTGGGATTTGTATAAAAAGTTTCAGCTAGTGAGGATGGAGGATGATTTGGATGATGATTGAAACATTGTTTTTCCAATGCCATTGTCATAAAGGGGAATTTATATACATCTCTTATATGAAATGTTCTGTTTGACAGTGATTTGATGACAGGTCTTGGCTTTCTCTCTGGTGAACTCGTGATTGGGATGAGACTAGAGTGACCTTGGAATTTTCCCTTTAAAGCAATTGTAATTTGGGAGACTCCTTCGCTCATCTCTCTCCTCTCTCTCTCCTCTCTCTCTGTCTGTCTCTCTCTCTCTCTTTTTCTTTCTCTCTCTGTATTTTATTTATCTCACTTTGCACTAGGAAGTAGGGTGCTATTTCAGATTGGCCCCTACTCTGTTTGGCGTTTCCTCCTCTCCCAATGCCTCCCGTGCCCCGTGAGGTTCCACTCCCTGGCTCAGAGTTACGTTTGGTGTCAGTGTTGTGTTTTAATCTGTTTTGGGCGTGTTTGGAAATGCTGCACAGCCCTGGATGCCTCTCCTCTCCCTCTCTCCCCTCTGTGCCTTAATTAGGAAGAAAAGGGAACAGACAGCATTTTGCTGTGTGTGGAATGGAACCTAGCCCACTGCCAAGTCACATTCAAAGTGAGGAATAGCATCTTAGCACTCAGTTCTTTCCAGTTTGAGCAAAGCCATACAGGCTAGCCTGGCTAGTGTAGCCTAGCATAGTACATGTCCAGTAGGACCAGGGATGGGAATGATGGCCAGTAAGGAGAGATTTCAATCTTTGCGGCGTTACGCTAAATGACACAACATACGAGCCATGTGCTTTCTATAAGCAGATAAGGATAATGCATAGGGGGATTAACTAACCCTCTCTGCCTCTCTCTATTTCTTTCTCTCTCTATTTCTTTCTCTTTCTTTCTTTCTCACTCTCCTTCTGCTCTCTCTCCCTCTACTCCCCCTCCCCCGCTGTTTCACATAGGTCATGTTTAAATTGCACTAATAATATCCAAATGGTCTTTCTCTCCTCAACAGCATTCCCCAGACTCCAGACACACACACACAGACACACACACATACACACCCTGTCTAGCGTTTAAAGGGGGAAACTGTTTCGTTACATCCCTACATGAACCTTTAGGATTTTCCTAGGATTTTTGACGTAATCTAATATTGGGATCACTTATCAGGAATTGATAGTTATCTTATTGCTTAACACTTCAGGTGGACATATTTCTTTTTCAAAATCAAAGCATTTTTATTCTTTCAAAAATGTTATTCATGTTTTAGGCATGGGAAAGCCCTACCAATTTCTTACTTGAGCAGATGATTGAACTCATGCCCTGTTTGTACAAAGGTTCAACGCATGGCTGTACAAAGATGTGAACGCTTGGTTGATTTCTCTGGAGTAATAAAGTGTATGTTTCATATGGTAGGCTATGTGTGGGCTGAGGACTGCGCCGTACATTGAGACAGAAACAACAGAACGTCATCATCGCTTATAAGTTATTACTCAGGAGCACCACTACTGAAAACATAATACAGAAAGAGTTATAAAAATGAAATACTATCTAAATGTACAGGTAGCAGATAAACATACCAATACTCTATATGATTTACACACGTTTAGAAATGATAAATAGATATATCACGCCAAAGCAACTTAAAGTACAGTGAGTGCGTACGTTTTTGAATGTGACCCTAGTGGGAATTGAACCCATAACCTTGGCGATGCAAGCACCATGCTCTTACCAACTGAGCCACACAGGACCACAAAACTGCATCTTCTTGATTAACCAATCCAATTGTCTTACTATATGGTGTACTGATGTCAGATGCCCATATTGATACTGCATATGTGCATGTATGAGCAACTCTATCCTGACATCATGATTTTTATTTTATCTGCAGATCGTGAGGACCAGTCCATTCTTTGCACGTGAGTTAAAAAAATCACATTTGACACTTTACACTACACACTGTACATTATACACTATACACTATACACTTTACACTTTACACTATACACTATACACTTTACACTTTACACTATACAGTACATTTGATCCTAAAATACACCTTTTTCTCCCCTCATTTTTCCTAGACGTCACATAGTTGGATGAGGGAGGGGGGAGGAGGTTTGGGCAGGGGGATGTTGAACAGGGAACAGTAACAGTTATGTAACCCATTACGTAAACACACACTGTGTCCGAAATGACATCCTCTTCCCTATGGGCCCTATGGGCTCTGGTCAAAAGTAGTGCAATGCGCAGGGGGCTCTGGTCAAAAGTAGTGCACTACATAAGGAATAGGGTGCCATTTCGGTCACAGCCACAGTTAAACAAATGAGATACCTCTAACGTCAACATTACCTTTTTCCAGCCTGCTACTGCTCTATACTAACACACGGTGGTCTGTCTGGTGGGAATTAACACTTTGGGGACAACTGTGGTGAAAAGTCTGATTGGTTTGATAGTAAGGCTGACAGGAAGTTCAGTGGGTATTTTGGTGAATCTTAGCTGACATGCTCATGTCATACAGATGTAGGATTTTAATTTGAGCCAGTTTGCTACAGCAGGAAAATAATCCTGCAGCAACAGGAAATGTGAATTATTATGTGGATTATAATAAACATTTTTGCAAGGATTGATACATTTTTCGTTTATGGCAAATCAAGTCTGAAACGTCAAAGTGGAAATTAGAAGCCATTTTTCAAACTAAAATACACTACATTGTTTGCATTTCCTGCTGTACATGACAATGCTAAGCAACAAAATATTGATTAAATTAAGATCCTACATCTGTATTTTGTGGGAACCATTATCCAGGGAGTTGTGGGGTTAGGGGTTAGCCCTCTTCTCCTCTCTTCTCCTCTCCTTTCTACTCTCCTCCCCTCTTTCCTCTCAGAGAGACAGGAAGTGTGCCCTGTGTCCTGATTAGAAAGAGAGATTCGTTTTTGTTTGGGCTCCATTTTGTTTGTTTACTCGTTGCAGAGCAATTATTGAGAATCTCGCTGGGACTCTGGGAGAGAATTGGAATCTATTGTCTAATTCTAGTTACTATATAGGCTAGGAGTTGTCAGGTCACACATTCAGGAACATCTCTGGGCCCCAGTTCTAGGGGTTTTAGCTTGTCAGGTCTAATACACATAACACAACCCAATACACTTCAGCACCTCTTGGCATGGTGTTTGTCTGGTGCCTATTTACAGTAAGCCCTACTCTACAGTAAGTCAGAGCACCTTTCCTGTCAAGCCTCCAGTGTACCCAGTAGAGGAAATGGGAGGGTCCCTGTTTAAGTAGACTGCCGTGGAGCTCTGGGCTCCTTCTGTTCTAAACTGATTGATGCCAGGATGCAGCATTCTCTGATCACATTGGACTCACTTCCTGAAGTTTTTCCTGAACAATTTTTCAGAGAAGGCTTATTTGGAGAAGTGGGGTTTCATTTTCCTGTTTGTTTGTTGTAGTCAGGGAGGTTGGTGATGCAGTGGGGGTGTGGTTGGAAACAGGCAAGGTTGGAGCTATAGGGTTTAAAATTCTAGAAACGTTCCAATGTTTTCCCCATGTTTTTCCAAAATCCCTGTTGAAAGATTCCTGGAATCAGTAGGGTAAAGTCAGGGAGGACATCCTCCAACAGGGATTTCTGAAAAACCTGGGAGCTTTAGGAAAAGTTACCAGAATTTTTGCACCTCTATTTGGGGCTGTGAGTCAGGTCAGCTAGGTATAAGCTTAGTGCTGATCATACTCTCTATCCATATATAGGAGAAACGTACGCTACAGGGAATGTCATGTATGACATGCTCATAGTGTGTATGAAATTACACTGATGTATTATAAAAACACATGAGCCAGGGACTGACTGTATTGTCTCTATAGTAGACAGGGGTTTGACCTGGTGATGATAGCATTACTTTGTAAAGTATATTGATAAACATGACATAGCACATGTCATAACACGTCATGGCATACATAGCCAACGTAGCATCTTAATTTGATCACCCTGTTGCAGGATAACTTTCCTGCAATGCAGGACATTTAAAAGTTGTAGTGTATTTGAGGTTTAAAAAGGCTTCTGAAGTTTGTAATTTACACTTAGAAATGTCAGACTTGATGTTCCCTTACGAAAAATGTATCAACCCCTACAAAAATGTCCATTAATTATAATCCACATAATAATTCACATTTCCTGTTGAGCTGGAGTATTTTCCTGCTGTAGCAAACTGGCTCAAATTAAGATCCTACATCTGTATGGCGGTAAACAATGTACTGTACCATCATCTTTTGAAGTCGGGAGTCTTTGATTTTAATTTCTGCATTTGTTATGACAATGTAATAGCATTTATATGATGACGCTGTTTATAACAGGATTGCATAGGCTTTGTGACAGACTCCTCTTATAAATGGTTAGTTTTATAAGATGCATTTCACATAAAAGTTGGAACATAGACAAAACATGAACTAATGGACTGCTGTTAGGGTGTGGTATGTTGACAATATCGTGTTCTACACAGACACACACTGCAGTGTCCTATTACATTGATGAATTTCTCCTCACAATCCTTAGTTACAACCAAAAGAAGAATGCATAGGAAGGAGCCACATAGCTGACTAAATCCTTGCTTGGGGTCTTGACATCTCATTTATATGGATCATCTCTTTCTCTTTAAGAATTAGAGTGTAGGAAGAGACCTAGCATCATTTCCAAAAGTGAACCAGACCTGGGTTCAAATACTATTCAAACTCTTTCAAATACTTTGAGCGGTTGCTCTAGCCTGCCCAGAGTGCCAGATGGGCGGGGGTTTACTGTTTTGGGACTATTCTATTTTGTCCAATAAGCCAGGCAAGCTCAATCAAGCACAGACAAAGTATTTTAAATGATTTTGAATAGTATTTGAACCCAGGTCTGGAATGAACATGGCCACCCATCCTATTCCAAAGCCCAGGATGCTGACCAGCGATCCAGACCAGTGATCCACGGTGGCCACCCTGACCCTGGGATGGTTTAAGACGTAAACTGTGTTAGAAGAGGAATCCCCTCACTTAGATATACAGAATGTGAGGTCTCTGTCTCAGAGCCTATAGGTCTCTCAGAGGCTATATCCAGGGATGATGGAGTTCTGTGTTTTTACAATGTGTTGAGGCCTTGGTAGTGTTGTTCTAGACCTGGTGTGAGGAGTGACGCTGTAAGAGGTGAGCTGAGGCCTGTATGTGTTGATGCATAGAGTTAGTGTAGTGTAATTTTAGGTTTTTGTATGAAGTTAGTGTTGGGCCTGATGAGAGTTTTGGTGTGTTGTATTTCGGTGAGGTATGAATGTTGTGACAGAATTTGATGATAACATTCATAAGGGATGTAGGTCTTCGTGGGAGTGTAGTGTGCTTTCAGGCCTGATGTTCAGTATTTGCTGTAGTATGAGGTTAACACCTTGTATAGTGTGAGTGATATAGTGTGAGTTGAGGTCCTGTGGATGAGTTACATGAAGGATCTTAATTTGATCACACTTTTGTTGCTGAGAATTTTCCATCACCTCAAGAAATGCAGATGAGCTTCGTAATTTACATAAATTCACTGAAAACCCACACTAACACAAGGTTATATTAACAATATTGCACTTTTCATGTAGCCTACTTTTGGCCAGCTAATAGCATAACCACCAATCAAGCAACATTGTGGACTAAACGTTCAAATTATTATTTTACTGTGACAATATAGTTCAAATTAAGAACTTACATCTTTATGGTGGATAATGGATAGATTCCTGGCCGCCCAGCTGGCCCCATGACAGACATCCTCTGGTGGATCAAACAAACACCTCTCCTTTTATGGAGTTGTTAGAGCCAGCTGGACGCTAGGCTGGGATCATTCAGACAGCAGCATTGCGTTTGGCGTCTCCAGCATTTAGAGATCAAAGGTCAATAAATACCCTCCCTCATCCTTCTGTAGTTTCCTACCTCTGTTAAATATGTCCAATACCCACCCTTGGCCTTCTGGTTTAGAGCTGTAGGATATGTCTTATACATGTGTACCCTGCTTCCTTAAGCCTCAAAAACACCTGGATTAGGAATGCTGTTTTACCTGGATCTGCCTTCAGTGTACATGGATCTTTCCAGGTTATCAGACCTTTCTTTGGACCCACTGATCCAGTAGTGGGTCAGTCTGACCCTTTAGTTTCCTTTTATTATGGTATAAAGCAGTAGGGTAGGGCTAATTATTTGTTAGAGAGACACACACACACACACACACACACACACACACACATTCACACAGGAAAAGGTTGGATGGCATTACATTATTTTGGACAATAAAAATAACATTGTGCTTGGGAGTTGATGTTGTTATTTCACTCAGTCACTCACGTGGTTCACGTTTCAATTAAAGTGAGTTATTGAACTGTGAACAACCTGTCACCTCTCTCGCTCTCGCTCTCGCTCTCGCTCTCGCTCTCGCTCTCGCTCTCGCTCTCGCTCTCGCTCTCTCTCTCTCTCTCTGTTCCCCCTGTTCCCCTCTCCAGTGGGGAGTCTGGTGCGGGGAAGACAGAGAACACCAAGAAGGTCATCCAGTACCTTGCTCTAGTGGCCTCCTCCCACAAAGGCAAGAAGGACACCAGTGCTGTAAGTATACTGCAAATTACAAAGGTTTTTTGTATAGTTTTTGTCATTGTGCCGTCAATGCCAAGTGGCCATTGTGTGTCAAAAGTGGGGACCTACCCAAGCCGGTTTCCATGCTCTAAGGGAGACTTGGCCAGTGTGTGAGGAAACTGCCTGGTTGAATGATAATTCTGTACCGCAATTTCCTCCAAATAGACACAACCAGGAGCATTTGTCCACGTGAGTAAAAAAGGGAATGCCCCAAGTGTGTTTTGTGTGTGGTGGTGTGTGCGTGTTTTCTCCTTGAAAAAAGGATTGCATGCGAGAGTGGCTCACTGACTGAGTTTTCTTTTTTGGTAAAAATACCTCAAATATTTCTGACAAGATCCCACTGCTATCAAGTACCTCATCTCCTTTGTTGTTGAGCTCAAAATAGGACATTTAAAATGTACCATAACATGAGCAATATCATCCCATATCCCCATTGTATAACAGTGCGCTCATAACTGTCCAATACTACCATGGACCTAACAACTAAAAACTGCATGACAGTGATTTGTTAAGTTGACATGCAGCCCTCTCCTCCAAATACAAAATGGTAGATCATATGTCAGATTATTGACTTTATATTCCCCCTGAGATTGGTTGTTATTGTTATGTCGTCCATGGTTTTCCAAAAACACTCTTTCACTGCCTGGGGTTGGAGCCCGGCATTGAAACGTTTAACCACCATCACAGATCAACAGAGCACAGTGTGAGCATGCCCATCTACCTTTTCCTGTCTATTAAACAACATCATATTATGTCACCGAACCCCCCTACCCTCCTGCCATTTTGCCCTGTGGGCGTTGTGGCAGCGTCTTGCTCCTCCGTAGCGTTACACAGTAGTTGTTCCACCACTTTTGATGACTTGCACCAGTGTGGAGTTTTTGAGACACCATGTGACCTACCCATGACCTTGTGACCTCTGACCTTTTCATCACAACAACCAGCTCTCTTTCTCTCTCTTAGCCCCTGATTAAAAAAACATTAATTTTCAGACAGCTCTCTCCTGTCGGAATCACGCCTGAGTGAGATTCAAATAGTTGGGGGTGGAGGGGAGAGGGGGGAGGGGAAGTAATAGTCATCATTGTACAGCAATGAAGGGATTAACTTCCAGGTCAAGGGTCAAAATATGTGTTTTTCTTTGCCATTACCCCTCAAGACCTTGACGCCTCAGGGATCGTTCCTCAGGAGATGCAGCGAAGCCCCGTCATAATTTCAATGTCCAGCCTACTCTACTACCCACTGGGCACACACAGGTTGAATCAATGCTGTTTCCACGTCATTTCAATGAAATTACATTGAACCAATGTGGAATAGACGTTGAATTGACGTCTGTGCCCAGTGGGTACTTAGTATGAAGTGATGTATTGGCCATGCAATTTAATTAGTATGCTAGTGTGGAGATGAAAATGTAATTCATTTTTTAGAAGCCTACCACCAGCGGTGAACTTAATATGCCTGATTTAGAACTAGAATGTGTCTCTCTCTTCTCCTCCCACAGCATTGTCCTTCCTCCTCTCCTCCTTTATCTCTCAATTTCAACAGCCTGTTAAAGACTGATCCTTCCTGTCATCTGTCATTTCCCCTTGCAGTTTCATTTTTTGTCTCTTTCTCTTGGGGACTGTCTGAAGCAAGCAGGACCTTATTTTCCCTGCTGAAATGTAAAGGATCTGGTTGCTACTCTCTTTTCACTCAAATAACAGTAACTCATTCTGTTTCAAATCCATTAACTTGGGTGAGGTTTATCTTTATTTGACTGGTATTCTGCTGGGGATTTGTCAATAAGAAGATTAGGTTGATGAGTCTGTGTTAGTGTTATCATCAAATAGTTTTCTCATAGACCTAGATCTGAAAGGCATGTGACTGACAAAAGTGTTCACAGACACCTCTGAACTCCAGTTAAATCATTTACCTTATTTACCTTAATTTGCCCTGTGGTTTTGCACAACATTGTCCTGGTTTCAACTCTCCAGTCTAAAAACCCTCATTGACAAAACAGGTGTAAGGACCACAACAAGCTATCATTCTCGGATAAACCATCAACCCCCCTACCCCCCCACAAGCCAGAGGAGCCTTGTTAAGTGTGTTTGTGTGTGTTTGTGCGCACGCGCGCATTCCCGTGCGTGTGTGTGTGTGTGTGTGTGTGTGTGTTCGACAGAAGTATGTCTGCCTCTGACCCGGCCGGTAAGCTAGCGCAGGCCCTTTGATCAAACTGCATAGAGCTAGCTACAACAATGGGGTACCTGGCTCTGTTACAGTACACACACACACACACACACACACACTGGACTGGGTGCATTCCAGAATCACAGATCCTATGTAGGTCCTGCACAGATTATCAGATCTGTACAAAGCCTAGAGAAATGTAAAATATTTGATTTGTAGGAAGCACCTCTCTCTAGAAATAACATTCCTGTCATCTCTGCGGACCTGGAACACACCCGCTGCCTACCTACTAACCCATACACATATACCCACCCTCTGCTCTGGCCCCTCTCCAGACCAGCAACACTCTGAATCTACCACCTCCAGCCACTCCCTCTTCACATCCTTCCCCTGTCCCAGCCAGCAAACACTCTACTGGGCCTCATTTTAACAATCAGGCCCTAGTTGTCTCAGTTTGAGGCAGATTAGTAGTGAAATAAGTCATGTTGGTAGGACGTGTCCTCAGTGCATAGAGACTAATAGGGGATTAGATGTTCTGGAGTAGTGGGTGCTGCCCACTCAGTTATAATGATATTAGGCCCAGGCACAGTATAGATATACACAGTGTAGAGATGATATAGGAGTCTAAACTGTTGAAAACAACTGTGTTTGTTGTTTTAGGATCTATTTCTTTCTGTTCTTTCTATCTTTAGAAAATGTTCTTTTTTCAATGGACTTTTGTAGGGCTTGTGCTGTTGTTCCAGCCTTCATTTTACTATTCTATTCACAAATGAATAATGTCACAGATTTAGTTTAATGTTTGTCATGATGATGTTATCTCCAGGGGGAGCTGGAAAAGCAGCTTCTGCAGGCTAACCCCATCCTGGAGGCCTTCGGAAACGCCAAGACCATCAAAAATGACAACTCTTCACGATTTGTGAGTTTACCTTTCGCAGATGCAGACACGTAGGCCTAAAGTATTTAAGTGGGTCACAGAGTAGTGTCCACTTTTCATTAATCAATTCATTGATTAAAAATATTTATTAATGTCATTTGTATAATGACCCATATCTTTTTGTGTTACATTCATTTGACAGCTGGATGTATACTCTACCACATTGTGTAACATATGACCTACTGTAATCCTGGTGTACCTGTTCCCTTTAGGGTAAATTCATCCGCATCAACTTTGACGTGACTGGCTACATCGTCGGAGCCAACATTGAAACCTGTATCCTTACACAGTGTTACATAACTCTAAACTGGGGGATCCAGGTTCAGAAAAGCTGTTTTTGTGTTCACTACCCTGGGAAAACAGCTACAGTATCTCCTGTGACTCCTGTGTTTGAACAGTAAACATGAACCCAGGCCCAAACCTGCGGTATTGTACTGTTGACACATTCCTGTGAGAAGTGTCATGGGTTCTCCTGTGACCGACGGTAAACACTGGGGAGGTCGTTGGCACCTGCACAGTGACAGTCTAACAAATGTTGTCACTCCAATAGGTCTGGAATGGAATGATGAGATAAGAAATGTTTAGGTTGGAATGATGTATTTGGGTCATGTTGTTTAAAGATGTTTTGGTGCAGAGCCCTATTTGTAAAGGTGCATACATACTGTAGTCACAAGTTGCTGAACCGTCCATGTTATCACATACAGGTTGCCAAGAACGGATCAGAAATTGTGACAGCGGTGAGATAATGAAGCTCCAGTGTTGGCGGAATCATCTAATATAATGTATATTCTGTGTATAGTTCACCATGTGTATTCACTGTAAGATAAACAAGTAGACAAGCTTGGTTGTAAATAAGTTTCTTTGGAATGTTTTCCTCTCAAGCATTAACTTGAAACTCCATCCAAAGCATTAGAATGTATATCCTTAACGGCTGTTTTCAGACCTGCTGGAGAAGTCTCGTTGTATCAGACAGGCCAAGACAGAGAGAGCCTTCCACATCTTCTACTACATGGTGGCTGGGGTCAAGGACAAGCTACGCGGTAAGATCTGGGTTGTGTTCCAAACAACATCCTATTCTCTATGTAGTGCGTTACATTTGACCAGGGTCCATAGGGCTCTGGTCAAAAGTAGTGGACTCTGTAGGGAATAGGGTGCCATTTGGGATGTAGATCTGGGTTCCTGATCAACATGATTGTCATGGTGGAGGAGAGATTTAATCTGTAATGCAGGACAGGCAGTTGTGGAAGTCCCCCTTTTCATCTCATCGACCCCAGACAACCAGAAGCAGAATCATTCTGTACACGATCAAATACAATTATTTCTAGATTTGCACACGATTGAACAGAGCTCGAATTTCTAGAACGCTCCACTCCATCAATGAAAACCCTGAACTGTTGGTCTTCCAGAGGCGCTCCTGTACATGATTGAACGTAGAGCTTGAATTTCTATAACTGTCTGCACTCATCATTGAACACACTGAATCTTTGTCATTCCAGAGGAGCTTCTGCTGGAGAACTTCAGCGCCTACCGTTTCCTGATTGCGGGCCACGTCTCGATCTCGGGCCAGCAGGACGACGAGATGTACGAGGAGACCATGGAGGCCATGAGCATCATGGGTATCACTGAGGAAGAGAGGACAGGTACTGTATCAATCAATTAATTTGTCAATCCATCAATTCAACAAATCACCACAAAAAGTCCTGCATGTGGCCATGAACATCATGGGCCTCACCAAGGACAAGAGGATAGGTAGTTTATCAATCAATCAACCAACCAACCAATCAATCAACCTATTCATGAATTGAATCAACTCATCAATTAATTGATCAATCAATCAATTATTCAGTCACCATAACAAGTCCTGCATGAGACCATGGATAGCATGGGCCTCACTGAGGATGAAGGGATAGATATGCTACAGTACAGGGCCATTCTATTCAATCACCACCACAACAAACTCTTCATTACTAGGGCAGTTACACTATACTGTATATATTATATGAAATAACTTTCAGGAACAACCAGGCTATGACTTGGGTCTAGAGTTTTTTCTTCTAGATCACATGGTTAGGATAACCCCCTGGCCCTACATCAGCACGTCAAATACATTAGACACAGGACAGTAGGTGGGCAGATCTTAGATAGCTAATGGTGACTGACTAGCTAGGCTGACAAGGCAAAGAATATGGCATGTCATGGCGGCCATTTTGATTTGTCCCTGTACTTACTGTAATTGACCTGTGCTGTCTGTGTCCTCTAGGCATCCTGAAGGTGTGCTCCACAGTGCTGCAGTTGGGAAACATAGAGTTCAAGAAGGAGAGGAACCAGGAGCAGGCCACCATGCCCGACAACACAGGTTAGAGAAGGACATCAGATGGCAGATAGTGAACAAGTTTTGTATATGTTATGTTGTTATTTGACATGGTATGTAGTATGTTATTAATGTGTAGGACAATATCACATTTACTTTCTTTCTGAAATGGGTCTTTGTTTCTAACCCCTCCAGCGGCTCAGAAGGTGTGCCACCTCCAGGGCATCAACGTGGTAGACTTCACCAGAGCCATCCTCACGCCTCGCATCAAAGTGGGCAGAGAGGTGGTGCAGAAGGCCCAGACCAAAGAGCAGGTACATGTTGCTTTGGCAGGCTGAAATTCAGACAGTCCTGCTCGCCTGTTTCCCAGACTCAGATTTGATCTCCTGGACTAAAAAACATATTCATAGGAGAATCTCCACTAAAAGTGCTTTTTGGTCCAGGAATAGGCCCTACTGCTGGGCGGAATTTGAGACTGTTTTAAACTATGTTTAGTTTTCAGTTATCCATATTTTATACAATATCCCTGTGTTTCTGTTTCCTCCAGGCTGACTTTGCCATCGAGGCCTTGGCCAAGGCTATGTACGAGCGTCTTTTCCGCTGGCTGCTGGCTAGGGTCAACAAGGCTCTGGACAAGACCAAACGCCAGGGAGCATCCTTCTTGGGCATCCTCGACATCGCTGGCTTTGAGATCTTTGAGGTGAGTGAGGGGATTTATATGATTGCATGGAAGGATTCATAGGATTGTATGTACGGTATCTTGGATAAGACTTGGGCTACATGCTATATGTAAAAGTTGAGCTATTAAGATGAAGGGAAAGACTTGGGGGCCTAGCACACAACCCTGTGGCACACCAAACTGTCTTTAGTGAAAATGCATGTTTTTTCCCCTTCTTCTCTCCCTTCTCTTGCAGGATAACTCCTTTGAGCAGCTGTGCATCAACTATACAAACGAGAAGCTGCAGCAGCTGTTCAACCACACCATGTTCGTCCTGGAGCAGGAAGAGTACCAGAGGGAGGGCATCGAGTGGAGCTTCATCGACTTCGGCCTGGACCTGCAGCCTTGCATTGAGCTCATTGAGAGGCCGGTGAGTGGGGAGACTGTAAAAAACACTCTTTAGGTGTAAAATGTATACATTCAAGACATTAAATAGATACAGATTAAGCCTAGTCCTTGACTAAATAGCATTCTCAACGTAGATTATACATTGAAAGAGTTCAGGTCTAGGCTTAATCTGTGTCCTGGAAACCTTTCCTAGATATAGTACATTAAGAAACCAGGAAAATATTTATTTGAGTTATGTTTTCTCCACAGAACAATCCTCCTGGTATTCTGGCCCTGCTGGATGAGGAGTGCTGGTTCCCCAAAGCCACAGACGTCTCCTTCGTGGAGAAACTCATGAACACCCAGGCCAGCCACATGAAGTTCAGCAAACCCAAACAGCTGAAGAGCAAGACTGAGTTCTCCGTGCACCACTATGCTGGAAAGGTGTGTATCTAGCTTCTTTGTGGTGCTGTGTGGCTCAGTAAGAGGGTAAGAGGGACAAGATTGTGGGTTCAATTCCCACAGGGATCACATACAAATACAATAAATGTGTGGTGTTTTGCCTGTAGGTGGACTACAATGCTGATAATTGGTTGACAAAGAACATGGACCCTCTCAACGACAACGTCACAGCACTGCTTAACAGCTCCTCCAACACGTTTATCCAGGAGCTCTGGAAAGATGGTAAGTCCCCCTGGACTCCAGTTAGTAGTTGCTTTTTTAGCATAGAGATGGAGTCTCAAGATGGATGCACATACCCTTTAATTTTGTGTGACTATCTCTGATTGAAAATATTGCCTCCTAAGCGTGGTAACCAGATCTATTCCAGCATTAGCCAACTCGTGTCATGTTTGGCATACAGGCTACCAGGCTATGAGACTGCCAGTGTCCTAACCTAACCCAACCCAAATCCTAAAACAAACACCCCTCCCTGTCATAATGTGCCTCAGCGGACCGCGTGGTGGGCCTGGAGACCATGGCCAAGATGTCCGACAGCTCCATGCCCAGCGGCTCCAAGACCAAGAAGGGAATGTTCCGGACCGTGGGTCAGCTCTACAAGGAGTCCCTGGCCAAGCTCATGACCACGCTGCACAACACCCAGCCCAACTTCGTCAGATGTATCATCCCTAACCACGAGAAGAGGGTAGGCACCAGGCATAGACATTATTCACACTGTGGCCATTGTTCAGTAGAACGTTCAGCTGTGACTAAGGTCTATTAGGCTGCAAGGCGAGGGAGGTTCCCTTCACCCTGTTGCCAGTGTTTAAGTGGAGTGGAGAAACCCACTTGATTCAATTTTAATTATATTTGATTCAATTCAAGCCTACCTCAATTCACTACTATTGTTTCCCTTGTAGGGGCATTCCTTTTGAAGTGTAGTTGTTTGTTGATGCAGAGGAGAGGTGCAAGCAACTCCCTCTATAAAATTGTAAAACATACCATATTAGATTAGCGGCAAGACGTCCTGTTTGTCTGATAAAGGCAATTTAGGACATTTGAATGGAATTCAGTGTTTCCCCCCCCCAGTTGTGAAGGAGTGTTAAGTATTTTGTTCTCCAACTGCATTTTCTAAGTTTTCACTTTCTACCGTAACCTTTTTAGAACAAATCTAAAGAATAACTTTACATACTTATTTCTATTCGTAAGGTAAGGAGCCGTAAATAATCTCGCCCTTACTTTAGTGTTTGCTGTGCTTGTGTGTTTGTAACAAATTGACGATGTTTGTATACAATATGTAAAGAAAATGTAATCATATCCATTGATCCTATGCCCTGATCCTATATCCTGATCCGTTGTCCTCAGGCGGGGAAGCTGGACGCCCATCTGGTCTTGGAGCAGCTGAAGTGCAATGGTGTGTTGGAGGGCATCCGTATCTGCCGGCAGGGATTCCCCAACCGGATCCTCTTCCAGGAGTTCCGGCAGCGGTGAGTAGACTTGAATGGAAGAATCTGTTGCCTTGGCCTGGTTAAACCAGACTGGACACTGTCACTCACCATGGTTTCAGCATTCAGTCTGGTTTAACCAGACTATACTATTGCCTATCCAGTGCATTCAACATCGAAATGTATCACACATAGCCTGTGGTAAACATTTCTCTTAAATCAGACTTTCTCTCTGTCTCAATATTTTCACTCTACAGTTACGAGATCCTGGCAGCTAGCGCTATCCCCAAGGGATTCATGGATGGCAAACAGGCGTGTGGTCTCATGGTAAGAAAGTGGAGCAATTTCCAAACCCTAGCATCAGGACTTTCATAATATCAAGTCCAGCAATAGAAAAACAGCCTTACATATTCTCTTCTCTGAAATTCTACCAAGACACCAAGTACCAAGATAGAAACCAGGTTGGTAGAACTCTACTAAGATACCAACTCTGCCACATACCAAGCTACACTGAACCGAAATATTAACGCAACATGTAAATTGTTGGTCCCATGTTTCATGAGCTGAAATAAAAGATCCCGGGACGGGACGACATGTCCCCAGTGAAAGCTGCGCCCCAGGATCATTACACAGGTGCACCTTGTGCTGGGGACAATAAAAGGCCACTCTAAAATGTGCAGTTTTGTCACACAACACAATGCCAAAGATGTCTGAAGTTTTTAGGGAGCGTGCTATTGGCATGTTGACTGCAGGAATGTCCAGCAGAGCTATTTCCAGAGAATTGAATGTTCTGAAACAAATCCAAAAATGTCCCAGTTCTTCCATGGCCTGCATACTCACCAGACATGTCACCCATTGAGCATGTTTGGGATGCTCTGGATCGATGTGTACGACAGCGTTTTCGAGGTTCCCGCCAATATCCGGGAACTTTGCACAGCTATTGAAGAGGAGTGAGACAACATTCCACAGGCCACAATCAACAGCCTGATTATCTCTATGCGAAGGAGATGTGTCTCACTGCATGAGGCAAATGGTGGTCACACCAGATACTGACTGGTTTTCTAATCCACGCCCCTACCTTTTTTTAAAGGTATCTGTGACCAACAGATGCATATCTGTATTCCCAGTCATGTAAAATCCATAGATTAGGTTCTAATGAATTTATATCAATTGACTGATTTCCTTATATGAAATGTAATGCAGTAAAATCTTTGAAATTGTTGCATGTTGCGTTTATATTTTTGTTCAGTATACATCATCACTTCCCCTTTTCTCACATTCCCTTCCTGCCTCATTTCCTGGTTCTGTAGATTAAGCACCTGGATCTGGACCCCAACCTGTACCGGATTGGTCAGAGTAAGGTCTTCTTCCGTACTGGCGTGTTGGCCCAGCTGGAGGAGGAGAGAGATCTGAAGATTACGGTGGTCATTATCGCCTTCCAGTCCCAGGCTAGAGGTTTCCTGGCCAGAAAGTGAGCAATGGCCTCAGAGTGTTGACACTGCTTTAATACAATAAAGCCTTCAGTCTATGTATCAATCAATCAATCACATTTTATTTATAAAGCCCTTTTTAAATCAGCAGATGTCACAAAGTGCTATACAGAAACCCAGCCTAAAACCCCAAACAGCAAACAATGCAGATGTAGAAGCACGGTGGCTAGGAAAAACTCCCTAGAAAGGCAGAACCAGGCTCTGAGGGGTGGCCAGTCCCCTTCTGGCTGTGCCGTGTGGAGATTATAACAGTACATGGCCATTAAGGCCAGATTTCTCTCCAAGATGTTCAAACGTTAATAGATGACCAGCAGGGTCAAATAATAATCACAATGGTTGTAGAGGTTGCAACAGGTCAGTACATCAGGAGTAAATGTCACTTGGCTTTTCATAGCCGGGCATTTAGAGGTTGAAATAGCAGGTGCAATTCTACCCAGCTAACAAAATGATGTCCTGGGAACGTCCCCTAAATGTTAGCGTATGTCCAGGGGACGTCGCAATTTAACGTTCCCAGGACAGACGTTTGTTCTATTTTTCTGACAGTTCTGGTTCTGAAAGTGCCACTATGTATGCTGTTATTTCCACAGTCCACAATTGAAACTGAATCAGTGAAAATGGCTTTTATGAGCCAATAAATGCTACATTACAGTGGTCAATGTTGGTTCCGCTCCTATGTTCTAACAGGGCCTTCGCTAAGAGACAGCAGCAACTGATGGCCATGAAGGTGATCCAGAGGAACTGTGCTGCCTACCTCAAACTCAGGAACTGGCAGTGGTGGAGACTCTTCACCAAGGTAGAGTTTCAACAACATTAACTAATCAACTCACTCCATTAATTGATGTCTGTCCTAGTTACAAAGGAAATCATATTTTGACTTTGGTGGCGGATGCAGTGTTGACCAAGTCATGTCGTCCTGACTTGCAGGTCAAGCCTCTGTTGCAAGTGACCCGCCAGGAGGAGGAGATGGGCCTGAAGGACGAGGAGTTGCAGAGGGCCAAGGAGTCTGCAGTGAAGTACGAGTCAGAGCTGAAGGAGATCACCCTGAAACACACAACGGTATGTATGGGGGACCAATCGCCACGAACACCCCAGTCTATGTGCTTTCCACAATATTTGTAGGGATTGTGTTGCCATTGTTCAGATATTCTTTTGAATTAAATTACTATTGTAACCCTTTTCACCCCTTTCATTGCCTCGTAATTTAAACCATCACATTTACATAAGAAGTGTTTTGAGATAAAAACATTAACACTCAAGAAAGTTTGGTACCCCAGGGTTGTGTGCTGGGCCCCCTACACTTTTCTTTCTATTAAGCTCTCTTTGCTTTTTCTCTGGCTCCTCTACTATCCAGATTGTGGAGGAGAGGAACGCGCTGCAGGAGCAGCTGCAGGCTGAGACCGAGCTGTTTGCAGAGGCGGAGGAGATGAGGGTGCGTCTGGCCGCTAAGAAGCAGGAGCTGGAGGAGATCCTCCATGAGATGGAGGCCAGGTTGGAAGAGGAGGAGGACCGCGCTCAGGCCCTGCAGGTGGACAAGAAGAAGATGCAGCAACAGATGCAGGTTTGTTTGAGCTTTTTTTTCCTTCTATGTCTTTCACCTTGACTTTGTATTTTGGGTTTTTAGTTTGGGGTGTGTGTTGCTTAAGCTTGTGCCAGTCATGTTAAGTCATGGTGGTAGCCTAGAGGTTAGAGGGTTGCTGGTTTGAATCCTAAGTCTGGCAGTTCTTCTTGGTTTGTTTTTAGGACCTGGAGGAGCATCTGGAGGAGGAGGAGGATGCCCGTCAGAAGCTGCAGCTGGAGAAGGTAGCTTGTGAAGGCAAGATCAAGAAGTTAGAGGACGATGTCTTAGTGATGGAGGACCACAACACCAAACTGTTAAAGGTCAGTACCATGTCTCAGGCATCATATGAGATGCATTGTCAAGGCTATGGGCCATTTAAAGGAAACATTTGTGTGTTTTCATCTATCAAGAGAGACTAATGGCTCAATTACAGTATCATGTCTCAAGCATCATAGAAGAAGCATTGTCAAGTCTCTGGGCCCATGAGTCCATTGGAGATTTGATAATGACAGTTGATCTTTGCCATTTGTCCACTCAATCAGCGTTTGATGAAAGCAGGGGTATGACGTTGAGGATTTACCCTGTTTGTTTACCTGTTTGCCATGTTTACCCTGTTTTAGGAGAGGAAATTAATGGAGGAGAGGCTAGCAGATTTCAGCTCCAACCTGGCAGAGGAGGAAGAGAAGTCCAAAAACCTGACCAAGCTCAAGAACAAACACGAGTCGATGATCTCTGAACTTGAGGGTTCGTATCCATCTTTTAGCCCATCCAGACATCAAATAAACCACTCTCAATGGATACCACACCTATTCAGTTATCAAGCAACAATGCACATCTTTGTCCATACAAATAGTGGCTTTGAGGGTTTTCCTGACCATGTGACCTGACCAGGAAAAACTCCTGGCCATATCCATACAGTAGCATCCTATATCGTAACCAATCCGTGTCGTCCTTTAGTTCGTCTGAATAACTTATTGAAGCTATTCAGCCACTACACACATCTTCATCCATAGAGTAACATCCTCTATCTTCCTCTATCTTTTGTCCTCTAGTCCGTCTGAAGAAGGAGGAGAAGGGTCGGCAGGAGCTGGACAAAGCAAAGCGTAAGCTGGAGGCGGAGTCTAGCGACCTCCAGGAGCAGATAGCCGACCTGCTGGCTCAGATCGCTGAGCTCAAAGCCCAGCTGGCCAAGAAGGAGGAGGAGCTACAGGCTGCTCTGGCCAGGTGGACACCAAACACTGGATTTTATTTTAATTATTCTTTCCTTGTGAACCGAGTGGCGCAGCAGTGTAAGGCGCTGCATCTCAGTGCTAGAGGCGTCACTACAGACCCTGGTTCGATTCCAGGCTGTATCACAATCCGGCCGTGATTGGGAGTCCCATAGGGCGGCGCACAATTGGCCCAGCGTCGTCCGGGTTTGGCCGGGGTAGGCCGTCATTGTAAATAAGAATTTGTTCTTAACTGACTTGCCCAGTTAAATAAAGGTAAAATAAATAAAAACTTCAGTTGTTTTAGAGATCCTCACATGCTACTGTGATAAAGCCCACATTACACTTGTATATGACCTCTAAAACACAGCACCAAATGTAACAGTACCATCTATTGATCTTAGCATCAGCTCAGAATACGCCTTCTTTTATTAGTGATATGTTTTATTATCTTGAAATCATCCACAAACAACGTATTAACAATGTATAAACAACACATAAACAATGTTCATTACCCCCTTTTTCCCCTAGGCTAGAGGACGAGATGGCCCAGAAGAACAATGCCCTAAAGAAGATCCGGGAGCTGGAGGGCCACATCTCAGACCTTCAGGAGGACCTGGACTCAGAGCGCCAGGCCAGGAACAAGACTGAGAAAGCCAGGAGGGACCTGGGAGAGGAGCTGGAGGCCCTCAAGTCTGAGCTGGAGGATACACTCGACAGCACCGCTACCCAGCAGGAGCTCCGGTGAGTACAACTACTAGGCAGTGGCTCTGTTCCAATATCCACACTGGCATACCACTTAGTATGAAGCAATATATTCTTAGTGAATGCTAGTATGGATATTGGAACATAGCCATTTGGTCATTTGTCTGTATATTCATACAGTCTAGGGTAGTACTTGGTCTATTCAATCACTCATGCAATTCATCAACCATCATCTATCCATCCATTATTTCATCCATTCATCCATCCATCTATCCACCCACTCACTCACCCACCCATCCATCCATCCATCCACCCTCTCATCTCTCTGCAGGGCGAAGAGAGAACAGGAGGTGACCCTGTTGAAGAAGGCCATGGATGAGGAGGGTCGGACCCATGAGGCCCAGGTGCAGGAGATGAGACAGAAACACACCCAGGCTGTAGAGGAGCTCACAGAGCAGCTGGAGCAGTCCAAACGGGTAAGGAAATGTAGCTATACTACTAGGCCTGGTCAAGTGCCCAAAGTTCTTTCTCTGATTGTATAGCATCATCACTGGCCAGATTTAACATGACTCTAACTGACTACATTTTGAAGCATATGATAACTTCATGTGTGCATGAATCCATCTTCTACAGAACATGATACATTTTACCGTTCTATTATGGCAGCTCTATGTATTAGGATACGGAAAAATCTATATGTAGTAGATGCTGAGTAGGCAAATATATATTATACTTCCATTGACTGGTTGAATCCCCTTCGTCTCTGTGTCCCCCAGGTGAAGTCGAACCTGGACAAGGCCAAGCAGGCCTTGGAGAAGGAGACGTCGGAGCTGACGGTGGAGGTGCGCTCCCTGACCACGGCCAAACAGGACGTGGAGAACAAGAAGAGGAAGGTCGAAGGTCAGCTGAACGACCTGCAGGCGCGCTTCACCGACAGCGAGAAGCAGAAGGGAGAGCTGGGAGAGCGCTGTTCCAAGATCACTGTGAGTGACAATGATGAGGAGTCGCACAATGATGACATCATTACACAGAGCCCATATGGTCATAATTCATTAAAAATGTGGACCTGCTGGCACACCCATAGACCCACGCAGGGCCCTTATTCTTTGTAGAATGATAGAATGATATTAGTTATGTAGAATGACGCACAATGAAATAGATGAATGGATGAAATAGTCTATAGATATAGAAGACACGTTTCACTAAAGCTAGAAGAGATGCTGACTAATATCTCTTTCTCTACACAGATTGAACTAGAGAGTGCCACCAACCTCCTGAATGAAGCCGAGGGGAAGAACATCAAGCTGAGCAAAGATGTCTCCACCCTCAGCGCCCAAGTCCAAGACACACAGGTACAAACACACAACACATCCTATTTATTCTGTACTGCGTATTCAAGAAAGGATGCTAGCTAACATTTTATTTTCAGTGAGACATTAGCAACGGGACTCACTGTAACTGCTCTGTGTTGTTTAATGATGGTTTATGATATCCTGTATGTAACACTTGTTGCTCATTGGTTGGCGTTTGATACTGAACTTTGACCGTTGACTTTGTCTCTGCCTTCCTCAGGAGCTGCTGGCTGAGGAGACCCGTCAGAAGCTGCAATTCTCCACGAAGCTGCGTCAGATGGAGGACGACCGCAACAGTCTGCAGGAACAGCTGGAGGAGGAGGTGGAGGCCAAGAGGAACGTGGAGAGACACGTGTCCACCCTCAACATACAGGTCAGAGTTCACACACAGTCAGACACTGGAGTAAAATGGTAAAACCTCAGTGAGATGGATACTGCATGTCAAGAGATCCATCTTGTTACCATTTCAAGTGGACATTTCCTGTGCCTTATGTTCCCAAAACAAGAGATTGTAGTAGTCATTCAGAGTTAGCGTATTGGGACAGTCAAATACAGCATCCACTTAAGATGAAGACTAGCTGGAAATGAGAAGGTGTTCTCAGTCAACTAACCTGGTAAAATAACAGTTTAACAAAGAATAAAAACATGAAGAAAGGACGTTGATACACTTGTTTACACAATTTTCCTTGTGTCACCAGCTGTCAGACTCCAAGAAGAAGCTAGAAGAAATGGCCGGCAACAATGAGCTCCTGGAGGAGAGCAAAAAGCGTCTTCAGAGAGACCTGGAAGCGTCCAACACCCAGTTCGAGGAGAAGGCCTCGGCCTACGACAAGCTGGAGAAGACCAAGAACCGTCTGCAGCAGGAGCTGGAGGACATCCTCATGGACCTGGACAACCAGAGGACCATCGTCTCCAACCTGGAGAAGAAGCAGAAGAAGTTCGACCAGGTCAGTCAACCAACTGCAAAACTGGTTGACTTAACATTATAATGATGGAAATGACACAATACCAACCAGTTTTGCCTGCTGGGTACAACAGACATATCAAAATGGCTGACACTAGTCAAAACAATTGTGACGCATGTTATGTTAAAGATAAACAGGGTGTAGGAGAATGTAAATAAGGAGAAATTGTTTACTTAAATCATGCATTAAAAAAAGACTCTTTAACTACTTTTTCTTCTCTTGAAAGTCATATGAGCTTACCTTCTCCACTTCACTCTTTCTTCCAGATGTTGGCCGAGGAGAAGACCATCTCCAGTAAGTACGCTGACGAGAGGGACCGTGCTGAGGCAGAGGCCAGGGAGAAGGAGACCAAGGCTCTGTCTCTGGCCCGTGCTCTGGAGGAGGCCCAGGACAGCCGGGAGGAGCTTGAGAGAGCCAACAAGGCCCTGAGGACTGAGATGGAAGACCTGGTCAGCTCTAAGGACGACGTGGGCAAGAGTGTGAGTGTGGACAATCAACTTCTCTGGAATCTATGGCCCAGTTTCCCGGATACCGATTAAGCCTAGTCCTGGACTAAAATGATCTTTCAATGGAGTCTCTTTCCATGGAGATTGAGCATGATTTTTAATCCAGGACTAGGTTTAATCACTATTTTTAAAATGGCAATGTTCTAAAACCACCAATAGGTGGCAGGCATGTCCACAACTTTTTCTCACCCACCCACCCCTCCATCCCCTCCATCCCATCCATCCCATCCATCCTATCCATCCTATCCATCCTATCCATCCTATCCGTAGGTCCATGAGCTGGAGAAGGGGAAGCGTGGGCTGGAGGCCCAGGTGGAGGAGATGAAGACCCAGCTGGAGGAGCTGGAGGACGAGCTGCAGGCTGCAGAGGATGCCAAGCTGCGTCTGGAGGTCAACATGCAGGCCCTGAAGGCCCAGTTCGACAGGGACCTGGTGGGACGTGACGAGATGGGAGAGGAGAAGAAGAGACAGCTCATAAAGCAGGTAGGGAAAGAGGAAAAACTGTAAAGAGGAAAAGCCGCCATTTTGTTACACAGAAAAGGGGTAGGTTCATGGCTTAACTCTCCAGGATGTTCAAGCCACTCTTGAGCTATACAATAATGACATATTCACAGCAACAAATGATGTTGCTGAATTGAGCTTGTGCTCAGCCTTTGCTTTCTGCATGTGTGGTCCCCAGGTGCGTGAGTTGGAGACAGAGCTAGAGGACGAGAGGAAGCAGAGAGCCACGGCGGCAGCAGCCAAGAAGAAGCTGGAGGGAGACTTGAAGGACCTGGAGGGACAGATCGAGATGTCCAACAAGGGACGCGATGAAGCCATCAAACAGCTGCGCAAGATCCAGGTGAGTGGAAGTGAACGATGATACTGTAACACATGACCTTACAGTGATACTGTTATGTTATGATTATGTAGCATTATGACAGCCTATTCCTTATTTAGTCATATGTAGTAAGTCTTATGTAGACTTATGTAACTGACATTCATGGTGTAAAATGAATACAGCTAGTGTGAGATTTGGCTATGTCTTTGACAATACCCCTTATAAAGCATTATGAAAGCCTTATGATGCCTTATAATGTCATTATGTCATTCCATCTCCAGGCTCAGATGAAGGACTTCCAGAGGGAGCTGGAAGATGCCCATGCAGCCAGAGAAGAGGTGCTGGGTACGGCCAAGGAGAGCGAGAGGAAGGCCAAGAGTCTGGAGGCTGAGCTCATGCAGATTCAGGAGGTAACGTAGCCTGGCTCCCTGTAAATAGCATGGCAAAGTGTGAAATGACACTCTATTCCCTATATAGTGCACTACTTTTGACCAGAGTGCTATTGTGTGTGTAGGAGCTGGCTGCTGCTGAGAGGGCACGGAAACAAGCAGAGGCCGAGCGGGATGAGCTCTCCGACGAACTGGCCAGCAACACCTCTGGAAAGTAAGTAGAACATTTACTAAATTAGTGTGATGTTAATAGCATTATAATGCCTCTTGTATTTCACAATTGTTCCTCAGTCAAATGAGTGGAATTAATTGGAAACAGTGAATTGAACGCAGCATTAGATGGTGGTGTGGTGTAGTGAAGCATTGTGTGATTGATTAATTGATTGAATTTATTTGACAATTTGTAAAATTGGGCACTCCAATTAAGAAAATCATCAAGGATAACACAATAAAGCTTAACAACTTATTTCCATTTGGTCCTTTTGAAGAGGAAAGGGGGAACGGGGAATGCAACAAGGTTAGGTGGTAATTGTAATGGCAACAGACAATGACAGACAGAAATTGTTGTTTGTTTCATAACATGAGAAAATTTGTACAATTTAATTTCCTATTAAACAACTATGGACAGGTACATCTCCCTTGTCTCACATACCCTTAATATATACAAGACAATCAATCCTTAATATATACAAGACTATCACCATATAATAAACAACAGGCACCAAAAGGCAGACCATATGCTATCCTGGGTATTTCCTTCTCAGGCACATACTATAATCTTACCACTCACTTTTTGGACATGCTACTATTTAGCCATTTTTTCATTGAGAACTTGAAACTACCTATGGTGGTTATTAGTTTCAAATTCTTCAGAAGACTATTCCAAAGAATGGCAGCTGAAACATGTGGTGGTGTAGTGGAGCATTAATTGTGTGACTGAAACGTTGTGTGGTGGTATAGTGAAGCATTGTGTGACTGACTGTTTCCTGTGTGCTGTTTCCAGGTCAGCCCTGTCTGATGAGAAGCGTCGTCTGGAGGCTAAGATCTCCCAGCTGGAGGAGGAGCTGGAGGAAGAGAGCAGCAACATGGAGATCCTCAACGACAGACTGAGGAAGAGCACTCAACAGGTTAGACTGGCAGGATCCATCCTCCTAATGGCCTTAAACACACTGTGACCACACCTTAACACACTAGGACCATACCTTGACCTTTTATCAACCATGCTTTGAACACTCATTGACCACACTTTCAACACTCATTGACCACCTCTTGGACACACATTGACCATACCTTTAACCCTCAGTGACCACATCTTGACCACTCTTCAAACTCAGGTGGACCAGCTGAATAACGAGCTGCAGACGGAGCGCACCACCTCCCAGAAGAACGAGAGTGCCCGGCAGCAGATGGAGAGGCAGAACAAGGACCTAAAGGCCAAGCTGCAGGAGATGGAGAACCAGGTCAGAGATAATAGATTTACTGAGATAGGACTGCCGGGGGTTTCTCCCCATTGAGAAAATATTAAGTGTCCCTACTTTCCGGTCTGTCTTAGTGGGCGTGTAGTGTACCGTTGTGCCAATGTAATGAATTGTGGGGTCTCTGTTTTTATAATCTCTGATAAGGTCAAGTCCAAGTTCAAGTCGTCCATCACCGCCCTGGAGGCCAAGGTGGCTCAGCTGGAGGAGCAGGTGGAGCAGGAGAGCAGGGACAAGCAGGCCGTAGCCAAGGGCCTGCGCCAGAAGGAGAAGAAGCTGAAGGATCTGATGATCCAGGTGGAGGACGAGAGGAAACAGGCCGAGCAGTACAAGGAACAGGTATACTGTTGTGTCATGCTGATGCCAGTCTTATGTCATATGAACACCCTCTTCTTCCTTTCTGCTAATGGCAGTTATGACACTCTTATGAACCCCTCTCCTCCTCTCTCCTCTCCTCCCCAGGCAGAAAAGGGCAACACGCGGATGAAGCAGCTGAAGCGCCAGCTGGAGGAGTCGGAGGAGGAGTCTCAGCGCATCACGGCTGCCCGCAGGAAACTGCAGAGGGAGCTGGACGAGGCCACCGAGGCTAATGATGCCATGAGCCGCGAGGTCAACTCCCTCAAGAGCAAACTCAGGTACAGTGTGACCCATGACCCCAGAGTCAGGGTGGTGTCTTTGGCAAGAGTCCCTGCTCCTGACCCCTATCCTGTGTACTATAGTTTCACTGTGCTCAAATCACTCGATAGAAAAGGATGATCACACCCCAAATCAAGGCAGGTCCAATATATCACACAGAGTAGTTTCATAACAACCACACTGAAATTTCACAAAATCACCAATTAGCCAACCACAATTAAATATTCTCCCAATAGGCAAAGGAGCATAAGGTACCCTTTTTGGGCTTGCAGATAACAAGTTGAACACTGTACTACAGTATATCTGTTTCCAACACCATGGTGTGTCCTCTGGAAATCAAAGCCTTTCTTGAATCTTTATTGCAGAGGCAACCCAATCCCAGAACCCAAGGAGTAACGTAGCAGGTACCTCTGCGTTCAGAAGTTACCCCGTTTATCACCATTTCATTTTAACTTTCCATAACTTACCCCCATGCACTCTTGTCCAACTGACTGTGCCATTTCTCCGCCTGAAAGAGTGAAATATGGTTAATCGGTCAATATATTCAATAGAGCTCATCTGATAGAGCTCATAGTCTGAAACAGTGCAAGAAAAGTGTATTGCACTTCCATTGTGTTCTTTCTACCACTGGTGACCATATTTTTCTCCATGCTTGGTTTATTTGCCCTAAACCAAACTCATTTCTCTGTGTCTGTCTAGCCTGGTTCCAGATCTGTTTTTGCTGTCTTGCCAAATCCTATGGTCTCCGATGACCATCGGAGTTGACAATACAGCACAAACAGTTCTGGGACCAGGCTAGCGTCTGTCTAGACAGGAGTCAAATGAGTTAAAGATATAACCGGCCGGCGTGCAGCGTGCCTACTGTTACTATAACATCTCACTCATTCTGCATTTCAGCGATGCCATTTCATCTTCCTCGTGTTCAACACGAGTGTTTTTTACCCAAGTCTAACAAAACGTAGTAGACAAGTTACATTCAATTATGTAGTTTGAGCTTAATAGACCATTGTGGTCCCACTTTAAATGAAGGACAACTTATAAAGGCTTTATATAGCATGCAAAAGGCCTCATAAGAACTACATAAAGGCTTCAGAAACATCTATAAGCGTATGTCATACTCTATAAATGGTGTATAAAGGGTGACGTAACAATTCCCAGTGTAGGGTGAATTGCCAAATGTGACATAACGCACTATGTATGTTTATACACCATTTATAGTATGACATACGCTCATAGATGATTTGTGAAGTATTTATGTAGTGCTTATGAAGCCTTTATGTATGCTATAGAAAGCCTTTATAAGTTGTACTTTGTTTAAAGTGGGACCATTATTGTAATAAGATGTCAAAACTGTATTAACAGTGACGATCACAACCTGTCTGGTAGGTATTGTTAGACATCCATTTTAACTTTTGTTAATCAAAATGGTGGACAAAGGTAGAGTGATATACAGACGCAGACAATGGGAGCAAAAAGTCTTTCAACATTGTCCTGAGGTTACCAGGAAACCTAGACTAGTCTTGCCCATAGCGCTTCTCATCTGTGTGTGTTTGTGTATTTGTATGTGTGTCCTGTGTTTGTGTGTCTTGCATCGGTGCTGTCTGTCTGTCTGTGTTTCAGGCGCGGGACCGAGCCCTCCTTCAGCAGCGCACCACGCCGTGTCGGAGGAAGCACCCGGAGAGGGGTCATCGATGACGCGTCAGAAGAAGACGGGGACTCACAGGGGGACTACAACGGAACCAAGTCTGTTGAGTAGAAGAGGCCAAAACCATCCAATCAAATTCAGTATTACAATCATCCAACCAATCAGACTCAGTATTACTGTATGCACCTGTGCCAAACAGACCCGCTTTACCAAATAACACACAAGTAACTTCAACCTTACTCTTTCTTTCATATTACTTCCAAATATGATTCTCTATATCAGTCACATATCGACTGCCTTCTCGTTCAGAGCACATAAGGCTTTTCACAATTCAAAACAGACAAAATGGAGGCATAAGAGACAAAGGCGTAATAATGAATTTAGTTTCATTTTAGTGCCTGGGATGTTAGTGTGATTTGTTGTTCTTTTGCTACACTGTTTTGTACTGCACTGAATTACTTGTCCCTACGATACTTCCTTTGCTTAATGTTGTACCCCTCAAAGGTACGTAGGTTACATGTTGTTCCTTATACTCCTTTTGCCTGGAAGGATAAATCCAGGTGTTACTATTCGTCACTTTAATTAATTATAATTTATAGGCATCACATTGTATTTCTAGATTTATACATCTAGCGGTCATGTAAATCTATAATTCTATTTCTATGAGGACATTATGACATGCCCCTTCTTCTACACTGCTGTTAACTTTTTAGATTGTTATAGAAGAAGGTCAATGCAGGCAGATTGTATACTATGGTAAATGGTATACCCACCCAGCTAAAAAATAACTGATGTAGTCCAAATGTATTTTGTTTGTATTCAGAATAGCTGCCCCAATATTGGTGCACGGTTGCAACCATAGCAACTGTTCTGTTTTGTCTGTGGTAAGGACAGTGAATCGACCATATATATTTCATACTTTGGAATATTTTTCTGACTGTCAAGTATGGACAGCAGAACACCTTTCTACTTTTATAAACAAAACCAAAGTCACCCCTTTTTCCTATCAGACTTTTCTTGTTCCTAAATTCTAATATAAAATGATATATATATATTAGTATCAACAAGACAGATACATTTTAGGTTGGTGTACCTCGCCATTGACATCTTGTTAGAAAGTAGAACATCATCAGCAGGAATAGTGTCATGCCATCAAGGCCATTTTGTGTATGTCCAGATGCATATTCAACAAAAATATTTTTTGGTTTTACCCGCCACTGGTCACCTTTACAACATTTTGTCTTGTTTTTACTCAATTGACGTTTACATGCCACTTCTTCAATCTATAAATTGTGGAACCACCTGCACGAGAAATAAAAGAGTGAAAAAGTAACCCTCCTCCTCTCCTATATGTCTGTCTCCACACATCCTGAATGATATTGCCAAAAGCATGTTTAGAATGTTCATTTTATGTGTTCATTTTGATACAAAAAGGATTGCAAACCAACAGGTCAAAAGGTAGAGCACCTCAGGTGCATACATTTCAATGTAAGTCCAGACAGAAGTTAGTATGTTAGTAACACACCCACAAACGGTTGCCAACGGTTACATGTACAGTTGTAAGAGAAGCTCTACAAATGGTACTTCCTGGTCCCTAGTTCATACACAACAGCAGAATACTTCCATTAGACCTGCTGCTGTAACATCAGAGTTGTTTTGTATACATATTATCCTGGTCTCAAATCTGTATGTGTTCTAGCCAACTCCTTTATCACGAACATGATAGGGGAATTGGATAAAGCACATATGGATGGAACCAATATAAACCAATGATATAAACACATTGTTACTAAGTACAAGCGTTCTCTCTGTTGTTGAGTAGTAACATGCCCTACGGTCATATCCATCCTTGATATCAGACTATTGCTCCTCATTAGAAAGACATATAAGGCTAAAACATTATCTTTTAAACAGTACGTAATGAATTCCAAGAAGTCACAAATCCACCAGAATTCAGATGTCCACCATTAACAGTGTAACCAAGGCATCATCATCATCATCATCATCATCCATAATAGTTTCGGAAATATAGTATGAACTGTGCTTTATCTCTTAACTCTATTCAGTAAAATCGAACTCTATTCTGTCAAATCTATTAAGATCTATTATTGCTATTTTGTCATCTTTGATAGTTCCCTGATCTGATATAAGATCAGTCTTTTGACAGGAAGTCTGGGTTGACTGAACTGCTCAAACTGAACCAAGGCTGTCTTTAGGCCTCTTTCTATTAGAAACATCTATAATATAGATTCTATAGTATAGAGTCTATACATTCAGCAGTGCAGTGGTACCTCCTAACTCTCCAACTCATAAAAAACTAAGAACATATACAAACGGAGAGAAGAAATCTAAACAAACTTAAAAACACTGAAGAAATGGCAACTTTATCAACTGTGGTAACAGAAAGAAACGTCTTTGCCAAAGACCTAAGCTACATTTGAGATTCTCAGAAGTTAACTCGATGCACTTTCTCTGTTCCTATATCTTGCCTACCCTATAAAACATTCTGCAAATGCAAGACAGGGTATAGGCTAGTCTGTGCATTTCTCACAGATAATACTTTTTCAAGTTACCAGGTAGAAGACCTTTAAAATAAACTATATTCGTACATTAATAAACCATTGACCTGTAAAGTAGTAGTACCCATAACAAACGTCAGACTATCCTTTGCTTTTACAGCAGATGACAATAACGCAGCACAAAGAGAGGAATAATACCCATTCTCCAAAAGGTAAAGCTAGTCTAACTTACCATCTCCGACACTTACATATATATCCTCTATAAGCACCAGGCTTAGCTACGAACGGACATGTGCGATGATCAGAGGGCTAGACATACAGAAGAAACTATGACTAGGCAAAACTTACATGTGGAGGTACTGATACATTGATAAAAGGCAGCAATGGCTAAATGCTAACACCACCAACTGTCGACCAACTTCACTCTTCTGCTACCGTTGGCACACCAAGAATCCAAGATGGCGTCCGATCAGAGAACGTGGGTACAAGGACAGGGTGTGGGGTATGGGGGGGGTTAGTGGCATAGTAGCAGGGTTGGGGTAGTAGTAGCAGGACTTGGGTTCAGAGGTCAAGGGATCAGCAGGAGGACATGCAGCGAGGTCAAGGAATCCTCCCTTATATTATTCATTAAAAAAATAAAAGCTGTAGAGTAGCATCGTGACGCGGCGGTTCTTCTCAGCAGAGTCCATGCAGCAAATAAGTGGGGAGAGGGAGCGGCTTTCTGGTACATAGTTCAGAGTTTGACTGAGGTGTGAGGATGTTCAGCTGGTAGTGTAGTGAGAGGGGGACACCGTTTAAAGCCCTACTGCTGGGTAGTACAGTCTGGTGCAGGGGTGTGAAGGTAGAGGGGGAGGGGGGCAGGGGAGGCCCTCGTTTCATAGCAGGATCTTGACTCCCCCTGATGGTGACTGGGAGCCATGGGAGTGGGAGGAGACTCCCCGAGGAGGCGCAGGTCCAAACTCTAACCGCTTCACCAAGCTGAAAGACAGAACGTCTACCATGATGAGCAACACGTAAATCCACAACTTCATTTTCATGTAGAACATCAGACAGAATGTTAAGAGGAACAGAACAACAACAGATCCCACCCAGTTCATGTTCATTAGTCGTAGGATACTTAGTTGATTTCTCAGACCAGTATAAGTCTAAATGGAGAGTAAAGTAGTTTTTAGTCCAGATGTCTGGCTATCTTGAGATGAATGCACTAGCTGTGGGTCGCTCTGGATGGGAGCATCTGCTAAATGTTGTGCCATGTACACTGAGTATACAAAACATGACCAACAGCTGCTCTTTCAATGACATAGACTGACCAGGTGAACGCTATGATCCCTTATTGATGTCACTTGTTAAATCCACTTCGATCAGTGTAGATGAAGGGGAGGAGACAGGTTAAAGAAGGATTTTTAAGCCTTTAGACAATTGAGACATGGACAGTGTATGTGTGCCATTCAGAGGGTGAATGGGCAAGACAAAAAATGTAAGTGCCTTTGAACGGGGTATGGTAGTAGGTGCCAGGCGCACCGGTTTGTGTCAAGAACTGCTATGCTGCTGGGTTTTTCACGCTCAACAGTTTCCTGTGTGTATCAGGAATGGTCCACCACCCAAAGGACATCCAGCCAACTTGGCACAACTGTGGGAAGCAACGTGGGCCAGCATCCCTGTGGAACTCTTTCAACACCTTGTAGAGTCCATGCACCGACAAATTGAGGCTGTTCTGAGGGCAAAAGGGGGTGCAGAAGGTGTTCCTAATGTTTGGTATACTCAGGGTATATTATGTATTTTATGCATTAATTGGTTGTGTTTTGATTTCTGTTTGGACCCCAGGAAGAGTAGCCACTGCCTCGGCAGCAGCTAATTGGGAATCCTAATAAATACTACTACTAAGTAAGCTTAATCTAGATACACACAACCAGACAGAAATATATAAAAATATATGATTTTCAGAAATAAATAAATGGTTTTCTCATTGTGACCTATTTACCTGTCGTAGTGTGGAGGGCTCATGCTGAAGGCCTGGATCTCTGTGCCCCCCTCTATAGCAGAGGGGGTACCGGGACCCGCCGGAAGAGACGGTCTGTTCGGCGACGTGTCGTATACGAAGTCTCGACAAGACGCCAACTTGGACTCCAGGTTCTAGAGCGATCAAGAGGGGAAATAAGTTGTATTACTGTCTCTGAGACCATCATAGACACAGAAATGGAGATACGTTAAAAAGGAAAATTCCAAACAAATACCAGTTTTCCTTTAAACCATTAAATTAGAGTTATATTTTATTATATGCATCATTGAAGGTTCATGGTGATGTTATGAGGGTGGTATTAAATGCATAGGTCCCATTAAGACAATGTTTCTACACAGTTTTTCTTACCCCGACTTTTCTTAGGAGCTCCCCGACGATGTTGAGTGCAGATATGCGAGCCGACGTAGTCAGGGGAGTTCCTGTTAGGTTATCCCCTAAACATAAACACATTTAGCACATATCACAACATCAAACTACAGCTACTAAGGCACAGAGTTTCTAATCCCAGAGGCGCAACATCGCAAGACTTCCGGGAACACTTGCAAAACAGACCAAACAGACTAGGCCAGGGTTTGGTGGAAAATGATTATTTAGTTGTTATTTTTCTCAATCTAAATGCCCAACCTAGATTCGAGCCAATGTCTTAAGTAGTTCAACATGTTATATTACTCCAACCTCGTGAAAGTGACAAACTGACACTTTTTCCATTTGTGTCAAAAACAACTTTATATCGAAGGAGTGCCATTGATTTGACGGCCTGCTCATGCGCAGTTCGGCGCGAGACAACCGTTAAACCCGATGACATGTTTCTAAGCATGAGCTTAGCTAGCCAACGTCGCCACGACATCGCCTCCAAGTGTGATCGGGGATTTCTATTAAACAAGCATTTTTAAGCTTATCTTCATACTGTACTGTCTTTGACTAAGGAATTAACTAGCATTCCACCATCATTAAACTATCAAAATATCAACATTATCTTAAAATTGAGGATTAAGTAATATGTCATTATTACAGTTTAACCCACAACACAGCCACCATTGGTCTCACCCACCTCGACGAATGCTTGACGCTGGGGTTGCTGGGAATGTACCAAGTGGTTTGGAGGGGGTGGTCGGTATGGTGGAGCGTGAAGATGATTCGGTCCTGTCTGTCTCCTTGGAGATGCTACTGGGGGGGCGTCGCTCCTGGACCTGCTGTACGGCTAGCTCCTGTCGTAAATCTGCCCAACACAGAGAGAGAAGAGACAACAGATCAGATCTCAATACTGAGGACATTTGTGACATTGATACTACAGTACAAATAAGGAAAAAGTCAATACAAGTCATCACTAATACGCAATGGAAGTCCCACCTACTTCCTGGTTCAAGTTTTTGAATGGGCTTCAAGCGTATATATCATCAAATTCATGAAAACGTGGTCATTTAAGATACTGTACTGTATATGTAAAATGATATTCGTATTCGTGGATTAATCTACTTTTAACTGATGCCTTTCATGAAGGTTTTCGATTGCGTTTTTCCCCCTTAATCGAAAACCTTCATAAAAGGCATTGGGTAAAGGTAAATTAATCCGCAAATACAATTATATATACATATATCTTAAAATGACCTCACTTTCTTGAACATGATGATATATAAGCTTGAAGACCATTAAAACAACAGTATGGGACTTGAACCAGGAAGTAGGCTGGACTTTTATAGAATATATAAACAGTAGCTTCTAATAACCTGCTGTAAATTCTACACATAATGCCAGACTCATAATTTCTCATTCGCTCTGCTTACTTTTTGAGAAATACAATGGGCAAGGCTGGATCGAGCTGATATTACAATGTCAGTTAATCAACTATCAAATTACACATATTTTCAAAACTGGAAACTAAATCTGGCAAAATCAGCAGTTCTTGATTAGAACATGAAATGAAAACCCTTTGAGTTTCTCGTTCCACTGACTCACCTCTGGCTTCTCTCTCTCTCTCCCACACACACAGAAACACACTGACCCCCATCTCCACCCCTCCTCACACACACACACACAAACCTCTGGCCTCATCCTTTAGTCTCTGGACAGACTCCAGAAGGTTCTCCTTTTCGTCCAGCTCACTCTCCAGGAAGGCGTTCCTCTCGATCACGTGGTTCATCCTCTGCTCAAAGTCCTCCAGGGACATGATGGTCGCCCTGGGAGACAGGACATTGGTCAGTCAGTTACTATGGTTACGTCTTAAATTACATCCTATCCTACAGGGTGAGAGGAAGGACAGACATGGTTGAATCTGTATGTAGGCCTATGACGTTTGTGACAAACTGGGTACACATTGGCTAGACACACGCCAATCTCATTAGGGTGATTGGATAAAGAAGTGTCAGACAGACACTTCAGCGTTACAATAGAGTGACAATCCAGCAGAGACAGGCTTGTTTACATTGTTATTTGAAGTCCCTCATCAACATAACAACAATCAGTGTCATTTACGCAACAATCACAACAACCAAGTCGAGGTCAAAGTGTCCAGACTGACCTCTTGGCCCTCTCCAGGTCATCGTTGGACTGCTCCAGCTCTCTGATGTACTTCTGGAGTTGGTCCTTGACCGCTGTGGTCTCTTCCAGGTCTCCCTCCAACGTTGAGATCTGCCTAAACGCTTCAGAGTGCTGCGCCTCATACTTCTCCTACAAAAACACAGAACACTTCTTTCTGATGCATGTCTGCTGCTCATTTGTGGTTTTAGATGACGTTCTCCCTCACCCTTCTTCATGGCCTTGTCCCTGACTGTCCCCCAGGCCCCAGCAATTAAGGCTTTTAGCACAATCAAGTATTCACTGACTAACCTTCCCTCGGGACTCAGCAGTACAAATAGTTGCTCAGAAGTCAGCTGCTCCGTGGTGGTGAACACACAGGGCCTCTGGTGATAGTGGCTATGATTTGGTGATGCTAGTGTGGGTACTACTAGACAACTCAAGACACAGGAGGCGCCTTCAAGTCTACTAAAACATACAGAATATGGTGCCCAACCCTTACGTGACGGGATGCAGAGTATACACGAGAATATGACATGTGGCGATGCAAGACTAGTGTTGGCCTTGACAATACAGGTGTAATAGGTTCTAACCTGGATGTTCTCCAGTTCCATGCGTAGACGGTTGTTGTTGGACAGAAGTTCTCTGTTCCGTGCTTCACACTGCTTCAGCTCAGTCTCCAGCTCCGCCTCATAGTCCCTACTCATTTGCTGGAACTCCTGCAACTCCTCCTGTGCCTCCTCAGCCCTGGACACAAACATACATCAAAAACATGTCTAACCTACATAGCTAAGCTATATAGAAGGAAGTCGCCAATTAATTCTGATCTAGGATTAGATTCAATTTTCTCACCGTTACAGGGTGAGGTTAGGATGGTCGTGGCTAGAAGGGATCCAGCTTTTGTCAAATTTAGGAAAAGGTTTACGGTTAGCTAAAACGCGTTAATTTGACAAAAGCTGGATCCCTTCTAGCCATGACCGGTTAGGACTGATGTATGGTAAACACTTCCTAGATCTACACTTACAGACAACTTCAGAGATTTAGATTCGGATTGTTTCACTTCTATCTATTAACCACACATCTAGGCCAACCGGTCTGGCTACTAGCTACCAACCATTGGTAGAATTCCTTACCTTTGCTGGTGTTTGTCTGACTGCTCCTTCCAGAAACTCAGCTCTTCTTCTATGGACCCAAATTTGTGCATCTTGGGCTCCCCCATGTCTAATGTTACAGCTGACTATGGTTTCACAAAACCTAGTAAAACATCTAAAGTAAAGAAGGAACATAGCACTTGGTCATGTTGAGGCAGGCTCATTGTTTGTCTAGCTAGTTAGTTATGGAGATCAATTAACCATGCAATGGAATGCACGATTCTTGCATGCATGTTGACACTTAAAAGTTAGCCTAGTAAGGTTAGCTAAGTAACGTTACCTAGCTAGTTAACTAACTGTATGTTTTTTTTTACAGCCCATTGGAATATCCAGTTTGATCAGATAACTATTCAGTTTCTTTAGCTAGCCTAATCAATCAATAAATTAAGATGTTGGCTAGCTAACTAACTTGGCTAACCTTAATTAATTAGCTAACTAGCTAGCTAGTTTAGCGACATCACAACCATTAACAGTACGTGAATAACGGATAAACTGTTGTGCAATAGACGATAGTGAAGATTTCTGACTTTCAGAAAGTAAAATATACGGCAGAATGCTTACCTGAATGCTGATAGCTAAGAAAATGTATTAGTACCTACCTAGCTAACAGTAGATCAATAACATGGCTAGCAAAACGCTATCAGGAAATAAACTGCCCATCTACCCAAATCCAAACCATTACATCCCCGCGTTTACAGCACGCCATTGGTGGATTAAAAGGATGACGCAAAGCGCAGGCATTTCAACCAATCAAGTTATATTTCCTGGAAGACTGTGGCTGTGGACAACGGGGTTCACTTTATTAGTCATATGGTGCACCGTTACAAGTTATAAGAAATTCAATGTGAGTTATGTAGTAAATAAACTGTGTGGACACAAACAAAGGTTTAGATTTGCTAAACCAATTTCCCACTAGAAGAGTGGGAACATTTCACGATTTTAAATTGACAGACGTTCCAGAACAGAGAGAACATGTGCATTGGATTTATTCAATTACAGGTTAATTAGTTGTTATTTTACATTAAAATGGCTACAAATTTGATCCGCATATTGTTATAATTATGGTAAGTTTCGTTTTTAGGAATTTGATAACCAGCTAGCAATTATATAAACTCAGTGGCAAGGACACTTGAAACTATTCGGGGGCTTTGTGTGCAATTGCGACAGTGGTGGGATCGTTTATGGCAAATGTATGTTAGAAAAAACGTCTGGTTGCTAGGTAGACAGAAAATGCAAAACAAGTCTTCGGAGGGATATGAGAAGAAAGGAAGTCAGCTAGCTAGCTAGCACGCCCGCCAGTCAGGTAAGAAATAACCAGTTATCTAAATAAATACCCCATTCAAATGTATGCACATAGCACGTTAACTGTTAGCTGACATAGCATGATGTTAGCACTTGTATTTGCTACTAAGCAGTACGTAGCATGTGCTATCTCTCAACAAACGATCGGCAGGTAGCATTAGCTGGCTAGCTAACCAAGCTAGGCTAGCTAACCACTCTTCTTGGAGAGAATGCCTGTCATTTGTCAACGTAATGATATGAGGAATTGCCACAATGGGTTTAGAGAAGAAGCTCTGTCATTTGTGTTAGGCCGCAAAATGGTTTCGTTTTTGTAAGGTTAGCTACTTTCAAGCGAAACCATGATGTAGCTAACTAACTCTGGTTAGCTGCTAACCAATTACAGATTGGCTTACGCAAACAGTCATGTTAGCTTAGCTAGGTACTGTCCTCGTTTCTCAGTTTCACCACTAAAATGAACCAGTGTATTACAAGAGGGCAGTTGGTCATGGACATAGCAAACAGGAACACGCATTTAGTTTTTAATTACTTGTTTATAACTAAACAATAAAGCCAGACTAGTATGTCACAACTCTGCATAGCCAACTCAAATCCACGATTTAAATCGTGGAGTTGAGTTTAATTGGCTAAACTCTGCAGTTCACAATTTGCATGGTGCAAGGGCTCTGCGTTGACATTTTCTACACGTGCTCCTAAAGCACACTCAGAAACATATTTGAGGTATTAAAGCGGCAATCCGCAGTTGAAACGATAACACATTCCTGCCACTGTTTCGGTAAAAGGTTGAGCGATTGGTCTGTGGGAAATGTAACCACACTCAAATTCATAGACAGAGGTATGGATGCAAGGACAGACCATCATGATATAAAATTACAGTTTTAACCATGGTTGAGGCTATACAGTGTTTGTTTACATTTACTTTGTTTAAAAACATTGGATAAACAAGGTTATATTTTGGCATCTGATGGGGTATGACAGTTGAGCTGAGCTCATGGGGCATTTAAGTTATACTCTTCAGGAATCAATGGGTTTATAATTTATAGATATATATGTCCAAAAATGGTTGTAGTAGCTGCAGATTGCCCCTTTTAATGATAAGAATTGCCAGCAAAAATACAGAGTTTATTGTAATTGAATAAATCAAGATGAGTTTTGAGACTTAGACAACAGCCTTCAGTGGGCTTATATAAAGGTGGCAGGTAGCCTAGTGGTTAAGTGTTGGGACAGTAACCGAAAGGTCGCTGGTTCGAATCCCCGAGCCGACTAGGTGAAAAATCTGTCGATGTGCCCTTGAGCACTTAATGCTAATTTCTCCTATAAACCGCTCTGGATAAGAGTGTGTGCTAAATGACAAAAATGTAAATATATGAATCTTAGCTACTTTTGAAGCTCATCTCCTGAAGAAGCTACCTTTTCCTTTCTGTCTGTGCCACAACATTTGCATACTACTGCAGCTGTGGGACAGCGAAGAAATCATTACAACAATTATTACCTGGATTCTTCTCTTTTTTTTAGGGGCACTGTGCTCCCAAATTATAGTTCCAGGCAGCACAGCTAAATATTTAGGAGCATATGCCCCCAAAATGGTAGCTCTGTAGAGCCCTGTGGGGGTAGGTTTAAAATTCTGTGGCGGTAGCTAGCTAGGTAACGTTAGCTACCCTATTGCAGCCAGTGGAAACTTATGAAGACCAACTTGGAAACATTTCAAGCAAAGGGCTTCCTCTTTTCTCTATCTTAGGGAAGCATGAGAAAGAAGAGATATGATGAAAGAATGGTGAAAGGCTTTGCTAGGTTGTACGATGGAAGGACTGGGAAAGGAGAGATCCATATGCAGTTCTAGGCCCTTCCCATGGCTCAGTCATCCCGAGAAAGAGGCCTCGTCCCGGCTCTGGAAACTCACAGACTGCTTCTCCACCTACGGGCAGAAAAACACCCCAAGTTACAACACGGACAAACAAGTATGTAACATCTCAGACCAAGAGACCATTACATTCTGCTTCAGTTAAGTATTGACATAATTGTAGCCAGAGACCAACGATAGTTTACGTTCTGTGATAGGTATGAAATACAAAACCCCCATCAGTCGATAAATTGACTGAATTGTCACTATAACGATACATTTATAAAATGTATGCGCACCATTTTCTAAATTAGCCTTAACTACTACTACTTTAAATGTTGTAGCTATCAATTGTCCCATTAACAATACCCCACATAAGCAAACTTATTTCATTTCAAATTTCTCTAGTAGGTCCCTATGGGGTAATGAACGATATCAGCAAAATGTCCACAATAAGTGGTCGGGTTCAATTTTGGGTTTCCAGCTCTAATCGATCGTATTATTAGGGGTAGACATATTGAAGATACTGATTTCAACATGGAGAGAGCAATTCATGTGAAGCTTTGATGGGAAGGAGTGTGTGAATTGTGGAGAGTGAAGTCGTAAAAAAAAAAGACGATTTGGGTAACTAGCATATAATAGTGAAATGTAGCATTTTTGTCATAACTATGTACAGTGGGGAGAACAAGTATTTGATACACTGCCGATTTTGCAGGTTTTCCTACTTACAAAGCATGTAGAGGTCTGTAATTTTTATCATAGGTACACTTCCACTGTGAAAGACCGAATCTAAAACAAAAATCCAGAAAATCACATTGTATGATTTTTAAGTAATTAATTTGCATTTTATTGCATGACATAAGTATTTGATACATCAGAAAAGCAGAACTTAATATTTGGTACAGAAACCTTTGTTTGCAATTACAGAGATCATACGTTTCCTGTAGGTCTTGACCAGGTTTGCACACACTGCAGCAGGGATTTTGGCCCACTCCTCCATACAGACCTTCTCCAGATCCTTCAGGTTTCGGGGCTGTCGCTGGGCAATACGGACTTTCAGCTCCCTCCAAAGATTTTCTATTGGGTTCAGGTCTGGAGACTGGCTAGGCCACTCCAGGACCTTGAGATGCTTCTTACGGAGCCACTCCTTAGTTGCCCTGGCTGTGTGTTTCGGGTCGTTGTCATGCTGGAAGACCCATCTTCAATGCTCTTACTGAGGGAAGGAGGTTGTTGGCCAAGATCTCGCGATACATGGCCCCATCCATCCTCCCCTCAATACGGTGCAGTCGTCCTGTCCCCTTTGCAGAAAAGCATCCCTAAAGAATAATGTTTCCACCTCCATGCTTCACGGTTGGGATGGTGTTCTTGGGGTTGTACTCATCCTTCTTCTTCCTCCAAACACGGCGAGTGGAGTTTAGACCAAAAAGCTCTATTTTTGTCTCATCAGACCACATGACCTTCTCCCATTCCTCCTCTGGATCATCCAGATGGTCATTGGCAAACTTCAGACGGGCCTGGACATGCGCTGGCTTGAGCAGGGGGACCTTGCGTGCGCTGCAGGATTTTAATCCATGACGGCGTAGTGTGTTACTAATGGTTTTCTTTGAGACTGTGGTTCCAGCTCTCTTCAGGTCATTGACCAGGTCCTGCCGTGTAGTTCTGGGCTGATCCCTCACCTTCCTCATGATCATTGATGCCCCACGAGGTGAGATCTTGCATGGAGCCCCAGACTGAGGGTGATTGACCATCATCTTGAACTTCTTCCATTTTCTAATAATTGCGCCAACAGTTGTTGCCTTCTCACCAAGCTGCTTGCCTATTGTCCTGTAGCCCATCCCAGCCTTGTGCAGGTCTACAATTTTTTCCCTGATGTCCTTACACAGCTCTCTGGTCTTGGCCATTGTGGAGAGGTTGGAGTCTGTTTGATTGAGTGTGTGGACAGGTGTCTTTTATACAGGTAACGAGTTCAAACAGGTGCAGTCAATACAGGTAATGAGTGGAGAACAGGAGGGCTTCTTAAAGAAAAACTAACAGGTCTGTGAGAGCCGGAATTCTTACTGGTTGGTAGGTGATCAAATACTTATGTCATGCAATAAAATGCAAATAAATTACTTAAAAATCATACAATGTGATTTTCTGGATTTTTGTTTTAGATTCCGTCTCTCACAGTTGAAGTGTACCTATGATAAAAATTACAGACCTCTACATGCTTTGTAAGTAGGAAAACCTGCAAAATCGACAGTGTATCAAATACTTGTTCTCCCCACTGTACATTGTCTATCTAAAATTACCTAGTGTGTGGTAACTGGAGGCAGCAGACACGCTAGCTCACAATGTAAACAAATTGCAACTTGTGTAATTAGAGGATCATTTAATACAACCACTAGCAACAGTTTAATGAGTACCTGCGAAGAACTGGACCAAAGCTATTGTACTTGCGCATAATCTGTGAATATGGTACAGTAGGGGAAAATAAAATAGATACTCCTCTCCGCTCTCAAAACAACGCGCTCTGTGTATCAGGTAGAATGTCACTTTGACACGGCGCTGAAGGCAAAGCAACACTACGTGTGTAGTAGAGCTAAGGTGTAAGTTGTACAAAGATGGGTCAGTTTATTGGTCACGTGCGCACTGTTCAGTGACATGCTTACTAACTCTCCTCAACAATGCAGTACAATATCAATCAGGAATCAAATGCCAAAAAAAAGTAGTAAACATAAAATGATAATGCTGAGAAATAACGTTTTTCTTTAGTTTAGAAATAACCTTTTTGTTTGTGTTAACTTATTTTCCCAGAACGATTACATGGACAACAGAAAGCCAGTATTGGAGCTGAAAGATCTTCCTCCTCCTCCGCATCATACCGCTGCCTCCCAGCCCTTCCCTCTCGCCCCCCTCCCTCTGCCCCCTCCTTGTCTGCCTCCTCTTCCACAAGACTCCCTCCAACAACTACCACAACAGGGGGGTAGTCACAAAGTAAGCGTGTGCACTCACTGTGAGCACTGCAGCGTAGACCCATCAGGTCGGGGTGGTTATGGAGTTGTTAGTGGTGGAGGTAGCACTAGTGTTAGTTGTGGTGTCGGTGTCAGCAGCGGCGTCCCCCTCTACCTCCCTCCAAGTTCTCAGGAAGCCTCTATCAGCAGGCTAGGAGCCAGTCAAATAACGCCAACCACCCTCAACTCACACCCGCACTTCCCCAGCCTTGGTGGTGGTGGTGGAGGGGATGCTAGAGCCACGCTACTCCCCTCCTCTGTAGCCACCACCTCCCAGCCCCTACCCTCTCAGCCTCACTCCCACCTCCCATGCTCATGTTGTACAGGAGGCCTACTCAGACCTCTCCACTCTTACCCCTCAATCCCTTTACCCTACATTGAGTCTAAATTCATTACCCCCTCCGCCCCCCTCTCTACCCCCCATGGGACTTGTAGCCTGGGTACTCCCGCTGGGTATTACCCCTGTGGTGATTACAACTCTGCCACTGTGGGGGTCCAGAGATCATCGGCAGCACACAGTGACCCCCACATCCCCACCTCGGGACATATCTGTTCTTCTAATGCTATGCACTTCAATCTTGAACGCACGGTTTGTCGCACGGGGGCGCACTACTGCCGGGATTGTTTGACGAAGGTTGGTGGAATTCTCTTTGTTCACTGTGGTGGCACTGTCTTCTATTGGGTGTAACTTGTATACAGGAATGGGCAGTACTTAGTTACAATACGACGATGTTACAATTTGTGTAATTTGCCCATCATTTAGAAATTACTTTGCCCATCCCTGACTGTATAATATTACAGCATTTGAAGACATGAGTTGTTTTGTCTGACTACAGAATGATAACTTGTTATTTCCACGTGTTCAGCCTGCAGACAAGTTGTGGCCTAACATTCCTCTGCCCCCGGCCCAGTCGGCCCCAGTACCCATCCCCATGTGTAACGGCTGTGGGACCTCCTCCGACGGCCTGCTACTGCTGGGTTCCAGCCTGGGCAAATCTGCAACGAAGTATGGTAAGTATCACTGTAATGATGCGAGTCGTGTTCAGAAGGGCACACCGTACCAACAATCTCCTCAAAAAGAGACGTACAGGACAGTAGTACCTCCCTGTTTCACTCAATTTCTGAACACGTTTGGTGTTTTTGTTCCCCGCAGGTTCTCCAGAAGGTCCTGAGAACATCCCTCCGGTGGGTGTTTTCTGGGACATAGAGAACTGCTGCGTTCCCAGTGGTCGCTCTGCTGCGGCCGTGGTCCAGCGCCTCCGCAGCCACTTCTTCCAGGGCCACAGAGAGGCGGAGTTCATCTGCGTCTGTGACATCAGCAAGGAGAACAAGGCCGTCATCCAGGAGCTCAACAACTGCCAGGTAACCTGTGTGTGATCTGATTCCCTGAGCTGGTAAAGTGTTCCTCTGTATTCTTCAGTCTCTGATTCTACCTATATGAGCAATGTCTGATAGTCTTCTGGTCCCATTTTTTCCAGGTAACGGTAGCGCACATTAACGCTACCGCCAAGAACGCTGCGGACGACAAGCTTCGTCAGAGCCTGCGGCGCTTTGCAGAAACACACACTGCCCCTGCTACTGTGGTGCTAGTCTCCTGTGCGTATGCTCATTTAACATTTATAGATTTAAAAAATGTTTTTTCTTTAATTTCGTTGGTTCGTCCACTCCATACCTGTGTAGTTAACCCCGAATCCGTTTCGCAGCCGACGTGAACTTTGCCAGCGAGCTGAGCGACCTCCGGCATCGCCATGGTTTCCAGGTGATCCTGGTCCATAAGAGCGGTCAGACGTCGGATGCCCTGCTACAGCACGCCAACCGCCAGGTGGCCTTTGAAGAGATGGTAGCCGACCTGCCGCCCAGACAGGCTGACAAATCACAGGTAGGCTTCAGAGATGCTTGATTGATATATGTAATCCATATTGCGAAATGGCAGAAGTTAACTTTCAATAAATGTACGATACTCTGACTGGTTGCTCAGAGAATTACTTCTGAGTGATCAGAAATCTTCCCTTTACTCTTCCAATGGTTCTAGACCTCTTTGGTACCTGTATCTTCCCTCATTCTACAGTGTGATCTTTAGTAGTGTTATGCTATGAAACACAATCACAAGACCCTGACCCTGCAAACCTCTTGTCGTTTCAAAACACATTTCCAAATAATATTCAAAAACACAAACCCAGAGTGGTCCCCTCTTCTCTCTTTCCCTCCTCTCCTCCCCCCACCAGTTTGGTTTCAACCTGCTCTATGTGTACAACCTGCCGCCGGGCTGCGACGGCAAGAGCGTGGGCAACCGCCTGCGCCGCCTCTCGGACAACTGCGGCGGCAAGGTGCTGGGCGTCTCCATGGCCACCGGCACCGCCGTCCTCCGCTTCGGCTCGCAGGAAGCGGCGGAGCGCGCCCGCAAGCGCATGGAGAACGAGGACGTGTTCGGCCGGCGCATCACCCTCTCCTTCACCGCCCCGTCCGCTGAGGAGGGGAACGACCCCACCCCACCACCCCCCTCATCTGAAACTCCTCCACCTCCGCTTCCAGTTCAACCTCTTCCCTCCTCCTCTTTTTCCTTCCTGCCCCTGGAGAAGCTGCACTCCCCTAGGAGGAACAGGCGTGCGAGGCGTGAGTGTCAGAGAGAGGCCTCACTCCCCGTTCCGGTGCCTGAGAGGCCCTACAGCCCCAGGAGGGGGAGCGGGGGGACACCTTACCCCGGTTCCCCCCAAGCCAGAACCCTTCCTCAGGTCAGCAGCCTCCTGCCACCCCCCCCTGAGTGCCGCCTGCCCCAGTCTTCCCCTAACCCTGTCCATGTCCTCCACTCTGCCTGCGCTAACCTGTGGGCTTTTAGACTGTAGTCATGCTTCATCCCATGCTTCATGTAGCTTAATGCCTGGTCTGTTTCTGTGCTTCGTTCAATGTTTCATGTAATGTTTTAAGCAATGTGTGGCATCTAACACTTTGTCCCATGCTTCATGTAATGTCTGGCTGATCCTTTTCTTTCAATGCGTCAACTAATGCCTCGATCAATGTTTCATCTAATGATAGCATATCTCTCCCTCTCATATCTTTACTCTATCCCATGCCTCGTCTCCTGCTTCTGTTTGTAATCCCTGCCTGTCCTGCCGGCCGTAACTGAGTCTGTAACTATGGTCTTTCTCTTCTATGCTTTTGATCTGTTACTTTGATCTCTGCTCTTTTATTCTGCTGGACGGTGCTTTTTCTCCACCCGACAATAGAGCTGAGGAAGACTGGAGAATGGTGATAGTAATGTCAGAGTTATGACGATACAAGAGGTTGAATAATACTAACAGTGGGGGTGGGTGGGTGGGGGGGGGGACGTATAGCTCTAATTAATAAATAGCTTTAACAATCACCACCATTCTCAAGGACCACTTCCTCTCAGCTCTATCATTTCCAATTTCCTTTTAGCCTCTTCCACTACACATCCATTCTGCCAAGCTGATGGCCATTCTAATACAGTCACCACTACATATCCAGTAACACTTTGGTTGTCCCCCTGGTGCAGGAGCTAGGTGGACTGGAGACCAAGCCCAAGATTGGGGGCTTCCCCCTGGAGAAAGGCCGGGGCTTCCCCCTGGAGAAAGGCCAGCGCAACTCCTCCTCCCCCCACAGTAACGGAGAGGGGCCGTCCCAGCAGCACCCCATCAAGGCCGGCCTCATAGGAGAGTCCATGTTCCGCGGCAGGAGGTACGCTATGGACGCCAGGGCCCCTTTCAGACTAAATGAATAAAGAACAAATGTACTAATTGTGTGATGGTTCCATCACAGTTGGTTCCTGCAGACTTGTATGTGTTTTACCTTCAATATTGTAAAATGGCCTGCAAAAAGTATGCCTGTCGTAGAGGGGTCATCGTAGACGGATGTAGGAATTAATTAGCAGCTGTTGTTTCTAAATGAGGTGGTTTGTGCTCAAACTACTGGAGCTGAGGCCATGTATAAAACTTGCATGCAGTTGTTGTTTTCAGAGAGCTGAGTATGCCATAATCTTTCAACTTGAATAGTTAACGTCCTCTCCCCCATCAGGAGGGACCTCTCCAGCCCCCGCAGTGCATCTGACTCTGAGCGTCATGGAGAGTTCCAGGTCAGCACCCCCTCTGCCTTCAGCAAGCTGACCCTGCACAAGACCTTCAGCCCCCTGGTGCTCTCCGAGCCACAGGGCCTCTCCCAAGGCTCCTGGTCCTCACGGTGAGACCATCACACTACAAAATGTCCTGTTTGTTTCCTTACCCTGTAAGCAGTCTTTAGACGAGCCGACACTGCAATCCATGCCTTGGTTTTAACTTGAGCCTTTTTGTCCAAAAAAACAATGCAAGTGAATATCCCCCAAATTAGTTTTACATTTCCTGCATGTAACCTCATTGAGCTACACAAATATCTGACATTTTGTGATGATTTGGGCATGACATTTCAATCTATACCTGCCTATGGTGCTGCCAACCCATTCAACTCCTCTCTCTCTGCTCCAGGAGTGGGTCCCCCTGCATGTCGAGCCGCTCGTCCCCCCTGATGGGCCCTCCTCCCCGGGGCAGCAGCAGCCCCTGTCTGCCTGAGGGCCCCCAGGCCTCGGAGCCCTTCTCGGACGGGGCAGACTTACAGGTGGCCAACTTGGACTACAGGATGTCCCGTAAGGAGCTGCAGCAGAGCCTGCACGACGCCTTCTCCAGACACGGACGGGTGAGTCCTATACACACAATACCCCATAATGACAAACCAAATGCAGGTTTTTATAAATCTTTGCTAATTTATAGTTTTTTTTATATATATATATATATATATATATATATATATTTTTTTTTTTTTTCAGACCCTTTACTCAGTACTTTGTTGAAGCACCTTTGGCAGCGATTACAGCCTTGAGTCTTCTTTGGTATGATGCTACAGTCTTGGCACACCTGTATTTGGGGAGTTTCTCATTCTTATCTGCAGATGCTCAAGCTCTGTCAGGTTGGATGCGGAATGTCGCTGCACAGCTATTTTCAGGTCTCTCCAGAGATGTTCGATCGGGTTCAAGTCCGTGCTTTGGCTGGGCCACTCAAGGACATTCAGAGACTTGTCCCGAAGCCACTCCTGCGTTGTCTTTGCTGTATGCTTAGGGTCGTTGTCCTGTTGGAAGGTGAACCGTCGCCCCAGTCTGAGGTCCTGAGCAGGTTTTCATCAAGAATCTCTCTGTGCTTTGCTCCGTTCATCTTTCCCTCGATCCTAACTAGTCTCACAGTCCCTGCCGCTGAAAAACATCCCCACAGCATGACGCTGCCGCCACCATGCTTCACCATAGGGGTGGTGCCACGTTTCCTCCAGACGTGACGCTCGGCATTCAGGCCAAATAGTTGATTTCATCAGACCAGAGAATCTTGTTTCTCATGGTCTGAGTCCTTTTGGCAAACTCCAAGCGGGCTGTCATGTGCCTTTTTACAGAGGAGTGGCTTCCGTCTGGCCACTACCATAAAGGCCTGATTGATTGTGCTGCGGAGATGGTTGTCCTTCTGGAAGGTTCTCCCATCTCCATAGAGGAAGTCTGGAGCTCTGTCAGAGTGACCATTGGGTTCTTGGTCACCTCCCTGACTAATGCCCTTCTCCCCCAATTGCTAAGTTTGGCCGGGCGGCCAGCTCTAGGAAGAGTCTTGGTGGCTCCAAACTTCTTCCATTTAAGAATGATGGAGGCCACTGTGTTCTTGGGGACCTTCAATGCTGCAGAAATGTTCCCCAGATCTGTGCCTCGACACAATCCTGTCTCGGTGCTCTACAGACAATTCCTTCGACCTCATGGCTTGGTTTTTGCTCTGACATGCACTGTCAACTGTGGGACCTCATATCGACAGGTGTGTGCCTTTCCAAATCCGGTCCAATCAATTGAATTTACCACAGGTGGACTCCAATCAAGTTGTAGAAACATCTCAAGGAGGATCAATGGAAACAGGATGCATCTGAGCTCAATTTTGAGTCTCATAGCAAAGGGTCTGAATACTACTTATGTAAATAAGGTATTTCAGTTTTTAATTTTTAATACATTTGCAAACAATTCTAAACCAGTTTTTATGGGGTAGATCGATGAGGAAATTTTTTAAATTTAATCCATTTTAGAATAAGGCTGTAACGTAACAAAATGTGGAAAAAGTCAAGGGGTCTGAATAATTTCCGAATGCCCTGTAGATGTATAGAGCTTTAATCTGTCTCCCATTTGATGGTAAATTGCAAGATGGTGAGGTCAGGAATGTGTTTTAGTGTCATTTTATTTGACTTTCTTGGTTTATTGTGATTGTATTGATTCAACCTATTGCTATGTCATTTTCTGACATGGCTGTGTGTGCTTGTGCCAAAAGTGCTCTGTGTAGTATTTACATGGTAGACTGCACTCTATGCCAGCGTTTCCCAAACTCGGTCCTCGGGACCCCAAGGGGTGAACTTTTTGTTTTTTGCCCTAAGGCAACAAAGTTGATTCAAATGATCAAAGCTTTATGATCATTTGAATCAGCTGTGTAGTGCTAGGGCAAAAACCAAAATGTGCACCCCTTGGGGTCCCTTGAGCTGAAAAGGTTTAAGAGCCCCTGCTCTATTGCAATGTCATTGAGGAAGGCGATGGGATTTCACTGTCATAATGAGGTCAAATTGCTTGTGCGTCATTTTCAGACAGTAGACTACATGATAAGTGAATGTGTGTGTCTCCAGGTTAAAGGCGTGGAGCTGAGTCCCCACACAGACTACCAGCTGAAGGCCACAGTCCAGATGGGCTCCCTACAGCAGGCCATCAGTGCTGTGAGCAGCCTGCACCGCTACAAGATAGGAGGCAAACGCATCCACGTCTCCCTCATCACCGGGGCCAGCAACAAGTCACTAGCCATGCTCAGGTATGCACAGTACAGCTCCTCTAACATTGAGGTAGCACTCTCTCCCATACTTGTCACATAATTTGGCAGTTTCATGTCTTAGATCGGGGAACATCACCATCCTTTTAAACGTCGCCAAAATATGATTTGTACTTCGTTTGAGATGGATTCGGATGGTATGAAAATGTTTCCTCTCTTTCTACAGCTCTGAAATCTTCCAGATTCTCCAGGATGCACCAGCCAGCTGTCTTCCCCTTTTCAAGTTCACTGAAATCTACGAGAAAAAGTGAGTCGTGTTGCTTCTCCTCTTCATCCCTCAACCTCCCTCCACCTCTGTAGGAGTTAGCCCCATGCAATGTTAAGTACTGTGGCTGCGTTTACACTTTTCCCCAAAAGCATCTTAATGCTAAGTTCATCGTTAGAACTATGGGATCCTATGGTTCTAACGATGAACTTATCCTTAAGATTCTTCTGGGAGAACGGGCCCTGATCTTTTTTCACTAATTGGTCTTTTGACCAATCAAATCAGAACTTTTCACATCAGATCATATCTGATTGGTCAAAAGACCAATCAGTGGAACAAAGATCAGAATAGGGCTGCCTGTGTAAACGCAGCCTAAATAAAGGCTATGTAAATGTACTTTATTAATTCATCTCCACCCCTCCTCTCCCCCCCTAGGTTTGGTCGTAAGCTGGTGGTGAGTGACCTATACAGACTACCAGAGGTGGTGGCGGTGCGGGAGCAGGGTGGAGGCAGGCTGGTGTGTCTCCTCCCCAGTAGCCAGGCCAGGCAGAGCCCTCTGGGGTCGTCTCAGTCCCAGGAGGGGTCCTCGGCTAATGGTAGTCCTGTGGTGTTTGAACAGTTGGAGTACCACGAGCCTGTCTGTAGGCACCACTACACACAGCAGAACTTCAGGTAGGGATAGACAGAAAGACCCACACACACACACACACACTCCCTCGCACCACTTCTCTTAGCCATTTAAGTCGTCTCACAGGACTCATTTGGACAAATGTTTCATATGACCTCGATCTCTCTGTCCCCGCTGTAGTGAGGCAGACTTTGACCCAGACTCCTATAAGATTCCTTTTGTGGTGGTGTCTCTGAAGACCCTGGCCTCCCAGGTCCACTGTCTGCTGCAGTCCCATGAGGGAACCCTGCCTCTGCTCAGGTAACCAACCCTGTCTCTGCCTGGATAGATTAACTGACAGTGGATGCTTAATAAATGGTGTTGGAGAGATCTGCGTTGAAATCATACTGAACTTTATGGGAAAGGCCTTTTAATTAATCTAATCAATATTTCTAGAACCCAAGGCCATTTGGCATTTTGTATAACTCTGTAATTGTTACTAGATATAGTGTTTTGTGTTTCATGAATATTCATTTTGCTCTCCTGTGACTCAGTTTCTCAGAGTGCTATGCATCAGAGTTGGGCCCCCTGGCGGTGTCTGAGGAGGGGGAGGAGGAGGGGAGCGTCCCCCTGGAGCACCTCATCACTTGTATACCAGGCGTTAACATCGTCACTGCTCAGAACGGCTTCAAGGTCATCAAGTGGATCCACAACAAGCCGCCCGCATCCAACACAGGTGCTGACCTGACTCACAGCCCTAACCCTCGGAGAGAATTACATTGAAAACCTTCATTTAGACTCGCAGAGGAATGCCCAGGGGTTCATAAAAGCAATACAAACCTATAGAATTGAAACCCTTTATTCATAAAAAATGGAAACCCCTATCGCATAAGACCATCCTCAACGACGCCTGAAGGTACTCGGGAGGCGATAAGAGTTATTACGGGGATATGTTGAGCTAAAATCCGCTTTCTTGCAGTTTGCAGTAGGTGGATACTGTGCTGCTGACACAGATACCAAGACTCCAAGACAGAAATGCACCCGTACTACTATTATAATAGAAGTCATTAACATCTTGCCGTGTGTGTGTCGTAGACCTGTGGATGCAGCGGTGCAAGTCCCCAGTGGGGAACCCCCAGTTGATCCAGTTCAGCAGAGAGCTCATTGACCTGATGAAGAGTCAGCCCTGCAACCTGATGCCCATCAGCAGGTTCATACCTGCCTACCACCACCACTATGCTAAGCAGTGTAGGGTGTCTGACTACGGATACTCTAAGCTGCTGGAGCTACTGGAGGCTGTGCCACACGTACTGCAGGTATGTTGTGCACACACACAGGGCCTGCATACACACACACCTTAACACACACACACAGTTTAATCAATCGCTCCATTACACACATAATCAAAGATTGAAGTTACACAGCTCAATTAATTTACACATGATGGATCACTTTTAATCTTCCTAGTTTAGTGACTTCCTAGCTCAAACACTGCGACTGGGAGACCATCCGCTATCCCTTCTGACAAAACCTTGTCCACTTTGTTTCTCATTACACGCTTCAACAGCCTAGAGGTTAGATCCCTGACAGAAACGATTAGTAGAACATCTAATAGATTATTGCAGCAGTAAGTGTTAGCATACACTCTCAAAGTGGTGGCGACCATGAAGTAAACAAAGCATGAATAAATCTGTGTTTTTCTCTACTCCAGATCCTTGGCATGGGCACCAAGCGTCTGCTGACCCTGACCCACCGTGCCCAGGTGAAGAGATTCACCCAGGACCTCCTCAAACTGCTCAAGTTCCAGGCCAGCAAACAGGTGGCAATCACGGACTTCATGCAGGCCTACCATTGGTCAGTACTACCACAGGAACTGCCCACTCCGCCACTCGCTCAGCAAATCATGTTGTCTATCCCAAGAGCTAAGCACATTCCTATCAGCTATTGTTGATTAACAGTAAAGTATTATTTTCTAATCTGTTCTATTTGTTCAAACTGCTTGAAGTGTTTTATGAATTTATCTGGACTTGTTTTGTCTCGTGATAATTCAGCTTATATTGGTTTATTTGGAAGTGTATTTTCTTGTGATGGTGTTTAGGCTATATGAATTCATTTGAAAGTGTATTTTCTGTTTCTCAAATGGCACCCTATTGGCTGTGTGTATATTTTCATACTATGTTTCTATTGCTACAGGTGCTTCTCCAGAGACTGGCGGGTGCTGGACTATGGGATGTGTGATCTAATGGACCTGCTAGCTGAGATCCCTGACACCACCATCACCGTCACACACCAGGACTTGGACACTGTCATCTCTGTACCCAAGAGAGGTGAGATGAGGTCCCACTGTATGGGTTTTAGGGTTGCAACATTCCGGTATCTTCCCAAAAATTCTGGATTTTGGATTTCCTGCTTATTGTTGCAAATGGGATTTCTGGAAAACCTTGGAATTTGGGGAAAGTTACAAGAATTGTGCAACCCTAATGGGTCTGATATCAGGGTAATGGATAAAGTACCAGAGGGTTGTTCTGTCGTTCTAGTACATTTGATCCCTTGGGGAAAATACACCGCTTTTGGAAGGAACATGTGAAATATTGGTAGCCTTTGTTTAGAAAATATGTTTAACTTGGGACCAGACAGTTGGCTTGTTTGTGTCTGTAGTTGATGTACATTTGATCCCTGGGGGAAAATTGTGAAATATTGGTCACTTTTGTTTTTGAGAAAATGTTTAACTTTTATTCAACCCAGGAATTCCCTTGGAGATGGATAAGAATATCCTTGCCATGTGGGGCATGGAATAAAGTAATGCATTCCACATGCAGTTATGCCTGACTATCTCCTGACTATCTCCTGACTCTGTCGGTGGTCGTCTACGGCGTCGGCATAGGTTTAAACCCGGCCTACTGCCCTTTGACACAACCTCTATCTTTCCCCACTGTCATCCTCTCTCTATCTGTTCAACCTCTATCTTTCCCCACTGTCATCCTCTCTCTATCTGTTCAATCAAATCAGAAAATACCTGTTATACTTGGTATGGGGTTGATGTGGTTGGGGATCAGGTTGTGTTTTTCCCTCTACCTGTTTGTCTGTATAATCTTTAAATGCTAAATACATAAAAAAAAACTGTAATAGGAATTACATTTACATTTACGTCATTTAGCAGACGCTCTTATCCAGAGCGACTTACAAATTGGTGCATTCACCTTATAGCCAGTGGGATAACCACTTTACAATGTGTTTTTTTTTTTTTAATAATTTTATTTATTATTATTATTATTTTAAAAAAATTGGGGGGGGGGGGAATTACCAGGTGAACTAAAAGGAGTCAATCAAAAATACATGTGGTTTATTACAAGTTGCAACAGGGAGACACCATCCAGCGGAGAGAATGTCTGACTTAAAAAATAAATAATATATAGTATATATTTTAAAAAACGTCCTGTTTAACTCCTGCCCTCCTTTGTCTCCTTCCCCTCAGATCGTACATCAGATGAGATGGAGCGGACCAAGCAGTTTGGTAAGGAGGTGGTGGACCTGCTGCGTCACCAACCCCACTGTCGCATGGCCTTTTCCAAGTTCATCCCTACCTACCACCACCACTTCGGACGCCAGTGCAAACTCGCATACTATGGCTTCACCAAGCTCGTCGAGCTCTTCGAGGCCATCCCCGACGTACTCATGGTGGGTGGAGGACAAAGTGATTCTCTGTCCAAGGAGGAATGTGTGTTTTTTTGTGTTTGTAGGCTTCAGAGTGCTGCAGGAGAAACCATTGATAATGTCAGATGATCCTCAATTGGTGTGCATCTCATTTCTGTCCCAATAGGCCATTTATTTTGCAGTATAAATAACATTATTCCTAGAGTAGAGTGACTTATTTACATTGTCATTTTGTTATGTAACCTCCCTCTCTCCCCAGGTGTTGGACTGTGGAGAGGAGAAGGTGCTGACCCTAACAGAGGTAGAGCGTGTGAAGGCCCTGGCTGCCCAGCTGGTCAAGATGCTCCGTTCCCAGAGAGACTCCAGCCTGCCTGCTGCCCAGCTGCTGTCTGAGTACAGCAAGACCTTTGGCTACGGCCTGAGGCTCCAGGACTACGACGTCTCCTCCTTGCCCGCCCTGCTCGTCAACCTCTGCCACGTCGTCAAGGTATGGTTAAGAGTTTCTAGTCAGTTCAGTCAAATACATCTATAGTAGGCTGTTGTACTAAACAAGAACATCCTGTGCTACACAAGTCCTTGTGTAAACAAGCGAACATTATTTTGGCCCCTAAGGATGAGTCACAAGTATTTGTTGATATGAATTAATGTCACTGAAGTGGCTTTAGTGAGGCAAAATGTCATGAAGGTTTGAGCATGCAGGCCCCTTAGTGGTGCATTGAAATTTACATTTAAGTCATTTAGCAGACGCTCTTATCCAGAGCGACTTGCAAATTGGTGCATTCGACACAAATTGGTGCATTCAAATGTCGTCTTTATATTGGAAATGAGCTGTCAATTCCAGATTCAGCCATGTTTTCGGAATACAATGGCTCATCTCTCACCTCCAACTGTCCTGGCACTTTGTGATAACTGCTGCAGTATAAAGGGCTTTTATAAATACATCTGATTGATCTTCTCCTCAGGTGGTGGACGGTGCTAACGGCCGCGAGGTCCAGCTGATCAACAGGAAGTCTCTGCGCTCGTTAACGTGCCAGCTGCTGTCCCTGCTGATGGGCCTGGGGCAGTACGAAGAAGACGGCTCTGTCAGCGTGGAGGGCTTGAGTCTACTGTATCATTCTGTACATGGGGTACAGCTCAACCCCTGTGAATACGGCTTCCTCTCCCTCAGCGAGCTGCTGAAGAGCCTGCCTTACCTGGTGGTGGTAGGTGGACTGGACCATAGAGCTATCATACTATACTAATGTTTAATTCTAGTTCTATAGACTGGATCCTTTTTGCTCGACAGCCTATTTGTCTGATTTGAAGAATGTAGGATCATGGATTCCTATGGAAAGCATTTTTATGGCTTTTTCACAAGGTCTTAAAGTGGGGTAGCATTGTGTTAGTCAGGTTTTGTAATTGCCTGAGATGTATTGCACGATCCTTTTGAATGAAGTACTATGGTTTATATGTTAGAATATTTGGAATGATGACCACTAGATCTTTGTGTGTAGGCCTTGTCTAGACCAGGGGTGGGCAAACTACGACCCGCGGGTAAAAATAACCTCCAGGCAACTCTTGAACCCCTAAAACTAGATAGAAATGATAATGGACCTATACATTTTCAAATAACTGCCCTTTTTCTGGCCCGCAAAATCTATGGCAAAAAAAATCTCCAGCCACAAAGATTGCCCTCCCCTGGTCTAGACTGTTTTTCATAACTTCCCTTCTCTCTCCCCCCTCCTAGCTGTTCTACGGTAAGGGTGAGGAAGAAGGCGAGCGTGGCGAGGAGAGAGTTCGACTTACCCGTCTGTACCAGTTTGCCCGTGGCGTGCGTGCCCTGCTCCACACCTACCACTACCACCAGATCTTCCTAACGGAATTCCCCGGGGCCTACGCCAAGTTCACCGGATGCAGCCTCCAACCTCGCTCCTACGGTTACGGCAGCATAGACGACCTGCTCAACGGCATACCACAGGTACAAAATTAGGCCAAACTTTAAGTGCTTTTCTCAAATTCAAAGCTGATATACAAGACAAGAAACAACTAGTTAAACAATATGTTGGAAATACACAGACTTGTTATGATAAGATGGGAATTGATAATGCGTGCATCTAAGAGTTCTTCAGCATATGGACCTGCACTGGGATATCACGGTCAAAGCAGCAGATATAGTCAATGTGGTTAGTCGCCTTCTGTCCCTGCACTGTGTACACCATTAGCCCCACAGCAGGCTCTGTAGTGTCGGATGGATGGGGTTTGTGGTAATTAAATAAATGGGATTTTGTTTCTGCCTGTGAACAGGTAGTGTGGATCAAAGGGCACGGCCACAAGAGGATTATCGTTTTGAAGAACGATATGAAAGGTAAAGACAAATCAGCCTGACTGTCTGGCAGCAGGAACTGTGAAAACAAATGGCTTTAGCCTTACCTGCATTTAGTATTAACATATGGGAATCAAAATCAAATTTGGTTTGTCACATGCGCCGAATACAACAGGTGTGAAATGCTTACTTACAAGCCCTTAACCAACAATAAAGTTAAGAAAAATAAGTGTTAAAGTATTTTAAAAAATATATAAAAATAAAGGGATGGTTATCAGTTAATCTCATGATTATGTAGTATGATCCTTCAACATGAGACAAGTTGAACATGTAATGGGAACAGAAGTCATGGTGTTTTGCTTGTATGATAGGAACAGAAATGGTATTGTTTTGAAGGTACAGTGTTTACTCTGTAGTGGAAAGAGTGTAATCATGGTCTGGGGTTTGGTTGGTTCTCCTCAGCAGCACGAGCCACTGGAGCCAGCCCTGCAGCCTCAGAGGAGCATGAGGATGGGACCAGCCAGAGAGACAGCCCCTGTAGCAACACAGAGTCTGGAACTCACAGCCCAGGTAACTAACTGGAGTCATGGGCACTACTCCCAAGGTTTTGATGTTCTTCTTTTTGCCTTGTAGGTGTTTTTTAGGCTTTTTAACGGTTGTTTTATACATTTGAAGTAGAAACTGTAAGTAGCGATGACTACCTCTCTCCTACTCCCCCCCCTCTCTTCTCAGGTGTTGTTGGGGTGGAGACAGAGCTGCTGTGTCTGACTCCAGTGGACCTGCTGTGTGACCCATTACCCTCCTGTCTGCCCTCTCCCCAGCTGCACCCTGACCCCGTCCTCCTCCAACAGGCTGACCTCATCCGCTTCGAGCAGACACCATCACCAGCAGGTGAGCTGATCACGTGATCAACCGCGGTTCAAACCTAGGTCTTCTTTGTGCGATAAGACTGTTAGCCCGCCTAGGCATTATCTTCAGGTCTCAGACAAGCTTACTCATCATGCTGTGCTATACACACAACCGACATCTTCCCTTGGACTGACCTCGATGTGTGTTGCCATTTGTGTTTTTCAGAGCGTGATAAACCTGAGGCGGAAGCATTAGCAGCAGCTCCTGCTGTCTGTGACATATCCAAGCCTAAAGAACCACTAACTGACAATAACCACAACGTTGTTGTTGTGGTTTCCACGACAACCAAGCCTCCACAGAGTATGACCCGCAAAATGGCGTCTGTTGAAAACAGCCCCAGCAAGAGGGCTCCTCGCAATAAAGTGAAGCTGGCAGCTAACTTCTCTTTTACAGCTGCACCCTAAGACACACACTGACATTCACATGCTGGAACATGCACACACACACACACACACACACACACACACACACACACACACACACACACACACACTCATCACACACAACTCGAAAATGAAGAGTTGATCGGCTAAATTGTAAATAGCCCCAAAAATAATGATTTTGTTTTTAGTCATTTCCCCTCTTCTTGCAACAATCTGTGACATTATTTCCTTTCATTGCCTTTTCTCCTTATCTTTTCAAACTCAATCATCATGTTGATGTGGTGTTTCTTCACAAAGCCATGAGTTTTCTTGTTGCAGTTATTTCTGCAACAGCCATTAATTTTTCAAAGCCGTGTAATTTCTGTCGGATTAATGCATGTCCAGAAAGGCTTTGTGGTAGATATGAATGATATACTATGGATAAACTGTTTGGAAACATGATTCTCTGAAAGTGGGAAAAAAAACTGCCCCACTTTGGACAATACTGCAACAACAAATACTGAGTTAGTTGACACTGTAGCCACGAGTTTACACTGCAAATCGCAAAAGATGCCTGTTTTACCACTGAAGACCCTTACCTGAACTCGAAACCCCTCAGATATTTAATACAGTAACTTGTTTAAGAATTGTAACTTATACAGGGATTTTATATAATGTTAATTATTGCAAAGTCAGGGAACCTCTGAGAGAAAGCTATATAAATATGTAGAGAAACGTCATTATTTTGATACTGCCTTGCTATGTTTCAACAATGGAACCGTAACGTGTCTACTGCCCTCACCGCTGTGTTGTCCCCATTGCATTCTGTCATCGGACAAATGCACTTCATCATACAGCTAAAAGTTAAAAAAATAGATTTGATCCTTGCCATTGAGGCAGCTTTGGAGGGTAGTATTGACCGTTATCGTTATTGAGTAACCATGCCCATCTCATTCTTTTAACTCTTCTCTTGGGCAATGTTTAGCATTGTGTTCAGTTCACACTCTAGTGTTAAGAGTCCTCAGACATCGTTCCCCTTGACTATGTTATTTCATAAAGTAGGAGCCTGTATGGCTGGTGTTTTCAGTTTCTCATCAGTTTTTCAGTCAAGTATCGAGTCGACGGCAGGAGTGAACAAACTGCCAAAATAGCATCAAAGTAACTTTGACGACAGTCTGGCCTCAGTCAAATCGATCTAAGCTTGTATCTGTGTGTTTTCAATGGGGTGTTGCAATCAGCGCTGTCTCCAACGTGTAGGATAGCGGGAAAGAGGAGGAATTCTGATTCCTCAGTGATGAGTTTTGAACGAGCTCTTGGCGAGGTTGAGGGCCAGTCTGCCTTGGGCCGTTATTTAGGCAGAAGTAGAGACCCTGACTACTTGGACCAAGTGTTAAAGAGCTTGAAGGCAGCGTGAACAGAGATATGGTGACCCTGTTTGCTGCCGGAAGCTAAGTAGAAATTATTTCTGATTTGCATTTTTAGAGATTATGTCAGAGTGCGGTTTACACTTGAATAACTTATAGGTGGTGTGTAATATGCATGTTGTGCATAAAAAAAACTATATTTTTATGCATGGTGTAAACCTACTAGGTCAGAAATCAGACTGTTAGTGAACTGCATTTTTAAAGAAAGGGATTAGTTGTAGTTTCCGCATAAACCATATATGAGGTATTGTTTACATCACCCAACCTCACTCCTGGTTACTGTGGAAACAGCCAAAGTTGTTTTTGTTCAACCTTTTTTGTCTACGTTTTCAGTGTCGTCTGCGCTGTTTGAGTAGAGGAGCTGAGAAGAGCTCCCTCGTTTTGATTTTTAAAACAAAACAATGAGATAGACTTGGTGTTTTTAGTAAAAGTGCAAAGAAGAGATGGGCACTTATGTGCTCCAGCTGCACGTGAAACAGCAAGAGGGGCCCCTGGAGGCCCCCGATAGGATCAAATGGACAGAGGCCCTCATGCGGCTCTGGACAACGCCTGGCTCTTACAATGGCTTGTATCTGCCATGGCACTTAGTAAGGGACGGCTACTGAATTGACTGGAGACATACCATACCCCATCTCTGTCTTTACATAAGATTTTTTACTTGTGATTGTCGATAGATTATTTTTTTTGTGCCTATCCTACTTTTTGGTGAGAGTGCTGATTGTACCATCCAACACCAAGTTATGACATTGAGTTCCTACCTACAAGCATGGTTTGGAAAGTAGAAGGCATGGCTTGATGTAAGGAAAAACAGCATCCCCATGAACGGATGTTGAATAGATGCAGTTTCCTCTCTTGTGCTACTGTGTTGGAGATGCAGAAAATACCATAGAATTGGGCCAGAGCCCATGATGTCCATCTCCTTTGATCCAAAATGGCTTCCTTCTGTTAGTGTTACTGTATGTGTTGGAGATGCAGTTGAAGACCAGAGAAATTGGGCTGGAGTCCATGATATTGATCTCCTTGCCAAGAGCCAATATAGCTATAGCTGCTCAGATTCCTGTCCTGTTAGTGTTTTTCTTGACTGTTTCAAATGAGCATCTAATTTGATTCTCCTCGTTATTTACTAGATCTTTTGTGTTTTGAAGCCCAAGACTTCCTTCCTGTTTCTAATTACATGGCTCACTCAGTAAAGGAGTTGGCTTTCCCAGAGCTGAGGGATAGCAAGGCTTAAAGGCTCAGAATCTTCCGAAAGTGTTAGACCCAGTTTGAACAATGGGCAGAATCTTATTTCTCTCTTTAACGAAGGGACAATCGGCACAAAAGTTGCCTTAAAATTGTGCACCAAAACTTAAATTAGACTTTTTAGTTTGGCCTCAAGACGATATAACTGCGTTTTACATTAGAACTAACTCCCAAGTGCTACAGTGTCCACTATCTCAGAAGGCAGAGTTAAAATAAGAGGTACAATTCTCTTAAGTGTGCTTACATCAGTAAAAAGCAACATGTGCTGGTAAAGTACTCCGTATGCACCTTTGCATAGTTTTGGTTCTTGTAAAAGGAGTTTTATTGTGGGTTTGTTCATTTCTGAGGTGAAAAAATAGTTTTACAAGGTTTTGTCATTGTTGGTTAATTTGTATCGGACTCCACTATAGTGCGATTCAATTGTATCTCGCAGTGAGTATGTAATGGGCTGCGTCCGAAACAGCACCCTATTCCCTATATAGTGCACTACTTTATATGGACTCTGGTTAAAAGTAGTGCACTATATAGGGAATAGGGTGCTATTTTAGATACTACCATGTCTGTCAATGTTTGTTGCACTTCTCTTACAGTATTTCTGTTGTACTCCCATGAAACGCACCCCCTCCAGTGCTCGTCATCAAGGTTATCCTTTGTGATCATTTTTCTGTTCTGTATTTGTTTCACTGACGTATTCAATCGTTCTCCCCGTTACCCCTTCACCTCACCATACACATACAAGACGTTGCTGTAACTGTTTCATTCATGTTGAGGGGACCAAATGATTTCTGTTGAATAAATCACAAGCATTACTCCTTCCTCCTTATTTCTGACTTGAGTTCCTCTTAAAGGGATAGTATTTTTTAGTTTGTAAAAAAAAGTATTATCGTATTTGTTACTTGCTAAAAGTGACAGTAAATGCGAAGGGTTTTATGGTTTCCTAGCTGGTAATTTAGCAATGTCACTAACTTTAAAAAATAAAGTGAACGATCCCTTTTAAATTACTTGAAAAACCAATGAATGACTCAGTGAATTCCTGAAAGATGCCTTTTATTTAAACATATATGTACAGGTAGTTTCAGCTCATTTATGCATATTGTTCAATTTGGACATTAGGACCTTCATAAAGCATCACTAATATAGTACAGAACAAAGTTCAGGGATGGGTCTCTGTGTTTTCCTCAATTCTTTGCTTCTCTCAACCTCAGAAGCAAGGAGAGGACTTGAGGAATCAAGGTAAATACTTTAGAGATCTATCCAAAGGGAGGCATGGGGATAGAGGGATAGAATCTGAAGTGACCGAGGGATAGAATCTGAAGTAGAGGGTCACTTAGTTGAACGGGACTCTCTAATCTGCTACAAACATTAGATTCCAACAAACACTTTATTTTCCAGAATCTTATCGAAGGTATGTTTCGTAATAAAAATTCCTTAGACTCGAAGTATGACGCTAATTGTTTTCCTATCAATACTTCATTGTAATCATGAATAACATTGTAGTAATACCATGGTAATAACTGCCACTGTTTTGGTGAAGATTTGAATGACCGATTGTAAGGCAGACTTTACCTTAGCAACATAATTGCATGTATACTGGTTGGTTATTGATACATTAATATACATCATAGAAAAACAAAGTTAACTCAATCATGCGATTGTTGCAGCTTTCCAATGCAAATGGTATCATAGCAACTGTGTGTTCAGTAATACTGTTTATATAGGAAGTATACCTTTATGATAAAGGGATCAAAATGTACTGCAGTAAGTGTTTCATCATCTACAGTTCCAGTGCAAGCATCAGGGTTGGGTCAATTGATTTTAAAATCTGGTCATTTGGTAAGTAATTGACTGAATTGAAATGGAATTGACCCCACCCTGGTAAGCATACAGTCCTAAGTCTGAGAAAAGGTGTTCTAGTTGTTCCGTTAAAGGGTTGGAATGGAAGCATACAGTAAATACCCGTTATCAAAATGGCAACGTGAATAACAATTAAGTCATGATGTCATTTCCTGGTGAACAGAGAACCCTGGTATGATGCGTTGTTGGTTCGTTACGGAACGTTGTGCTTGTAAATCTGAGGAATATATGTGTTATGTCTTTTCATGGTGTTGTGGGAACAAGGTTACATTTATTAGATAGGTGACTCTTGGTGCCGCAGAGTCTGGATTCCAGTATGTCGAGGGAGGTTACTGTGGTTTATCTTAGAATGATTGATAGACATAATATACTGACTTGGGGTACAAGGTAATACCATCAAAGAAGGGAGTGTCCACTGATGGTTAACAGATGTTGTTGAAGAAACGTGTAACATGAAGTACATAAACTGAGAGATTTATTTTGTCTAGTAGTTGGGATGACAAGAGGCAAAGCACGTGCCTTTTGTTAGACGAACCCGGTACAGTATCTATTAAATACTTTGTATTAACTCTCCATATAATTGTTTAAGTATATTCTTGCATCCTGAATTACTTGACACCAGAGAAACTCATCATAACAATATGTCATTATTGATCTCTGAAGAACGTTTCAAGAGGGATGTAATGAGTCCCTTAATCAATATAAATTGGTGTATTTAAATGTCAATGTAGCTTATCTTGCTTGCTTACAATACCGTACAGGTCCCATATATTCAATTTCCAATTGCCTTTTAACATTATATAGTGCAACATATTTCATTTCCGTTATTCCATTTATTACTGTACATGTGGCCATGCCTGTCCATCCATCATCTCTATATGGGTGTCCATTTTGCACCAGGGTTCTCTGGGTCACAGGAAGTGATGTAACAATAGGTGATATGACACCAAGTGACCAGGTCAGGTGACAGATGTACAGCGTGACTGTGTTGTTGTTACTAAGGTGGTGTGTGACTGGGAGGGTGTACTCCAACTCCTCTGTAACCATGGTTACATGATACAACACTGGGTGGCTCCGCAGCAGTCCTTGATGATGGTGATGGACTTGGTAATGGATGGCTTGCCTGGCGGAGGATCAGGGACTTGTCTCTTGGGCTTCTGGGGATCTAGGGTAAGAGAGAGGGCATGGGTAAATCTGAGATGTCATAGGCACCCTAATCTCAACATAGTGCACTACTTTCTGCACTCCCAGCAGAGCCTCATAAAGGGGCGCACATTTGGACACGTTCTCTGTGGTTTTAGATGGAAATGAAAAAGGCACAACCATTTCGCTAAGGTTCCCATCTTTGCCTCTGTTTGAATGAAGTCCTGGTACACGCTTGATTAGACTAAATCAACACCATAACAACTAAGAGTCAGTTCTCTAATCGATATTCTAATAGGATTTGAATCAGCTGTTATCACACTAACTCCATTATGTGGCTTGTCAGTTATCCCTTATTGCCACTCGATTTATCTTTGTCTTGAACTAATGTGACAGAGCCAGTGTGCATGGTATCAAACTGTATGACAGTCAGGGTCACTCATGGTCTGTGACTCTGGACATGACAGAACTAATCTGCTTTATATTTTATCCACATATCTTTACTGTATGTATGGTTTTAATATGTACTTGAGGGTTTTCATCAAGGCCACTCGCTCTGTGACTATGATTATGTTGTTGCATTGTCAAAAGGGTGAACCTGTAAGCATTTCATTGCACTGTGTATCATGGGTATATGACTCATAAACAAACTTGAGCTATTGATTGTGTACTAGTGTGTGGTTTGTATGAAGGCTAATACTCACTTTGGGCAGCTTCTCTGGCCAGCTTCTCCAGAGGCATCAGCTTCAGTCTCAGGAACTCAGCCATCTCCTTGTCCTCCTCCTGCTCCCTGTAGAGAGGATAGGGGTTAGAGTCAGTGGTTACAGACGCAGTCACCTCTAACTCAATGACAAAACGTCACATAGTCTGTAGAATACCACCATACCGTTCAGTTACAGTACCTACATACCAAAGCCATTGCCCCTAAACAGTTCTCACATTCCAGCCCTGTGTCCATACACCTATTCCATAAAGTGATTGACTATTTAGAGCACATAAAATCTCCATGCACATAACTTTGTTTCCAAGAATGTCTCGCAATCTGTCCGTGGCAGTTTTAATTCTCAATATCCTAAATACTCCATACATTCACTGAATGACACACTGTGATCTCATACCAGATCTGCTGTCTGTAAGTAATCTCCATGTCAAAGACAGGAGGACCAAGATAGCAGGCAGAGAGGATGGGGAGTAAGTGAGAGACCAAGGGGGACCAAGAGGCAGCCCAGGCAGAAGAGGAAGTGGAGATGATAGGGAGTTGAACTGTGGTCATTTGTCATCTCCCTCAGACTGTCTGGCAGTTAACCTTAATCTCTCCCCCTCCCTCAGACTGTCTGGCAGTTAACCTTAATCTCTCCCCCTCCCTCAGACTGTCTGGCAGTTAACCTTAACCTCTCCACCTCCCTCAGACTGTCTGGCAGTTAACCTTAACCTCTCCCTCTCCCTCAGACTGTCTGGCAGTTAGACCTTCATCTCTCCACCTCCCTCAGACTGTCTGGCAGTTAGACCTTCATCTCTCCACCTCCCTAAGACTGTCTGGCAGTTAGACCTTCATCTCTCCACCTCCCTCAGACTGTCTGGCAGTTAGACCTTCATCTCTCCACCTCCCTCAGACTGTCTGGCAGTTAACCTTAACCTCTCCACCTCCCTCAGACTGTCTGGCAGTTAGACCTTCATCTCTCCACCTCCCTCAGACTGTCTGGCAGTTAGACCTTCATCTCTCCACCTCCCTAAGACTGTCTGGCAGTTAGACCTTCATCTCTCCACCTCCCTAAGACTGTCTGGCAGTTAACCTTAATATCTCCACCTCCCTCAGACTGTCTGGCAGTTAGATCTTCATCTCTCCACCTCCCTCAGACTGTCTGGCAGTTAGATCTTCATCTCTCCACCTCCCTCAGACTGTCTGGCAGTTAACCTCTCCACCTCCCTTAGACTGTCTGGCAGTTAGACCTTCATCTCTCCACCTCCCTCCCTCCACCTCCCTCTGACCACAGTTCTACCTTAATCTCTCCACCTCTGCATCGTCCACTAGGAAATCCCTCTTCTGCACCAGTTTATGGATATTCAGGATCAACTCCTCCTCCCTCTGTCTCTGTTTCTTGGTCTTCTCTTTCTCTGGAGGAAAGAGAGAGGGAGGGGGATAGAGGGAGGGAGGTAGAGAGGGGGTTCGATTTTAAAGATGTATGTTTTATATCAAACTAAAAATTATATTTGTATCTTATATGAAATACATTTCTCAACTGATACAACATTTGTTAGATACTGAGCTACAGGGGAAGATGAAACTTCCTGGGAGGGCAGCAGTTGCTACCAAATAGTGATTCACATCACAAACAGTAGGGGGTCTATTCCATCTGTAAAGCTCAATTGATAGAAATGTAAAGGTAATGTCCGATTGAGCCGACATATGCAGCGATACCGTGAATGTAGTCTCCGCTAAAGAGGGACATTGTCTTTAAATTTCAATCACGCTGTAACGCTGAACTTCCGCGATGTGGATTGAATAGAGTCCTAGATCTTTATATTCTTAAATAGTCCTCCTCGTGTTTAATTCATGAGAACTAATCAGGAGACAAAATATGCAAATGCTGTTCGGTGATACAATGTCCTGTCTGAATGGGGGAATTTGCATAAGCAGTCGTATATTAATAGGGTGCATCTCAAATGTTATCCTATTCCCTACATAGGGCACTACTTTTGACCAGAGCCCAACGGGGCCATTTGCATAAGCAGTCGTATATTCATGAAGGATTTCGGCTTTATTCCCCTGACCTTCACACTCTGATAGACTGAGACACACACACACACATATACACGGCAATGGATGGAGAACAGTGTGCAGTGTTGTTGACAGTAGTAATAGAAGGTGGGAAAGCTAAGGCACCAGGCAGGAGAGGAGTGCAGTCTCTGCTCTTTCTCTCCCACCAGGATAGAACTGGATCCGTACAGCCATTCCCTGAACATACATACATGGTATATTATGACTCATAATGGTGTGAGGAATTTGATTTGATTTGGAATGTTTGTGTGCATGGCATTCTATATGTCAATGAATGTCATGCATAAAGTACTGGATTTAGCTTCTATGTAAGCAGTATGGCATCTGTACAGTATGTAGGCTTTATGTATGCTCTAATGAACAATTCATTCCATTGTTCTTGTTTGTTGCCATTCCAGATTATCACTAATACAGATCCAGTCACTCTGTCATCACAAGTATAAGGAGAAACTAGCCTGGTACCAGATCTGTTTGTGCTGTCTGGGACCAGGCTAGACAGCTAACTCTAGACTGTGACGTTGTAGAGTTGTAGTGGCTATTTGACTCCATAATCTGCTGTCAGCCTTTGCCACAAATAGACTTAACATCGTTTGTGGGGGACAAATAAATGAAGTAGTATTCGTTGAAATAATTTCTGTCCACAGTCCCAGGAAATGGACCATTGGCTCATATAGCCATTACGGTTAGCTGTGTGTGTGTGTGTGTGGCCATTATGACTGTGTGTGTGCCTACTCTACACTACCTGAGGGGAAGAAACTCCCCACCTCATAACTCTCCCATGTTCCTGAGAGTTACAATCAATTGTGCAGCTACTTTACCGCAGTGAACCTACCCACAAATCACCTCACCAGGAAGTGGGATGTAGCAGCTGGTAGCTGCATACGGTAGCAGTTTTTCTCCTCTACCATATTTCTGGGTCTATACTCACTACAGCAGGGGTGTCCAACTCATTCCATGGAGGGCCTAGTGTCTGCTGTTTTTTTCCTTTCAATTAAGACCGAGACAACTATGTGAGGGGAGTTCCTTACTAATTAGTGACCTTAATTCATCAATCAAGTCCAAGGGAGGAGCGAAAACCTGCAGACACTCGGCCCTCCGTGGAATGAGTTTGACACGTGCTCTACAGCATGCATAAGCAATTTGGCTAAGGGTACATTGAGGATAAATCCTGATATGCTTGTTCTATTTCCTAGAGGGATAGACAGTACGGCTCATTTCTCTCTGTTATGTTGCAGGGGAGGGCGGTGAAGGGGATTTCTTGTGATGTCTGTGTTGGCTCTAGTTATATGATACATTTGTCTCTCTGTTGCCAGCTATGATATGACAGGAGAGTGCAGCCAGTGGAGGTGATGTCTGTGTTGCCGTTAGTTACATGGATATATGGTAATATAAACTGGGTGGTTCGAGCCCTGAATGCTGATTGGCTGACAGCCGTAACCAGTTTATAATAGCAATAAGGCACCTTGGGGGTTTGTGGTATATGGCCAATATACCACGGCTAAGGGCTGTATCCAGGCACTCCGTGTTGCGTCGCACATAAGAACAGCCCTTAGCCGTGGTATATTGGCCATATACCACACCTCCTCGGGCCTTATTGCTTAAATATATACCTCTGATATTTGGTCAATTTTTCTGCCTGTTACTGGATAGGAAAGCGGTGGACAGTGGAACTGTTGTGATTGTGATGAATGTATTTGTTGCTGTTAGTTACCTGGTACAGTTACCACCTTCCTCAGCTCCTGTTTCAGACTCATGATGTCTTTGCAGAGCTGGATGTCGTCCGCCCTGGAAAAGACAACAACATTTATTCCAGTTAGGAAGGGTAAAGCACAGTGTGACTCTATGGCCCTGTTCCATTTTGGTTCCTCCAAGTAACCTGGCTATTGGAGGCCTATTGACATAATTTGCATTCATCTAGTTCTTTCAGATCTGTGAGCTAGGGGAAAGGGGATAGAATTTGAAAAGATATGGGGCCCGCTATCCACTCTATCTATGCCCTACTATATATCAATGCGGCCCAGTACATAATAAACACAAGGAACACTGTGCAGTCATACTGACAGATATCTTATAAAAATAGTGTTTTACAGAAACATAAAAGATAAAGCAAACATCCACATATAAAAGCTATAGAGGGAAATATATAAAGCCGTCTTTCTATTACAGTAAAAGACAAAGTTACACCCCCCCTTAGGGATGAGTGTGGGCAGATGGGAAGCGTTGAATGAATCACTCCTCTACCAGAGCCTCTGGTCCTGAAGACCCACCCTGAGGACCCTACTGGTCCCTCTCTATCATATCATCCCCTTCTCTTCTCCTCCCCTTCCTCCGTCTCTCCTTCTCTCTCTTCTCCTCCCCTTCCTCCATCTCTCCTTCTCTCTCTTTCCTCCCCTTCCTCCGTCTCTCCTTCTCTCTTCTCCTCCCCTTCCTCCGTCTCTCCTTCTCTCTCTTCTCCTCCGTCTCTCCTTCTCTCTCTTCTCCTCCGTCTCTCCTTCTCTCTCTTCTCCTCCGTCTCTCCTTCTCTCTCTTCTCCTCCGTCTCTCCTTCTCTCTCTTTCCTCCCCTTCCTCCGTCTCTCCTTCTCTCTCTTCTCCTCCCCTTCCTCCGTCTCTCCTTCTCTTTCTTCTCCTCCGTCTCTCCTTCTCTCTCTTCTCCTCCGTCTCTCCTTCTCTCTCTTCTCCTCCCCTTCCTCCGTCTCTCCTGCTCTCTCTTCTCCTCCCCTTCCTCCGTCTCTCCTTCTCTCTCTTTTCTCTCCTTCCCATCATCCCTCCATCCTTCCATCTCTCCTCCCCTCCATCTTTCACTCTTTCTCTCTTTCCTCTCTCAATTGCTACATCCCTCTCGCTCTTCTCTGCCCCCGCCCGCCCCCTCCCATTCATCTCTCTCCTCCTCTCCTCCCCTCCTCTCCCTCCATCCATCCCTCCCTCTCTCTCTCTGCAGCGCTGTGACAGCTACCAGGGATTTAAGTCTCTCTGCTGTAAATCACAGACTGATGACTCATCCACCGGCTCCCAACACCTCTCCCGCCTCCTCCCTCCATCTCTCTCTCCTCCCCCTCTTTCTCCCTGTTCCTCAGCCCCTCCCTCCCTCCCTCCCTCCCTCCCTCCCTCCTCCCCCTCTCCCTGTTTCTCTCCCTGTTCCTCCTTAACCTCCCTCCCTCCCTCCCTTCATCTCTCTCCTCCCCCTCTCTGCCTCCTCTGCTCTCTCCCTGTCCCTCTTCTTCATCTCCCTCTCCTCCTCCTCTTCCTCCATCCCTCTCCCTGCTATCATCCCCACCTCCCTTCATCTCTCTCCTCCTCCTCCTCTAGTTCCCTCTGTCTCCCCTGTTCCTCTTCTTCAGCCTCTTCTCCCTCTGCTCTTTCGACACCCTGTCCCTGTAATTTTCACCCACTCACTTGTTCCTGTCTCTCAACCTCAACATCTTTTTCTCTCCTCCTCACTATCCCCTATTTGCCTTGTGTTGTTTACCCACTCACTAGACCCCAACGGTGCTTTCCAGCAGGCTTTGCACTCCATCTGCTACAGACTGTGTGTGTGTGTGTGTGTGTGTCTGAGTCACACATAGCTGGAGGTATTGGTATCACTGTTCACTGATGAAGCCATCTAAGCTAATGAAGCCACACGTCCCACCGATCTCTTTCCAGTTTCTATTGATTGTATTTGCCATCACACAAAAAAATATCTCACTGTATATTTTCTCAATGTTTAGAACTCAATAGCGACACAATATGATGGACCAAGATTCCCTGAATATCAAGCATCAACTTCTGATCACCTGGTCACCTGACCCCGTGATAAGACCAATAAGGTCACCAACGACCTGCTGATGGCGGCTGATGCAGGCTCCCCCTGTCTCCTGATCCTCCTGTACATGAGAGCAGTGTTTCACACTGTCGACCACCCCATCCTCCTGGAACGCCTCCGGGACACCATCGGACTGTCTGGATCAGCTCTGAGCTGGTTCCACTCCTACCTCTCAGACAGGACTGAGTATGAGTTTTTCAGTGTCCCACAAGGATCTGTTCTTGGACCCATCCTGTTTGTCTTGTACATGCTCCCCCTCGGTCGTGTCATCAGCCGGCATGGAATCTCATTGCCCTGCTATGCTGATGACACCCAGCTGTATGTAAAAGCTTCCCCATGTCCCTCTGATGCATGTGCCCATCTGAACACCTGCCGTGAGGAGATAAGGGCATGAATGAAGCAAAACTTCCTTCAACTGAACAGCATCGAAACTGAGGCCCTACTTCCAGGTCCAGCACTCACCAATAACACACCTCACCATTGCAGGACAGAACACTCCTCTCTCCCCCTCGGTTTCCAATCCGTGTGTAAAGCTCCCTGACCTTTGACAGCCACATACAACGACTGTGTAAAGCGTCATTCTATCACCTCAAGAACATTGCCAAACTCCGTTCCACTCTCACTCAGTCTGACGCAGGGAAGCTCGTCCATGCCATTATCTCCTCAAGGCTGGACTACTGCAACACACTCTTCAACAGGATCCCTGGCAGGAGTCTCCAGCAGCTCCACTACATCCAGAACAACGCTGCCAGGATCCTGATGAGAGTGCGGAAACACCCTCACATCATCCCCCATTCTGGCATCTCTGCACTTGGTGTATTGATACACCATCCAACGTGTAATTCATAATTTCACCATGCTCAAAGGGATATTTAATGTCTGCTTTTTTATTTTTTACCCATGTACCAATAGGTGCCATTCTTTGCGAGGCATTTGAAAACCTCCCTGGTCTTTATGGTTGAATCTGTGTTTGAAATTCAACTGCTCGACTGAGGGACCTTACAGATAATTGTATGTGTGGGGTACAGAGATGAGGTAGTCATTCAAAAATCATGTTAAACACTATTATTGCACACAGAGTGAGTCCATGCAACTTATTATGTGACTTGTTTTACTGCTGAACGTATGCAGGCTTGGCATAACAAAGGGCCTGAATACTCATTGACACATTTTAGCTTTTCACTTTTTCTTAATTTGACATTATGGGGGTATTGTGTGCAGGCGATTGACAAAAAAATCGAAATTTACTATATTTTAAATTCAGGCTGTAACACAACAAAATGTGGAAAGAGTCAAGGGGTGTGAATACTTTCTGACGGCACTGTAATAGCATAGATGTCATTGCCAGCCTGCTCCATGCTAAAGCAGAAACACAATCTAGTTAACTAATTCTTCACAGTGTCAGAAATAAGGCTTTATTACATCTACATCAGGGTAATATCATTATCATCAGGATATACAGTATAAACTTATTAGGCTTATCTGTATGGGTGTCATTCTTTTTAAGGGGCCCAAAAGTCTACATGCTCTCTTTACTGTACATAATACATTGACCCACTCTTGGAAGAAAATGGAAATTCTATCTATTCCAAAGAGCTTCTATATGATTAAAATCCAACACGTCTTCGCATTAAAGCCGCAGTTTGTAATTATTTTATCGTGGTGTTGATGGTCTCTGTACAGTACTCACATAAAGCGCAGTTCAGACTCCCTCCTCACCAGCACCTCCCTGAGACGCTGGATGCGAGCCATCTCCACTTCAATCTCATCTGGAGACATGATGCTCTCTGCCATGGACACATCTGACTGACCTGGAGAGAGAGAGAGGGGGAACTTTGTGTTTTAACACTAGTGTGAGTTACATCATTCTAACACATCGAGAGAGAGAGAGAGAAGGCTGGTCATTTCCTTTCTGTTTTAAATATTTTAATAGATAATTCATAAAAAACTAACACAATACCAACTTCTGGACTTCAGAACCGAAGGGCCTATTCTATTGTTGCCACCATCAAAGAGTCTGAAGAGGAGCCCTATGTCCTCCTTCCTCTGACTTAAAGAACAGTACATGGAATCGTTATATGGAGTAAAGATATAATAAATAACACGAGGCAGAATCCCAATGGACAAGTGTTTCTGCATTACTGCCTAGCCTTGCATATTATTGTCCTCCCTTTATCCAGTACAAAGCCCAAGGCTTGTTTGGCAGCTTTATTTTACAGTAATACAACACTACTCCCTGCTCCATCCAACGTCCTAATTATGAATGTGACGCTCGAGTAAGTCCAGGGACAAGATACGCATAGTAAATTATCTGAAATGTAAATGACACTAGGAATTTCTCTCTTGACTAAATGAAAAGCATGGTGTTGCTTTTGAGCTGTCTTTTTCATGTCTTGTCTTCAAAGCAAAAAACCTTACTCACTCACACTAATTTGTAAGTCGCTCTGGATAAGAGCGTCTGCTAAATGACGTAAATGTAAATGTCACACGCTGTCAAAGTGGTAAACCTAGACAAGTCCAGATGATAGTAACGGTATGTGTCATTTTGTCTCACAGTGTGACACTCTGGCTCCATGGACGTTGATTGTTGAGCCAGGGTTGTTCATTTTCATTATTTGGGGTGTATTTCTATGTTGGTAGTTCTGTTGTGTGTATTTCTAGGTTTGCCTTTCTGTTGGGTTCATGTCTAGGTTTGGTCTATGACTCCCAATCGGAGGTAACGAGTGTCAGCTGTCGGCTCGTTATCTCTGATTGGGAGCCATATTTAATCTGTATGTTTTCTTGTGGGAGTTGTGGGTTTTTGTTCCATGTTTCTGTTAGTGTTACAGAGGACTTCACTATCGTCATTTGTTGTTTTTTCGTGGTTGCTTTATTTAATAAAGTCATTATGTTCACTCCACGCGCTGCGTATTGGTCCGCTTCTTCAGACGATCGTGACAGAAAAACCCACCACAAAAAGACCAAGCAGCGTGTCAAGCGGCAACAGGACCTACCTACACAGGATTTATGGACTCCCATAAAGGATTCATGGACATGGGAGGAGATTCTGGATGGTGAGGGGCCTTGGGATCAACCGGGAGAATATCGCCGTCCTCGTGAAGAGCGGGAGGCAGCTAAAGCCGAGAGGCGGCGATATGAGGAGGCAGCACGGAGGCAAGGCTGGAAGCCCGAGAGTACTACCCAAAAATTTCTTGGGGGGGGGGCTAGAAGGGAGTGTGGCGAAGTCAGGTAGGAGACCTGCGCCTACTCCCTGGACTGACCGTGGAGAGCGAGAGTACGGGCAGACACCGTGTTACGCAGTAGAGCGCATGGTGTCTCCTGTACGCAGGCATAGCCCGGTTCGGTACATTCCGGCTCCACGTATCGGCCGGGCTAGACTGAGCATTGAGCCAGATGTCATGAGGCCGGCCCCACGCATCCGGTCACCAGTGCGTCTCCTCGGGCCGGCTTACATGGCACCAGCCTTACGCATGGTGTTCCTACAGTGAGGGGAAAAAGGTATTTGATCCCCTGCTGATTTCGTACGTTTGCCCACTGACAAAGAAATTATCAGTCTATAATTTTCAGTCCTTCACGGCGTAGTGTGTTACCAATTGTTTTCTTGGTGACTATGGTCCCAGCTGCCTTGAGATCATTGACAAGATCCTCCCGTGTAGTTCTGGGCTGATTCCTCACCGTTCTCATGATCATTGCAACTCCACGAGGTGAGATCTTGCATGGAGCCCCAGGGCGAGGGAGATTGACAGTTCTTTTGTGTTTCTTCCATTTGCGAATAATCGCACCAACTGTTGTCACCTTCTCACCAAGCTGCTTGGTGATGGTCTTGTAGCCCATTCCAGCCTTGTGTAGGTCTACAATCTTGTCCCTGACATCCTTGGAGAGCTCTTTGGTCTTGGCCATGGTGGAGAGTTTGGAATCTGATTGATTGCTTCTGTGGACAGGTGTCTTTTATACAGGTAACAAACTGTGATTAGGAGCACTCCCTTTAAGAGTGTGCTCCTAATCTCAGCTCGTTACCTGTATAAAAGACACCTGGGAGCCAGAAATCTTTCTGATTGAGAGGGGGTCAAATACTTATTTCCCTCATTAAAATGCTAATCAATTTATAACATTTTTGACATGCGTTTTTCTGGATTTTGTTGTTATTCTGTCTCTCACTGTTCAAATAAACCTACCATTAAAATTATAGACGGATCATTTCTTTGTCAGTGGGCAAACGTACAAAATCAGCAGGGGATCAAATACTTTTTTCCCTCACTGTAGTTCCGAGTGGGAAATTTCACTTTAATAACCCTCCAAGTAGGAATTACAAGTAGGAAACTTGGAGAAAATGTTGTTACCCGAGTTGCGACGTTTCACCACGACCTTTCACCTTTTCAAACAAAAGATGACAACACATCTGTTTTTGACAATTACAACCTTATCAATATGGAGAATGTAGATAGTTTCACCATATTGTCAATGTTAAACAAGCTAAGTAACTTTATTATTAGCAATGTTATCTAGCTTATCAAGCTAGCTAAAGTCTTATTGGTTAAATAATTGTTCCGACTTCAAAAGCACTTCAACACAATCATGTCAGACTTACGACTTCCCATTTCCCATTTTCCACGAGCATGTGAAGCCAGCATAAGCAACTGAATGATCATTGCAATCCCAATGTCAACCAACTGAACACACTACTAACAATAATCCTAGGCTTCTCCAATGTGTAGCCTATGTCAGCACAAAAGCAAACTGGGGGCGATTAATAAACACATATTGCAGTCAATAGTACAAGCAACGGAACAATCATCACACTCCCATTGTCAGCAAGAGTGCATAGGTCACAGGAGGCTGCTGAGGGGAGGACGGCTCATAATAATGGCCGGAACGGCGCAAATTTGGAATGGCATCAAACATCTGGAAACCATGTGTTTGATGTATTTGTTACCATTCCACTAATTCTGCTCCAGTCATTACCACGAGCCCGTTGTCCCCAATTAAGGTGCCACCAACTTCCTGTGGCCAAGGCTTAGGGGGCAACTTCCAATCCTCTAATTTCACACCTTGGACATCCATTGTAAACTATAGCCTCCCATCCCCCACTAGGCAGGACGTAAATATTTCACTCAGGGTTAGAAGGACGTACTGTACAGTACTGCTGGGAGACAGTACAGTACTGCTTCCAGACAGATTTCCCAGATGGAGACAGACAGGCTACGAGGCCAGAGAGGTGAACTGACTGTTCTGTGACTCCTCAACCAACTACTGGTAACGCTATCCATCCAGAAACCTTTACAAGGTGCTAATGTGGAGGGAGGACTCTTAAAGACAGTCGACAAAAAGGAAGTAGTGGTGTTCCAAATCTTGGTAATAAAGAACAAAAAACGATGTCACCTCATTTCAAATCAAATCAAATCAATGTGTATTTGCCACATCCGCCGAATACAACAGGTGTAGACCTTACAGTGAAATGCTTACTTACAAGACCTTAACCAACAATGAGTTTTAAGAAAAACAAGTGTTAAGTAAAAAATAGATAAGTAAATAACAAATAAATAAATAAATAATTAATAAAATAACAGTAGTGAGGCTGTATACAGGGGGTACCGGTACAGAGTCAGTGTGCGGGGGCACCGGTTTGTCGAGGTAATTGAGGTAATATGTACATGTGGGTAGAGTTAAAGTGACCTTCTATTGTTTTCTTTGGCTGGATGAGATTTTGACATTCATTTGAGTGACTGTTTTTGTCTAAGACAAATGTAACAAGAATCGAAATTGCATCCTGTGACTGTTCATAGCTGATGAGATTCAATGCTTAGCTTGACGTCGAGTCCTTGAATAAAAAGTAGCGACCTGATGTTTTCCCTGCTGTTGTAACCGCAGCATGAAAACATTGCTGATACCAACACAGTTGTAGCTGCAGTCTATAACGCAGTGTGGTAAACTGTGGGGGATTTATACCAAGTGGTTTCTCTCTCTCTTCCTCTACCCCTCACTGCTCTCTCTATCTTTCTCTCTCTCTCTATCTTTCTCTCTCTCTCTCTCTCTCTCCTCTACTTCTTTCTCTCTCTCGCTCTCTCTCCTCTCTTCTCCTCTACTCTCGTCCTCTCTCTCTCTCTCTCTCTCTCACTTTCTCTTCCTCTCTCTCTCTCCCCTCCTCTCTCTACCTCTCTCTTTACCCTCTCCTCTTTCTCTCCCCCTCTCTCCTCTCTTTCTACCTCACACAAAGACACACACACTCACTCACACGCGCACGCACGCACACACGCGAACACACACACACAATTTGCTGCTGACTGTCAATAGGACCGAGCCACACAAAGTCCTGACTGGCCCATTATGATGGCAGAGAACCAGGTCTGTAATGACTAACACACAAAGGATCTAAACTGCCTACTGCTCTTAGCTAAGGAAGTTATCTTAACGCAGTACATACTCAGTCAGCACACACTCCCACACTCAGTGGTCCACATTCAGCCACCAGCACGATTAGAGAGTGTGAGGAGGAAGATATTACTCATGGGGGTCTCCAACTACACTCCTGGCTACATGGCAAATGTTAAGTATGGAAGACTGAGGCTCTGTTCCAATATCCACAGCTCCATACCAATTAGTATGAAGCAATGTATTGGGCATGCATTCTTCGTGGTATGCTAGTGTGGGCACCACGGAAGGCAAAATGGCATTGAAAGACAAAGTAAGAATAATGATAAACCTACTACAGGAAAACAGACACAGTATGGCCTACAGACAGAACTGTATCGAAAAGACAAAGACAAAACAATAAGGGATGGATTCAATCCGTATCGCTGAAGTATCGTGGAATATCCGCCTTATAGCTCCAATGAAATTTAAAGGCAATATTCCCGCGTTCGTGGTAAACACAGCATATGTTGGCTCAATCGGAAATTACCTTTACATTTTAATACGGATCGTCCGTGATACGTATTGAATCCAGCTCTAAATCTATACAGTAACAGCAACATTTGTTCCTCCCCAGTCCCCACAGTCACTATTAGAAGAAATACCAGGCTCCCCTATCAACGTAGCTTCACTGTCATCACTGGCAGAGCCAAGCCAGTTATTAACACAATGTAATCACACTAATTGCATTAAAACAAACTGCCTAATCAATACCCTGAACATCTGTTTATCAATCAACTGATCAGCATAATGAGAGCCTTGATAGAACAAGTCGGAGGAGGAGGAGGAGGAGGGTGGACACAGATGTCTGCTTGATGAGGGGAAGCAGATCTGTGATGTGGATATAATCTGCGTAGGAGCCACTTCAGGGTTATGTTCATTAGGGCATACAATGGAAAATGTTTTAAAACTTTTTGTAATGGAAACCGAAAATGAGATTTTCTTATTGTGCAAAGTCTGGTAGTCCCTCCCTGTTCAGTCTGCTTTCCTCCTAATGAACAGGGCCCAGAAGTACTACGTTAATTATAATGTTCCCCACTGTGTTTTAGTATCCAGCTATGCGACTCCCAACACAGATGGAAGTTGAAAGTTGGAACACACAAGGAGGAACCAGGGAAGGGGGGTGAATAGGTGTGTGTGTGTGTGTGTGTGTGTGTGTGTGTGTGTGTGTGTGTGTGTGTGTGTGTGTGTGTGTGTGTGTGTGTGTGTGTGTGTGTGTGTGTGTGTGTGTGTGTGTGTGTGTGTGTGTGTGTGTGTGTGTGTGTGTGTACTGGATGGGGAAGGAGAATGGGGAATGAGAGTCTATCTCTAAAAATAGCTGCAGCCTTCTTCTATTCATATTCAAGAGCTGAAGAATTCATCTCAGACTTTCTGCACCCCACTCTCCTCTCTTCTTCACTCCTGTTCTAACTCAAAGGAATTAATGAAGAGGACACAAATAATATATTATTCCATCAAGATCCAACGGGCCGATTTCTGTTGAAAGATTGATTCAGGCTGTTATGGTCAAATAGGACAGGAAGACATTATGAGCATCTGAATGCAGACAAACAGTCATAATTGGAGTTAGGCCTGGACAGATGTCACACAGACAGCGCTACACGAAATAGACAGAAAAACATACCTACCAGTATAAATCAAGTGAATATTGAACTTGAACTTGAACCCCATAGGTGTGTGAGGGTGACTCATGACAGGATTCTCTGCTGTGGATCTCTGGTTACATAAAGCACACAATATGACCTCTTTGTTATGACTCTGTCATCCCTGACCTCTGACCTCTCACCTCTGACCTCTGTTTACCCTCCATGACCCTCTTTATTTCTGTATTAGTAGACATACACTACCGGTCAAAAGTTTTAGAACACCTACTCATTCAAGGGTTTTTCTTTATTTTTTTACTATTTTCTACATTGTAGAATAATAGTGAAGACATCAAAACTATGAAATATATTTGTTTAACACAAAAAAAGTGTTAAACAAATCAAAATATATTTTATATTTGAGATTCTTCAAATAGCCTTGATGACAGCTTTGCACACTCTTGGCATTCTCTCAACCAGCTTAATGAGGTAGTCACCTGGAATGCATTTCAATTAACAGGTGTGCCTTGTTTAAAGTTAATTTGTGGAATTTCTTTCCTTCTTAATGCGCTTGAGCCAATCAGTTGTGTTGTGACAAGGTAGGGGGGTATACAGAAGATAGCCCTATTTGGTAAAAGACCAAGTCCATATTATGGCAAGAACAGCTCAAATAAACAAAGAGAAACGACAGTCCATCATTACTTTAAGACATGAAGGTCAGTCAATACGGAACATTTCAAGAACTTTGAAAGTTTCTTTAAATGCAGTCGCAAAAACCATCAAGCGCTATGATGAATCTGGCTCTCATGAGGACCGCCACAGGAATGGAAGACCCAGAGTTACCTCTGGTACAGAGGATAAGTTCATTAGAGTTATCAGCCTCAGAAATTGCAGTGCAAATAAATGCTTCACAGAGTTCAAGTAACAGACACATCTCAACATCAACTGTTCAGAGGAGACTGTGTGAATCAGGCCTTCATGGTCGAATTGCTGCAAAGAAACCACTACTAAAGGACACCAATAAGAAGAAGAGACTTGCTTGGGCCAACAAACACGAGCAACGGACATTAGACCGGTGGAAATTTGTCCTTTGGTCTGGAGTCCAAATTGGAGATTTTTGGTTCCAACCCCCGTGTCTTTGTGAGACGCGGTGTGGGTGAACGGATGATCTCCACATGTGTATTTCCCACCGTAAAGCATGGAGGAGGAGGTGTTATGGTGTGGGGGTGCTTTGCTGGTGACACTGTCTGTGATTTATTTAGAATTCAAGGCACACATAACCAGCATGGCTACCACAGCATTCTGCAGCGATACGCCATCCCATCTGGTTTGGGCTTAGTGGGACTATCATTTGTTTTTCAACAGGACAATGACCCAACACACCTCCAGGCTGTGTAAGGGCTATTTGACCAAGAAGGAGAGTGATGGAGTGCTGCATCAGATGACCTGGCCTCCACAATCCGCCGACCTCAACCAAATTGAGATGGTTTGGGATGAGTCGGACCGCAGAGTGAAGGAAAAGCAGCCAACAAGTGCTCAGCATATGTGGGAACTCCTTCAAGACTGTTGGAAAAACATTCCAGGTGAAGCTGGTTGAGAGAATGTTCTAAAACGTTTGACCGGTAGTGTATATCATACTGTTCGGATGACAGCTTCATGGCACTAGCCTAGCCTACCCATAACATCACAAATAGATGAAGAACAATGACCATGGCACATCATATAAACAACATTATTGAAACACTTATCTTAAAAATGTGTCTTCCTTTCGAAAGACCTCTCATAACATTAATATCTATCTTGCTGATAGAAAAAGGATGAAAACGAGGAGGATGAAAATCTCTTGCCAGTTTGTTTATATCATCTTCCTTGCTGGTATCAGTGCTGGTGATGCTGGTATTGACTCACACACTCACAGCCCAGCAGGTAGGCTTCTAGCCTGTTCTACTGTGCTGCATCCATCGACTGGAAGGGGTGCAGTTCAATCCATTAGGTCCAAGACCCAGTCAGACAACTTTGGAATGTACAGTCAGCTGAAAGCAAAGAGCTGGGAGCATTTCAGTGCTTCTTAGGCGTTATGGAAATAGGCTAGTAGATATAGGGCATTACATACATGTATACATTTCGGGGCTCCTCACCTATGTGCTATTGTAATATATACTGTTAATACAGTGGGTAAGCTACTGTAAATGGAAACTGGTTTATGTCATATGCTTCTGAGAAAGATCTTCTCAAATATTAATGTTATGGTTATTATCAGTGAATAACTGGTCAAATGCACCTCCAAAATACATTGAAAGCAAAGCACATGCATGGAGATGTATCCAGTCTATTTTCTAGGCAATTGGAATGACATTTACAAAACAATAAAGATGCACGAACCCATTGAAATTGATGGGTGTTGTTTTGCAACGCAACATCCCCTATTTGAAACCACATGCTTTATTCTGCACAGAGCAATAACCATTATAACCGGCGAAAACGTTACTTTGCAATGAATGACGCTCACCTTTGTCTTTTGTCCATTCCGTTTCTGATACAGCGCCGTAGCTCTTCAATGAGCGCTCGGTATCAGAAATTGATTTCTTCAATTCCATAGCTAGAATCGATGTATGATACACTATGACTTTAATGGGTTGTGGAAAGGTGTGTTAAAAACCTATATAAAAATCCTGTAGCGCGTCTGTTTTCCTTTCAGGATAAATCAGTTTCGCCCGATTTGAAGGCACCACCGACCTGAGACTTTCAGCATCTTTCTTTAAGCTTACAAATTCCTTGACGTGTGGTACACAGATGGATGCAGCGCGCATGCGCATTGCGAACCGCAGAAGGGGAGAAAAACGACACCGAGGTTGCGTTGAAATATTTTTAAATACAAGCTGGAAATCGACATTTTCTATACATTTCTACTAGTTTTCCATCAAATTATTTATTAGAAGAATTTTTTAGCAATAGCAGTTTTTTCAATGAAGATGTCACTAGGCCTAGGCTTATGTGCTGAACATGTGGAGCAGGATTACATTTATAGAAAAATGTTTCGCTAATACAGTATCACTCTCGAAACAGCAAGTCCTTCAAACGAGTGGATGTCAAATAATTTGAGATACTCTATGGCTATGCATTGAAGCTGAGTAGGCAGAGCAGGTGGTACCCTGTTAGGGGTCTGTTCAATATGGCTCTGACGTGATGACTCATTTCAAGGCTGTTGAACCTTTAGGATGTTGCTATGTTGATGCACATGATTGGGCCAATAATCAGTTTCACTTGGACGTTTTTTGATGTGTAAAACATATGTATTAAGAGATTAATTAAAAAAGAGAATAGACCGGCATTGATGTTGTCTTTAATTTTAATTTACAATAATAAATATATTTAATCTGAGGCAAGGTTAGTCTCACAATAGACTTGGATTGATGTGCACCAATAGGCCTACATTCGAAATATTTAGTAAAATATCATATTAATCGTATTACAATGTATAACAATTGTGTACTAGTAGAAAGACAGATGTTTATAGATTGATCCCACAGATAAAATCAATTGAATATAGCCCTATAGTACCTAATGCTCTGCTAAACATTATGTACTAGTTGGATCATGTACAGACATGATAGGAAATATAATATATATCATGAAAACAGCAATAGTTTCAGCGTTCTCCACATAATATCTAATGTAATCCCAGTTATTAAGACATACAGTACAGACACAGATGTCTGCTTGGGGAAGCAGATGTCTGAGGGGAAGCAGATCTGTGATGTCAATATCATCTGTGTAGGAGCCACTTCAGGGTTATGTTCGGTAGGACATGCAACAGAAAATGTTTTCAAACATTTTGTAACGGATGATCATTTCAAGCAAAAATCTATATTGGGCATTGATTACCAAATATTGTAAATAGTATTAACATATGTATCTATTACTATAGATTTGATAAATTATTAATGTTGTCAGCAATATGTGATGATGAGAGATAGGAAATATTACAAACAAATAAATAACAAGATTAGTCTATCACTATGATTCAATGCTCATTGGAAATGCATACTCTTCTTTCAGACCTCAGAGATAAGAGCAGAAAATGTAAAATAGCCTACAGAGTATAACACACTGAGTGTACAAGTTGTTTGTCAAGAGGGGGACAGAGAGAGGTGAGAGAGAGAGAGAGAGAAAGGGGGGGAGATCAAAATAGGTACAGTAGTACAAGCACTTCTATGTTCAAATATGGTTTGTTCAAGAATGCTGGATCCAATGGTTGTCAATAACAGTTCAATAAATACAAAGCCCCTTTGTATAGCAATACGTTACACCCTGCCAATATCTTGTGCAGTAGCATAGCACATTGGAATTGAACTTTTCAAGATGAGAACATTTTGAGGTATAAGATTCATAAATAGATGGAATTCTTATCTGAAGATTCTATAGAACCAGAATCTACCAGAGATTCATTTTGAGTCAGTGCTTGTCTGTGGTCCCTTCTCTTGGCTAGGTGTTGTGTCAGTTTATGCGCCCTTGTTCAAACTAGCCTCCACCTCCTTTGTTCATGCTTGGTCGTCCTGCTTAACAGTGGGTGTTCGTGTCTCCTCTTTGGGGCTTGGGCTGTCCTGTTTGGGTCCTTCTGTGTCCAGTTTGGGCCCTGTCTGGTCCAGTTTGGGCCCTGGTTTCTCCGCTTCAGGCTCTGTCGTCGTGCCCTGTTTTGGAGTAAACATCCATGCGAGGGCGGCGGTGGCCGTGCCGTCCCCACTCTGACGTGAGAAACACAGGAAGGTGGCCCAGACGAAGGCACAGCACCCTGTGAAGGTGGTCCGCATGTACAGTGGCACCAGGGAAAAGTTCAGGAACTAGGAGAGGGGGAAGGAAGAGATAAGAGGAGAGGAGAGGAGGAAGACTGGGAGGTAGGTGAGGGAGTAAAGTCTTGTTCATTGGACATATGTAAATGTTTATGGGATACAGTAAATATATCGTGAAACCATAATGATTGACATTGTTCAAGTTAGTAGTACTGGGTGGATAGGATGTGCATTGTTCAAGGCTTTCGTATACACTAAGATATGATTATACAAAGACAGTCATTTACCTGCATGAATGGCCAGAACATGAGTCCAGTCTGCAAGAGAAAAGCATATCAACCATTACAAGATTAGACTTTGTCCACATTTTTAGACAGCCCAAAGTAAATAGAAAGTAAATAGACTCGTAAGACCTCCAACACACTGATAGCCTACATTTGAACTGATACGACCTTTCACCAATGATTTTCAGACTGTCTGTCTGGGGCTTGACTTCTAAGATACATCAAGAGAGGCTTCTTAGTTGATTAGTCAGCATTGAGGCCTAGTCTAATTTCCATCCATAGTAGTCTGGCCAAGCAATACTATGTCTACTGAAACTTGAGGATGGGAAAGTATCATATACACTGAGTGTACAAAACATTAGGAACACCTGCTCGTTCCATGACATAGACTGACCAGGTGAATCCAGGTGAGAGCTATGATCCCTTATTGCTGTCACTTGTTAAATCCACATCAATTAGTGTACATGAAGGGGAGGAGACAGGTTAAATAAGGATTTTTAAGCCTTGAGACAATTGAGACATGGATTGTGTATGTGTGCCATTCAGAGGGTGAATGGGCAAGACTAAAGATTTAAGTGCCTTTGAACGGGGTATGGTAGTAGGTGCCAGGCGCACTGGTTTGTGTCAAGAACTGCAACGCTGCTGGGTTTTTCACACTCAACAGTTTCCCATGTGTATCAAGAATGGTCCACCACCATCCCTGTGGAGCGCCTTTCGACACCTTATAGAGTCCATGCCCGAGGAATTGAGGCTGTTCTGAGGGCACCCAGTTCAATGTAACAGCAATAGGTTTAGGCTACTACATGATACTCTAATTTTCCCTATACCCATCATGAGGTTGCTACAACCTAGCCTATGAATGGAAGTTTACAAAGTAGGTGCACACAGGTCGAGAGACAAATTTGAGGCGACAGACAGTGACACATGAACAGACAGTGACATTCAATACCGCCTTGCACACTCTTGCCTGCATCTAGCTGATATAGGGTGTAATCATTAGTCCAACAGTTGCAAACGAGAGTTTCTATTGGACAAATTCAGGTATGTTTATCCCCGTTTTGTTACGTTTGCTTCCGTTTAAGATTTTTTTTTCAACAGAATCGGCAGAAAGAATACACCCCTGATCACGCATAAACACAGTTCACTTTCATAGCAGCCACGTTGTATTCCTTCTATGCACTCTCCTCCTCTCACCTTGTCCCTTTACTTGTGGACTTCAATGCACAACACATCAGCTGTATGTGACCAGACGAAAAAACCTTTCCAAGCCAAACCGCTGCACACAGCCTACATCGTTGTCACCATATTAGCTAAAGTAACATCATAGTCAGCATAGCTAATAGAACTAATGCGTTAGTAAACCCGCTACAATCATGCAGTAATGTTAGTGTACAGTCAGTAAGCAGTTACACCGGCGGGCCCCGGTGGAAATACATTTGTATACCAAAAGCTTACCTTGACTTGGAAGAGTTCCAGTGTTGTGTTGGATAGTCATAGCCAGCTAGCTAACATAGCATCCCTCTGTTCGAGCAGGGTGTTTCAGTAGGCTAAACTAGCTAGCTGCATTTGCTAGCTAAGTAAGTGAAGAAAAAAAAAAGAAAAAATCTCTCTCTCTATTTCTCTCTTGCTTCTTCATTTTGGAAGAAATGAATTTGTTCAAAACTGTTAAACTATTTTATTTCTCTCTCTTTGAGTCAACTACTCACCACATGTATACACTGCAGTGCTAGCTGGCTGTAGCTTATGCTTTCAGTACTAGATTAATTATCTGATCCTTTGAATGGGTGGACAACATGTCAGTTCATGCTGCAAGAGCTCTGATAGGCTGGAGGACATCCTCCGGAAGTTGTCATAATTACTGTGTAAGTATATGGAAGGGGGTGAGAACCATGAGCCTCCTAAGTTTTGTATTGAAGTAAATGTACCCAGATGAGGACGGAAGCTAGCTGTCCTCCGGCTACACCATGGTGCTACCCTACAGAGTGCTGTTGAGGCTACTGTAGACCTTCTTTGCAAAATAGTGTGTTTTAATCAATTGTTTGGTGACATGTGATTATATTCAGTATAGTTTTATCTAAAAATGATAACTTTTTAAATGTTTTAAATTTGAGTTTTTATGAAATTCACTGAGGAGGATGGTCCTCCCCTTCCTCTTCTGAGGACCCTCCACTGGACTATATGTGAGTGAAAATCTGACGGCCGCCCTAACCCGCAAATATAGAAAATTTGTTTTAGGCTACAGTCAAAGACGGCGGAACAATTTTTTGACAGCTTGTGCAAGATTTTTTTGTTGCCTGCTTTAGATATGTTTCTGCTTATAATTTTCGTCATTTTGGTAAGCTATTTGTTAGTCAACTTGTCTATAATTAGATACATGCAGCTTCTCTTCTATGTTGCCCTAGAAGACTAAATAAACCCTTGCTCACCAGAATGTCATATACCGATAGAATGAATGCTTAAATCTAGTTGACAACAGTAAAGTTTTCTCGGTCATCTTCTTTTGCGGAGCAAAGATGTTAAGGGACCGGGGAGAAAACACAATAACTCAACAACAACAAAAATAGGAAAGATTTTCTGTGCAAAATTTCCAAATGAGATCAGTTTGACCGGTTGTAAGGAAATAGAAAGCTGTGAAAACGACCCAATATGTTTCTGATAAGATTTCAGTTGGGCTTGCATATTTTATGTGGTTGAAATACTAATCCAGAGCGATTTAAAGGAGCAATTAGGGTTAAGTGCTTTTCTCAAGGGCACATCGACAGATTTTTCACCTAGTCAGCTTGGGAATTAGAACCAGCGACCTTTCGATTACTGGCACAACGCTCTTAGCCACTAAGCTACTTGAAAGTACTACTTAAGTCGTTTTTGTGGGTATCTGTACTTTACTTTACTATTTATATTATTGACTACTTTTACTTTTACTTCACTACATTCCTAAAGAAAATAATGTACTTTTTACTCCATACATTTTCCTTGACACCCAAAAGTACTCGTTACATTTTGAATGCTTAGCAAGACAGGAAAATTTTCCAATTCACGCACTTATCAATAGAACATCCCTGGTCATCCCTACTGCCTCTGATCTGGCGGACTCACTAAACACACATGCTTAGTTTGTAAATGATGTTGGAATGTTGGAGTGTGCCTCTGGCTATCCGTAAATTAAAAAAATAAGAAAATGGTGCCATTTGATTTGCTTATTATAAGGAATTTGAAATGATTTATACTTTTACTTTTGATACTTAAGTATATTTTAGTAATTACATGTACTTTTGATACTTAAGTATATTTTAAACCAAATACTTTTAGACTTTTACTCAAGTAGAACTTTACTGGGTGACTTTTACTTTTACTTGAGTCATTTTCTATTAAGGTAGCTTTACTTTTACTCAAGTATGACAATTGGGTACTTTTTCCACCACTGGAGGTAATAGACCTACAGTCAGTGTCCAGATTTCAGTTTCCATTAAACCCATCTGAACAGTAGGCTACAGTCCCCTTTAACTTCCCTATTTAAAGTCCCCTTCTTGTGACTATCGAATTTGTATAGCGCCTCACAATCATCACACTTAACATAGCTATCATCGTCTTTTACCACTTCAACAAATGTTTCCCAAACATTACTTTTCTGGCCCTCCCTTCTCTTTATTTTCAACTCACCATTTCGCAGCTTTTCTCTTAATGAACTAAACTCCGACATTGTCCTTTTTGCCTCGGTGGATTGACATTAACTTTTTCTACCCGTTCCCAAAATAATTTGGCGATTGGCTGTAGGCTATTTGGCGCGTCCTAAAGTTTAGGCTTACGCACTAATGCCAGATAGCCAACAATAACGAAAGAAAAATCTCAATGTAAACTATAGATATAAATTGCAAAAGAATGATACATTTATGGATTTTTTAAGGTATTGTTTTCTCTTTATTCAACCTGCCCGCCACCCACAATATTTAATGGCCATAAACCCGTCCGCGGGGACTGCGGGTTATGGGTCAACCTGCGCATCACTACTGAGTAATGGCATGGTTTTTTTCCTAACCACTTGACTGACCTGACCAGAAAAACAGGACCCAATGGCATGATTGGAGTTTCTCTTCAGACTATAGACTCACCTTATATGTATTCAGGAACTTCTCCCTCCAGTCCTGGAAAATGTCCTCTTTGCCCTCCAAGAAACTCACCCCTAGGGAAAACACAACTCAGTGTGTTTAGTCAAATATCTGTTAGCCTACATTTAGAGACAACCATTGACTTGAATGGCTACTTTACTTGGTTGAAACCAACATTTGTAGGATTTAACTATCCGTAATGTCATATATGGAGCTCACATCTGTTCAAGTCTTTCACGTGACCTCAGTTAGGTCTACATACAGACAGATAGAGTGAGCTTTGCGAATAGATTATCAATTAATACAGAATGAACAGTTTAAGGTCCAATTGTTACATATTCACAGAAAGGGCCTAGAACACGTGCTGGAAGTTAATAATTAACTGTCAATAAGATATCACAGAGACTAGCTATGCGGAATTGTTTGTCAATGAGTGTTCTCGAGCTTTCTGACTAACCTGTGTAGAATACACTTGTGGCCAAAGGAGCGGCTGTGGTCTGGTCCAAGAAAAGTTTACGCACAACCATCCTGACCGAATTCCCGGGAAATCTGCGCTCCAAAACCCGCATCCAGAAGAAGTTAAAGTTGCCGTGGAAACTGAAAGCGACCACCGCCACATTGCGTGTGTGCCTCCAGTCCATTTCTTCATTGCGCGAGAACGACTGGTGAACGAAATCCCCACCGGCGAACAGGCAACCGTAGAGGGTTACGTTGGTAAGCCACGGAAACCTTTTGACGTGTTTTATGAATGCCTTTCTCATGTTGTCGACATCAGAATACAGAACCTTGAATAGAATATGACAAATGGAACGAGGTCGATGTCAAGCAGTCGATGGATGGGGTCTTCGCCGTCTTCTGTCTGAAAAGCCCATTTTGGTATCATCTCTCACTCACACATAGGCCTATCACATTTTCCAATGTAACAGACATTTCAATTCAGTTCTATTTTCACAAAATATCAACGAATTTGGCTAAATAAGCCTAGCGTTTAATAACGTAAATCAAAAACATAATACTCGCGGTGAAACCAGCAGAGAGGGTTAGTGCGTAAATCCGAAACGTCAAGTACCGTACTGAATTCTGCGTAAAATGGGTACGCCCCCCCACCCCCCCCCCAGTGACGCAAAATCAGAGCAGAAGACGCCATATTCAGGAGGAGCTTATTGGCCACTGTATTACATTCCAGTACCCAGATCTCAAGAAGAAGATAATTTAAATATGATATCTTTATTATACAATGAACCTTTATAATAGAATAGCATTTTATCTTCAATGTTATAAAATGCACAAAAGCCCATAATGTGCACTGTGCAAAACCAACTGAGTTTTTCAACCAGTCTCCACTGTATGATGTGCAGAATACAAATATAGACAACAGGAACTTCACAAAAAATGGCTGATTCCACCCAGGTCCATATTCTCCTTATCATCCTAATTTTGTATAAAAACCCTTTCTTATGTTCTGGGTATGTTCCCGGTTTGCTGGGTAGTCTGTCCTGTCTCTTCACTGGGGTCAGCCAGTCAAGTCAGGTGAACCATGAGAGTGGCAGTCCATACAACACAGCCCATACACTACATAGCAATAGAACAGTGTTGACATCCAAAAGAGTGTCACTGATCCTTATCAAATCCTTTTGATTTTGGAGAATCGATGAAGAAGTCTGCTCCCTCTTCTCTCCTATGGCTTTCATTTTCCTCAAATTTGACTGTGATGGGAATATCCCTTGCTGCTGTAGCGGCTCCACGGACAGCATAACTCACAAGAACAGCCATAATAATGCCTATAGGAATCCCAATACATGCGCCAAGTGTTCCATGTTGTGCACCTGCAACCGCTCCCATGAGTGCTCCCACTACAGCAGTCATAATCACTATTAGTGGTTTGACGTAGTGGCCCACTACAGACAAGGTCTCTTCTCTGTATCCTTGCTTGACAGCCTGTAGGTCCACGTTCCGATTGTCAGCCATCACCGACCTGTCCTGCTTCTCTGTGCTCACTTCAAAGAACAAACAAACATACACACACACACACAGTTCATGAATCAGACCACCGTTACAGATGTAGGATCTTAATTTGAGCCAGTTTGCTACAGCAGGAAAATAATTCTGCAGCAACAGGAAATGTGAATTATTATGTGGATTATAATTAATGGACAGTTGTGTAGGGGTTGATACATTTTTCGTTAGGGCAAATCAAGTCTAACATTTCAAAGTGGAAATTACAAAGAAGCCTTTTTAAAACTCAAATACACTACAAGTGAACATTTCCTGCTTTGCAGGTATATTCTCAGCAACAAAAGAGTGATCAAATTAAGTTCCTACATCTGTACATATACAGGTCTATGTATTTGCATTTTAGATTTCTAATAGTGGCATTATCATACTTACTACTGGGGGGAAGTAGTTGACTGCTACTCGTCCTCTTCATCAACCCTTCTTTAGGCTTCTCTTCTTTATACTTCTTCAGCTCTTCTTCTTTTTCCTTTAACTCTCTTTTGAATTTCTGTTTCAGTCTGTCCTCTCTGTCTTCATACATCCTTCTCAGCTCGGTCACTTCTCTTGGCATTGTAGTCTCCATCAGTTCATAGTATACTTGGGGGATGAAGAATTCTTCACAGTTTTCTGCTACCATAGCATCTATCTTTTTCAGGAGCTCAGGAATCTGGGAAGGAGAATTCCCACACTCAAGGAGATGGTGTCTGTCTCCACATTTCACTAGAAGGCTTTTTGCTCTGTCAATCAGCTGATTCTGTTCAATGGATGTGCATTTCTCCTCAGCCTCACTGACAAACAAGACCATGGTAAACTTCCATGCCCTAACTGACAGTAGCTCCACGTGATACTGAATTGCCTTTCTATCAGTGGAGGAGAGCAGCTCGCCCATTGGCACCACCAGAAGAAGAGCATGGGGTCCTGGAGGACATAGGGTTACACTATTCTTAATTTCTTTTTTGATATGTGTGGATGTGCGCTTCACAGTGTCCCAGCCAGGTGTGTCTACCACAGTGACGGTCCTTCCAGCCACCTCACCCTGCTTCTTGACACACATGCCTCCTTCACTCCGGAAGTTATCTCTGCCCAGGATGGTTTTGGCAACTGTACTCTTCCCAGCTCCCACTCTCCCAAGCAGCACGAGTCTAAGATCTGACTGGGGAGGAGGACCCCCTGCATCAGAGGGAAATAATCAGTCACAAGCTTAGCACACAGTCTAACTAACACAATGTATCTCAAACATAGGCTGTGTAAAGGAATTAATTATGAAAATGTAATAACATGTCCAAATGTAGGCTAAACATTCTGGAATGCTGAACTGGAATTTACTTACCATAAACATTTGGGGAGCGTTCACTCGCCATTGCACAGGTAAATAACTTTGTTTTAATGTCGGCTCTCAGAGGTTTCCTCTTACATGCTGTTCTTTAGCTGTCTTGCATTGAAACAAATATTAATGCAGGTTAAATTATGGTGCAGGTTAAATTAGGTCACCATGGCTTATACACATAAAGTGTCCCACACCATTCACAATGATACACAATTTATAGAATATTACTATGCCTCTGTCATCATCATCATCCATGTTATAGACTAGTTTAGACTAGCTTAGAATGAGTTACAGAATGAATAAAGACAGTGATATGATTTCTTCTTTCATAAACACTATGTAAGTCGCTCTGGATAAGAGCGTCTGCTAAATGACGTAAATGTAAATGTAACAAGGAAGTGAAGGAACCAGTAACACAGGAATCCCTGGTGTTAGAGATTACATTTGATAGTGATTACACATGCATGTTAAATCGACTGTGCATTGTAAAATAATTATGTTTAACTTACATTTCTATTATTTTTGATAATTCTCAGTTTCCAATAGCTAACAGTACGGCATGCGCAGAAGCGGGCAGACATGCACGTTAACATTTCCTGAAAAGTTAAGAGGTGGTTTATGAGCATAGTGTATGCACTCTCCAATTACACGATAGACTTTAATCTAGTTGCATAGAGTCGCCTGCTATTGGTTGTACATTATAGCAAAAAACTTTGTCTGAAGTCACATGCAACACAATAATTGTGTAAAACATGTTAAAGCTAAAATAAAGTGATGTTTTCCATCTATGCCCCAAAAAGGGACAAACTGCAGGTATACTGTAATCAAATCCACTCATGCACACACTTCAGTAAAGAAGTGTTCAAGCACAGACAAACACTTGATGTGATGATTATTCCATGATAGGGAAGCCATAAAACTACTTTGTGTAAGCAGAAGAACAAATAAAGTTAAACAATAAGGACTTCAATAATCAAATATAGTCACTGAACAATATTGATAACCATTACATCAGCATTCAACAACATATCTAAACGTAAAAATCATGTACTTCACTTACCTTGTAACGCTAGTGGTTCAGTTCTTGAGCTGGCATTAACAGTAAGTCGCATGTTATTGTGAGGAGTGACGCTGGCAAATATGTTCATTCTGTTTGGTTTCTCTTTGCTTTGTGCTACTGTAGGTGTGGCCAGTGCAATGTGCAACACCAACTGAGTTTGTTTAATGCTCTAAAAACACTAGTCTCCACTGTACCACGTGCAGAATATAAATAAAAATATAAAGGCCAACGTATTCTTTTTAAAATAATCAGATATTGTTTTTTTAACTGTTAATAATAGATTTATTTTGAAACAGTTGATCAAAAACGAAAGTATTGTCAATAATTGTGACTTTTTGATACAAACTAATCATGTTGACATCATATTAGAATGAAATAACAGATGTAGAGGAATCCAGAAAAGAGAAATCCTTGCATGGCAACACTGCTATCTCTTCCTATTTTAGATGCAGTTACAGATTGACTTATTTCCTGAGTGATATACAGAGCAAACTGGATAGCACACACCTCCTCTACTGTTGAGATATGGTTCCGGGTCAATAGACAACGCCTAAGAGCTTTAACCTTGAGCTTCATGTTTATGAAGCAGAGCCAAATATAGACATATATCTAAGGTAGAATGTAAGGTAGAATGTAAAGTAGAATGCCTCAACGAATGGCCCATTGAGTTTGTATGTAGGCCTATTCTTGACCTATAGAGGTCGATCCCTTTGACTCATTAGAGAATTATGACAAAGCATTATCTGGAAAGTAATATTTTTAAATCAGATTTTATATTCTATCAAATGTTTTAACATATTGTCAGCAAATGTGTTCATATTAACAATCATAATATGAAAACAAAATGTATCACTAAAACAAAGACACACTAAGCATCTACTGTATCCGACTATAACAGACACAATTCCGCGCCTGAGACAATACTTTTCACAATCCTCCGTCCGTTTCTCCATCGCAGTTTTTTTCTTACAGCCAAACAGTCCGCAGAACTTCTTATTCTCCTTCTCCCTCTTTTCCACCTCCATCATTGCCCTCCATCGAGAAGGGTTCTGGTTCCTGTGAACAAACAGAGCTCGGAAAATTAGAAATGCTCACTAACAGGGATGTAAACAAATGTGTGCACAAAATGTTTGAGAAATAAGCTTGTTGTGCGTATGGAAAATGTCGGGGATAAAATACATTGACACGTTTGTATTATGATGTTACCACTAGATGACGCTCGTTGACAATAAATAAAATAAAAGGACAGCGTTGTATTCTAGAATATTTCGAAAACAGAACGTTCTTCATGCCTATCCGTCACAGTAGGCTGTCCTGTGTGACAGAAATAGAAAAACGCTGCAAAATGTGAAATCTTATCAAGAAAGAAAGAAAAGGTCTACCTAAAAAAAAAAACATTTAAACACATTGGTTGGAAACAAAGTTTATTCAATTTTCGTCCAATAGCCTCGTTTTATACTAATGAAAACAAGTTGATCACAAAAACCAAGTGAATTAATTGTATACAGGTAGCCTAATTTCAGGGCTGGACAAACAATAATTGATTATCATTTGCAAAACAAATTGTTGTAAGCCTACATTGACAATCAGATTTTCAAATCAATTCTATCTTGAATATAGGCCAAACCCAAATAGGCTAAATGTTCGTGATTAACAGTGATCAAATAAACTATTTGCATGAACATTTACACGCTGTAACCACAGGATAAGGCACCTGCCTCCACAAACACTTTCTGCCTGCAACACCTGTCCCCACCACCACAGTCCCCCTGTCGATCCCGGCCATCCCTCTTAACCCATCCCCGCCTCCCTCTTCGCTGCTCCAGCAGTGCCAGGCCAGAATCTTTATCTGTGTGGTTTGGGCCTGCCGGCATGCCATCCCGCTGGGGAAAGAGCAACTCCGCGAGCCACCAGATTTTTCGCAGTCGGTGTGGCGCAACCAGCGGGGCCAGAAGACCGGAGCTAATTTTACCCACTGGTAGCGCATTCCACAGGTGGCGGAGCGGACCAGCCAGTCACGCAGAGTGCTGGCAACGTCTGCGGGAAGCTCACTCAAATCCAAATCCTCTGCTTCCTTTTCTAGTTTTCGTTGGTAGCGCGCTGCGCCCTCTGTCAGCTCTGGAGACGCGCGGAAGTTGAACCCCTCGTTGGTGGTGTAGTTTGGTATGGCGGGCGGAGCGGGCGGGTCACCACGAGACGCAGTTTGACCACCAGACGCATCCGTGTCGACGCTTTCCCCCTCCGACGTCCAAACCCTTGCTTCGGCTGGGCGTTCTATGGACATCCAGAACGGATCGAAAGACGAGCCCAAAATGCGCAGGAGCCGGTTGTGCCGCAGGTGTTTGGGTTTCGGTGTGTAATGGTAGTTCTCCTCATTCATCGAGAGTGAATATGGCCGAATCAGCTGCGAAGAAGATACGAAACTACTTGATCTGGTCCGTAGAAAGGATACATCATCGAAATCCGTGTCTTTTTGGCCTGTAGGAGTTTCCCTGCGCACCTGCTCCTGGTTGGGAATCACTGAAGTTGCGCTGGTGAGAAAGACAAGCAGATATGTCCAGCACAGGGAAACGCTCCTTAACCAATTCACCAATCCGTTCATTTTCCAAATAATGGATGTCTAAAGTGAAGTCAATCACAGAAGTCCAATACTCTCACAGTTGTAATAGGCCTAGTGCATTGAATCAATAGGTACAGAGGACTGTCCCACTTCCCTGTCTCCTCTCCCCTAGCTCTGGCAAGTCTAATATGTGGTTTCTCTGTCTTCCTCTCATAATACATGGTTGTTTTGGAGTGTCCATATGCCCATACAGTCAGTGTATCAGTGCAGACATCCTTGAACACGGACACAATAATACACAAATAGAACTGATGTCAATGAAGTAGGAGCTGGCAGGAATCTCTCTTATCACCTGAACAACAGGGATTTTATCAGCTATGGCTGGAACAGGCAATACTGTACCCACTGTCTCTCTCTGGTATGATCACTCAGTCAAAGATTTAGTGTTGAAACACCATAGGCAGGAAAGGAAAGAGACAACGCTAGAGTGGGGATGGTTTGCAGTGGTGAGAAGCGTGAAGGAAGGGTGTGAGTTGTTGACCTTCATTGTGTCACAATGACCTTACAGAAGTGGAAACAGTTGATAATTCCTCATACCATCCCATGTATGTAGCTACAGAAGGCTACTAGGAACAGGTGGGAGACCCAGTGGCCAGGGGAGTGTCGTGAGGTCATAATCACACAAGTTCCTGATACTACACAAACATAACTAGTATCTGCAGCATGTGGAGCACCCTGAGTCTGAGAGACTGAAACAAACTGGCTGCCCAGACAAAATATGTTTTTCAGGACAAGAGCCCCTTTCATTTAGGGTTACTGGAATCTTCATGGTCAAAGCCACAAAGTAGCACAACATACTGTATCAAGACTGATAGGTTTCACTATAATAAATAATAATAACACTGTACTATTGTTTTCAAATATCAACTTAGTTTATTTTCATTCATAATATTAAGCTTCATATATACAGTTCACATAGTTCATATACTGCACTATCAAACTTCAGAATTAGAATTAACTGTGAATTTACATGAAAAAGGTTGATATTGCGTTCTGCATTGATTCAACTGGGCTCAGTATTCAGGAATTCTACACAGCACTGACTTTTAAATATACACTGAGTGTACAAAACATTATGAACCTGCTCTTTCCATAACATAGACTGACCAGGTGAATCCAGGTGAAAGCTATGATCCCTTATTGATGTCACTTGTTAAATCCAATTCAATCAGTGTAGATGAAGGGGAGGAGACAGGTTAAAGAAGGATTTTTAAGCCTTGAGACAATTGAGCTATGGATTGTGTATGTGTGCCATTCAGAGGGTGAATGGGCAAGATAAAATATTTAAGTGCCTTTGAACGGGGTATGGTAGTAGGTGACAGGCGAATCGGTTTGAGTGTGTCAAGAACTGCAACACTGTTGGGTTTTTCACGCTCAACAGTTTCCTGTGTGAATCAATGGTCCACCACCCAAAGGACATCCAGCCAACTTGACACAACTGTGGGAAGCATTGGAGTCAACATGGGCCAGCATCCCTGTGGAACGCTTTCGACACCTTGTAGATTCCATGCCCAGACGAATTGAGGCTATTCTGAGGGCGGGCGGGCGGAGTCAATATTAGGAAGGTGTTCTTAATGTTTTGTACCCTTACTGTATAGGCAAAAAGGGATTGAATGATGTGATACCACCACAAGGTGGTGACACTGCACATTGTGTGTGTGTGTGTGTGAGCTACCAAGCGTGCATACTCAGGCGATATATCCACAGTGATAAGGTAAAGTAAAGTGCCACCACAGCATAACTGATTGTCATCATGTCATAGACTAACTACAGCAACAGCACAAAGTAGAAACACTGTATGATTAAAAAGGTAGCAAGGCACTGTGCGTGTTCATCCTATGTGCTGACCAGTGTAGGCTAGGATTGTGTGTCGACCTGTGAGTCCACCTCTGCTGTGTGGGCGCCGCTCTCTCAGAGTGAGAAAAGCTGGTCATGGGAGCTCTCCTGTTGCCGGGCGGATTGTGGCGGGGGCCTGGACGAGACGGGGGGCAGGCTGCGTGTTGAGGGAATGTGGTCGGCCACCTTCGCCCTTTCCTCCAGAAACTTGTCAAACTCTAAGAGAGAGGGAGGGAGAGAGAGTTAATGGTGTGGGTATTGCAACACTGATTTCTACTGGCACAGGCAGAAATAGGATCTTGGCAATGATGATGGTTAAAAAGGGAAGAAAGAAAAACAAGTTGAAGACTTACCCTCACTGGTCAGCCCTTCCCTGTCCCCAGCCTCTGGTTGCTGTAACACGAAACAAGTACATGTAGCAACTCATGACAACCCATTAATGTTTGTTGAAAGGACAAGAAAACACACCACATTAAAAAGTCACCGTCTTACCGTTTCTGTGTCCGCAGACAGCCATCTGTCAATGTCTTCCAGGGTGGAGTTCTTACGGTTAGGCTTAGATGAAGGAATCTGAGGGAGGGAGAGAAATAGAACGAAGAAGAAGGGTAGAAAATAAACAAAGAGATGTTAATGAGTCTTAGTAGAACGGCACAAGGCAGATGCTTCTAGTGGTGTCTAGTCCTCAGGACCTCAGCGTGTGAATGCATGTTTTCATTCAAACCCATTTCTGCATCATCGCTAATAGAGTAGTTACTTAACTGTTATTTAACTGTGACTGTGTGTTGGACATTGGCTCATTGCTGTTGTCTGCATCGAAACGGTCCCTTCCTGAAAGTTACACCCTTATTGCTGGCAATAACAGGATGATTCAGAATGTAAATCAACAGTAAATTGAAGGCCTTTAAGTCAGTATTTTTAGACCAAAATATATATCCTTCCCTGTGCTTTCCGTAGGATATGTTATGTTGACTGTAGATAATGAATGAGAAACATTACCGCTCCAGTAACCTGCAACCTGGTGTCCAGGGCTCCAGCCAGTCCTTCCACTGCTCCTGGGTCCTCGTACCGCATACTGGACACACACACACACACACACACACACACACACACACACACACACACACACACACACACACACACACACACACACACACACACACACAGTACATAACACTACATCAGTGGAGGCTGCTGAGGGGAGGACGGCTCATAATAATGGCTGGAACGGAGCAAATGGAATGCCATGTGTTTGATGTATTTGTTACCATTCCACCTATTCCGCTCCAGTCATTACCACAAGCCTGTTCTCCCCAATTAAGGTGCCTACCAACCTCCTGTGGAACTACATACCATAATATGTATAACAGTCATCTTTGGTGTACATTTCTTCGGTGTGTTTTGATATTTGTATACTGATATAACACCCTACAGCACTACAGTGAAGGTGTCTCACCTCTTCCTCTGATCGGCCAGAGAGCTGCCCCTGGTCTGGGCAAACATGTCAAACTCATCCTCCTCTGGTGCACCTGATACACAGAGACAGGGTATGAGAGGGAAACCAACCAGAATGATCACCTTCTTTTATTCAATGACCACAGCCTCAGAGTAGTCAGTTTAGCCTTTTAGATCATAATGAATACCATTATATGGACAGGGAGGACCTGATCCTAGATCAGCACTCCTACTCTGAGACTTTCTGAATATGGGCTCAGTTTTTTTGTGTAGATTATTTTTGTCAATGTTTTTTCATACTTTGGTAATGTTAAAGAGAGATTAAAGAAATGGAGTCCAACAGGCCTTGAGTTTTAATGCAAAACAGATGCTACTCACTGTGGTTGGCTGCCTGCCTCTGATTGGAGGGAGCGCTGAATGCGGGTTGGCTGGCGGCCGCAGAGGTGGTTGCTGGTTGGCTGAGGGACTGGGGCATAGGGCTGAGGTCAATGAGGTTGGCCCTGGCAGGAGTCTGCTATAAGGCAGAGGGAGAGGATACATTGAGTCGTGTTCAGGATGGTGCAGCGTATTGAACGTTGCAATTAGAGTTGCCATAAAGAGAGCTGAAATGACTGCTTACTGTACATGTCAGAGAGGCATGTCTTGTCAACAGAATATATTTATATCTGAACATTGTGCCCTACTGAACTAGATGTATAAACACAAATACAAAAACAAAAGTGACAGATGGCTGTACCTGCTCTGTAGTTGTTCTCTGGGCCTTATTGAGTCTGTCAAACCTAAACAACATGGGAGAAAAATAAAAAGACGATGTATAATCTTGAAAGCACAGACTTCAGAACATGGACAATCTGTACTGTGTAATACATGTGCCTCATTTTCAATGTCTTTGAGGGCAAATCAGTTTGTGAATGCAAGTAGCCGAGTCGTGTGTGTGTGTGTGTGTGTGTGTCAGACCTAGGTTCAAATACTATTTACGGTATTTCAATTATTTTCAAAGATATTTGGAAGTAAGTAATTAGATATTTTTTATTTGAAAAGATAAGTAGTTCAATATTAGAATGTACAGGATTTGGAAATACACTTGGAAAGTATTGGTATGTATTTGAAAATACTCATATACAGTCCTCTGATTCAAATACAATCCCATGCACAGGTATTTGAAAATAGTATTCGAAAGAAGTAAATGAAAATACTTCCAAATAGTAGGCTATTTATAGGAAATTATTTGAAAATACTCTCAATAGAAGTAGTTGATTCGAGCCACATTATTTGAAAATACTCAAATACACAGAACATAAGTATTTAAATAACAAATACACATGTATTTGAACCCAGGACTGGTGTGTGCGTGTGTGTGTCTGCCTTACCTGTCGTAGCGGATGAAGGCATTGTTTAAGTCATCGTTGACGACCAGCAGCTCCTCTATGAGGCCCTCGTCCACCAGCCTGGGGATCAGCTCCACCACACGGCTCTGCATCTCCCTACACACCTGGTACAACTGCTGCTCACACAAACAGAGGGGGTTGGGAGGGACGGGGGTTAGAGGGAGTGGAAGAGAGAGAGAAAGCAAGAGAGAGCGACAGAAGGAGGGCGGGGGTGAGAGTGAGAACATCCAGGAATCACTACCTGATAACACTGAATTTGAATATATGACAGAAGTGCATTTTAATACATGAAGGCAATAACCAGGGAAAGAGACCACAAGAAGAAACGGAGAGAGAGAGAAAGAGAGAGAGCGACAGAAGGAGGGCGGGGGGGAGAGAGAGAAAGAGAGAGAGCGACAGAAGGAGGGCGGGGGGGAGAGAGAGAAAGCGAGAGAGCGACAGAAGGAGGGCGGGGGGGAGAGAGAGAGAAAGAGAGAGAGCGACAGAAGGAGGGCGGGGGGGAGAGAGAGAGAAAGCGAGAGAGCGACAGAAGAGGGCGGGGGGGGAGAGAGAGAGAAAGCGAGAGAGCGACAGAAGGAGGGCTGGGGGGAGAGAGAGAGAAAGAGAGAGAGCGACAGAAGGAGGGGCGGGGGGAGAGAGAGAAAGAGAGAGAGCGCAGAAGAGGGCGGGGGGAGAGAGAGAGAAAGCGAGAGAGCGACAGAAGGTAGGGCGGGGGGAGAGAGAGAGAAAGAGAGAGAGCGACAGAAGGAGGGCGGGGGGGAGAGAGAGAAAGAGAGAGAGCGACAGAAGGAGGGTGGGGGGGAGAGAGAGAGAAAGAGAGAGCGACAGAAGGAGGGTGGGGGGGGAGAGAGAGAGAAAGAGAGAGAGCGACAGAAGGAGGGTGGGGGGAGAGAGAGAGAAAGAGAGAGAGCGACAGAAGGAGGGCGGGGGGAGAGAGAGAGAAAGAGAGAGAGCGACAGAAGGAGGGCGGGGGGGAGAGAGAGAGAATGAGAGAGAGCGACAGAAGGAGGGCGGGGGGGAGAGAGAGAGAAAGAGAGGGAGTAGAGATGCATGAGAGGAAGAAAGACGTGCAGACAGACCTGCAGTAGCTCTGAGTCCTCCTGCTGGCTCTGTCCAGGCGTCAGCTGGTTCAACATCTCAGTCATCACAGTCAGGTTCCCCCTGACCAGAGCCAGGTCAACTCTCAGCTTCTGGGCCTGAAAGTTCATCAACAGAAGCATCCTTAGGCTCTTTGTCAACTCTTTCTTAAATGAGGCTTGGGGAAAGACATGAGGAGAGGAGGAAAATAATCATAGAGGCTATTGAGGAGGCCTTACCACTTTAACCACGGTGGTACATACAGACATTTCCCCTAGGCGCTGGTTTAAACATGGGCTTTTCCCAACAATTTGAAGAGATAAATCATAAGTGGTCCTAAACAGAACCAACACTTAGGGCCTCGTTTAACTGTAGCTAGTATTTACTCACACTGTGTGTACATGAGTAGTCCCACAATATCAACAGGGTAATGCATTTACAATCTATTCAGTACCTGTTGAGGAGAGATGGAGATGGGTCCATCGCTGAGCTGTGGGGGCAAGGCAGTCAGTGCAGCCTGGGTAGGGGCCAAGGCAGCAGGGGCAGCAGGGCCACGGGGAGTCTGACTCTGAGGAGGTGGAGCTGGCACTGTAACAGAGGAGTCGTTCTCTGGAATGCTCTAGGAAACAACAGAAAGACAGCAATGTAATAGAGTCAGTTAGCACATGATTTGATCCAAAACAACAGACATGGCTCATGCAGGAATGCAAACATCATGCTCCAACCAACTGAGCCATCGGAACCTCAACATAGTAAAGGGTATGTTTTGTGGGAAGGGTGTGTGTGTGTGTTTTTGTGTAAGATAAATAGTGATCTATCCAGAGATAACAGACATGAAGAGTCTAAAGGTCAACGTTCAGCAGGTGACGTGCCTCACCATAGAATTACATAAGGAATCAACAGTAAATTAGAGGATCTCTTTGAGCCTTACCCTGAGGGGAGTGTGGATGGGGGAGAGGGCGTCCAGGTCGGTCATAGGGAACTCCAGGCCCCGCCTCCTCAGATCCTCATACACACAGACCACACCTCCTAGGGAGGGAGAGCTACGGAACGCATCGGCCCACGCCTGAGAGAGAGAGACAGAGAGAGAGAGAGAGAGAGAGAGAGAGAGAGAGAGAGACAGAGAGAAACAGATAGAGAGAGATAGAGAAAGATAGAGAGTGTGAGTGGGATAGAGTTTGAGAGGGGAGGAGGATAAGAAGATACTTTATGATAGACAAAGGCATGTTTTCTCTGTTCATTCATAAAGTTCTGAGTTTGTAATGAAGGTTGTCATTCCAACCAATTTCTCCATTTCCTCTAATTGATATGACATTAAATGACATTAAATCACTGCATTAACCCTATCATAACTTATAACATGGGCCTCTACAGTCTTGCAATAGTGGGATAATGTCCAAGCCAAATCAACAGTCAATAAACAGCGGAGTTGTACAGTACCTGTATACAATCCAAATGGATCGTCTGAAATGGCCCCCTATTGGCCAGAGCCCAAACGTAGTGCACTATATACGTGCCATTTCAGACTCAACCTATGAGATGCAACCCACCTGTATGAGGCTCAGCACCCGGTCGTGCAGTGTGGTGGGAGGGTTGTTCTTGGGCAGGATGGCTCGTACCAGAACCCCCTCCACAAAGTCCTGGGACGCCACTAGAACGTGGAACCGATGGCCACAGTTCTTCACGCACGCCTCCAGAACCTAAAGATAGATACAGGAGGAACGACTGAGAATACACACACTGCAAGGAACAAACTGTACTGTACTGTATACAGCCCCATTTATCAATCAATATTTATAAAGCCCTTTTTACATCAGCAGATGTCACAAAGAGCTATACAGAAAACCCAGCCTAAAACCCCAAAGAGCAAGCAATGCAGATGTAGAAGACTCCCTAGAAAAGGCAGAAACCTAAGAAGAAACCTAGAGAGGAACCAGGCTCTGAGGGGTGGCCAGTCCCCTTCTGGCTGTGCCGGGTGGAGATTATAACAGTACATGGCCATTAAGGTCAGATTTTTCTCCAAGATGTTCAAACTTTCATAGATGACCAGCAGGGTGAAATAATAATCACAGTGGTTGTAGAGGTTGCAACAGGTCAGTACATCAGGAGAAAATGTCACTTGGTTTTTCATAGCCGGGCATTTAGAGGTTGAAATAGCAGGTGCGGTTCAGTCACTCCCTGAAGTCACTCAATTCCAGTCTCGGGAATCCGCAGTGAGAGACCCAGATGATTCAACATTCCCCATCAAGAGAATGCCAATCTTTAGAATATGGAATAGAAAGAACTGAACTAATACTCACTGTCAGAGCCAACATGATCTCCCTGAAGCTCTTATTACCCACAATCCTCTTCTTTATGGCTTTGACTGCATCTTTGGGTCTAGGGAGGAAAACCACACATACGCACTTCCAGCATCAATTCACAGAAAGACTGTATTTATTGTTATCATATTATCAGTGGGGGTAACTGTTTGACATCGAAAAAGATGCTGTACAAAACGGTCATCAATAAAAACACAATAGAAAACAAATGGCCTAAGTGACTGCATCCATAGTTACCCTTCGTCTGTCTCGTTGATGATGTCACATATCTCCATGTTAAGGGCCCAGTCCTCTGAATGCAGCACGGCGCTGGTGGCTCGTTCTGTCAACATCAACAGGAGATATTATCCCCTTATTATGACTGTCTGAGACGACAAACAATATGATATTATACTCTTATTATGACTGTCTAAGACAACAAAGAACATGGATGATTAATCATGTCTACTGTATGCAGATAGACAAACAACATGGATGATTATGCAGATAGGCAGACTATAAAGTCACATTTTATACCCCAGCATTATCGATACTTATTAATACATATCAATGCAGCTAGATATCAAGATAACACATAGGATACCACCTAGCCTATGAGCGACCGTAAACGTAGGCCTACTGTCAAACCTATTCAGCAGGCATTGGCCTACACATAATTGTTATAAACAATTGTTGGTTGATTTTAATTGAATAATGATTAAGTTTAAAGTATTTACAATCTAGCAAATTATCTAACCTCAGCTAAATGTGATCAAAGTCAACCCCTTGGCATTTATTGAGGAATGTTTGTTCCCATTTCATCCTCTAAGCACTCCACTGTGGCCCCTTTTGTTGGTCCTTATAATTCTCTGCTAATCTCCCTCATTTCCCTCTCACCCTCTCACCCACCCTCTCTCTCTCTCTCTCTCTCTCTCTCTCCCCCTATTTCATGTGACTGTCAGCTGGTTCTGTTCGCATTCCCTCCAAGGTAGTCTAAACATATGACATGTGAGAGAGAGGGAGAAGTGGATGAAGTAAGAGCGTTTGTGTGTGTGTGTGATATCAGGAACAAAAGATCAGCAAGGATGTCAACACTTTCACTAGACTGGACAGTAGACATAACTGTCCATAGCTCATCTCCATCAAAAGACCTGTGACATAAAAACATTATCTGCATTTGATATAGACAGTTTGTTCCAGATATCAATGACGTAATGATGTGGAAGTTGACCAACTTTGACTGCAATAATGCAATGTCATTTAAGAAACCAGGGATCTAGGATTTAAATGAATTGTGAAATGTTCATAGGTTAGGCTGATTATAAATTCAGTCTTGAAATGGGGTCTAGTTTAAAACGGTTTGTGAGCCAAAGGGCTGCTTTGGTCCAGTTTTGAATAAGGAAGTAAGCAACAACTTCTATGGCCCTAAACCCACCCATTGACATCAGTGATTCGTCAATATTGCTGACATGTCACCACAGGTTACGAATCAAATGGGCGATAAGGGTCATTTAGACTGCCTCTAGTATTTGATTGGTTTGAGAACACATCTTTCAAGGCAGATATCGATATTAACATTTATACGTATATAGTACTTAGCAAATAAAAGTAGCTGCAATTCCTCCATTTCTGTCTGAACCTCTATAACAAAATAGCCCCTGTAACTTTGACAAAATGTATTAAACGTTTGAACAGAAATAAATAGCTAGCTAGATACAGTTTGCAACTTTCTAAAGTTTAGTTGTGATGTCATTCAACATTGCGGCTCGAGCGACGCATAATTAGCTTGATGGCTCTGCTTTGAACAGCTTTCTGCAATATTTCTCCCGACTTACCAATTCGTTGTCCAACAGGAGAAGAGAAGGGGCTTCCTATAAGAAACTCCATATTTTCCACAAAGTCGTAATTTCAAAACGGTACTTTTTTCACTACCAATACCCTGTTATTTCCCCGTTAGTAAGTAGACCTGTGTGACGCTAGACACAACAAAGATTAGCCAGAATAGTTGATTTCGCCTTCAAAATAAAGATTCCCCCATTGCAAACGGATACAAACAGTGGAATCAAGCCATATTTGGACTAGATAATGCTAAACAAGGTTATAATGTTATTACATAATTAAAAATGAAGTGCAATAATTCATAATTTGTGTCAATAAACATATATTTGTTGAAATCCCACTGTGGCTGTATTAGACCACATAATTGCCTTGGGGGCATACTAATATGTACTGTACAGCCTAAACTAGAGATTGTGCTCCCATGAAATGGAGTATCAGCCTATTCAGTGACACCCACAGAAAACTACTTTGCTCTTATTAGGGAACTTTTACTGTGGGAAATCAGCTCATTGTGCGTATTGAACATTCATATTGGACTGTGCAAGAGCTAAGACACTAATATTTGTGTAAATTCTACACAGTTGTGTTCTGTGAGTGTCAGTCATTCACAATATGAATGTTCAACACACAATAGACTGACTGGAAAGGTGATTTACATTTTACATTTACATTTACATTTCCCACAGCCAAAGTCCTGCAATAAGAGCTAAGATACTAATATTTGTGTAAACTCTACACAGTTGTGTTCTGTGAGTGTCACTGAGTAGGCTGATACCACATTTCATGGTCCCAAGATCCATAGGTAAGGCTGTAGAGCGCATATAATTGTGCCACCAATGCAAGTCTAATACATCCACAGTGCGGTTTCAAAATAATTTAACTTTTTGGTGTCAAATTAGCTAATTATTGTCTTTTAAACTTTTATTTATATAACAACATTCCGACCTTGTTTAGTATTGCCTAGTCCAAATATGTCATTAATCCACTATTTGTATCCGTTTGAATCACTTTCAATGGGAGACATTTATTTTGAAGGCGAACCGCAAATTCCAGTATTGTGGCTAGCTTCACATGTTGTAGGTTGATCTGTGGCGGCGCGGTCACGTGAATACCACCAGGCCAGGCTATGATTATAAGAAGGATGACATACTGTATTATAAGGTGGATGTGTGGGCAGGACAGGGGACACACTCTTTTCACGGCACTTCGAGACAAATTGATTTTCGTAGCAGGTTAAGAGAGCATTTTTGCTAACCCTTACACTTTTCCCAACCTTTAACCTCAGTCTTCTAACCTGCTACATAAATTCTCCTAAGTAAGTTTTCCTAGCCCTCTACGAAAAAGTCACTTCGGTATCGAAGTGCCATGAATAGTGTTTCCCATGTGGACACTCAGCAGTGGAGGCAGCTGAGGGGAGGATTTAATGGCTGGAACGGAGCAAATGGAATGGCATCAAACACATGGATACCACGTGTTAGATGTATTTGATACCATTCCACTCATTCTTCTCCAGCCATTACCACGAGCCCGTCCTGCCCAATTAAGGTGCCACCAACCTCCTGTGGTGGATGCCAGTCAGTGAGATATGCCCTCATGTGTTAATATCTAGTCTTTAGGTATAAAACAAATACTTATTCAAACAAATACCCAAGAGGACAAGTGAGACAGACTGGTATAGAAGCCTACATGGACTAGGTCCCAATACTGTACTCAATTTGCTATAAAGAAAACACCCAAACACAAAATATTACAATGTTCTCCACTTTATTCAACACTTATGTGCAAGACAGTAGTCAAAGTGTCAGTCAACAAGGTTTGAGTTGCATACAAACTGTGGTGTCACTCTTTCTAAACCCCTCCTTATACGATTGTCATCATCACTAAATCAATCAATACAAATCTATGACAGTATTGACATTCAGCAATAATTACACTATGAACCGGACACAATTTAATATTTTCAAATAAAATTAACTCTATGGTTATAATATATTGCAGATAAATGATAATGTGCGCTTTAGCCTACCTGACACTACAAAACGGATAAAGATTGATGCATTTATGATACAATACATTTGCGGTTTTAGCACCATTCGTTGTGATATTGATGTTGAGCAATTTATAACCACAGGACTCAGTTCCTATGTGCCTCTAGTTTCTCCTCAATATTACAAAAGCTTGGGTCAGACATGCCTTTTCTTACATTACCCAAAACATATAGTTACAGCCGGCACTACGAGTACTGTAGCTACCAATTTCACTTGTGGCTGGTCTCGTAAAGTCCCATAACTCGGTCTGCTCCCTAAAACGTGGACGAAACCAGTTCGTTTTTGTTTTCTATGCCCTTATAAGGACACTGTAGGGAGTAGTTGATCCCTTCTCAAGAATGTAGCTTCATGATGGTGAAATGGAAGAGAGTATTTTCTCTCTCTCCAGTTTGTATAGTAAAGAGTCTGTTTAGAAGGGAGGTGGTCCATAGTATGCGGTGTATGCTGCAACGATGCCTGCTGTCTCCGCCATGTGCTCACAGGCCAGGTTGAGCTCACACACCTCACTCAGACTGGACGAGAGAGAGAGAGAGAGAGAGAGAGAGAGAGAGAGAGAGAGAGAGAGAGAGAGAGAGAGAGAGAGAGAGAGAGGAGAGAGAGAGAGAGGTATGTAGAGTGAGAAGAGAGAGCAGAGCAGAGAGAGGAGAGCGAGAGAGCGAGAGAGAGAGAGAGAGAGAGAGAGAGAGAGCGAGAGAGAGAGAGAGAGAGAGAGAGAGAGAAAGTTGGGGTTAATTGACTTCTTGTTTCATGTGTTTTTTGTGTGTGTTTTTTTACAAAATAGGACAAATATTCTGCATATTTTGCTCCAGTCATTTGGCTTGTATGAAGTACATTAAGAGTGTGGCCTAGATGTAAATGTGTAGGGTAAAATGTAAACAGATTATTTGGTCTCTTGGCGGTGACGATGCAATTAACATTCCACACTTTTTCCCAAGCATCATTGCAACGCCACACATTCTAACACCAAATCATACGTGAGGTAACACCCTTGACTGTTAAACGACTAAATGAGGCTTTCAGGAAAAGGAACACCCATAATTATAGTAGGTCACATTTGACATATGGTTGTGACAGCTGTTTGCTGGCAGATAGCCATAGTAGAGTGTGTGTAGTGTAGTGTTGAGTGATGGTAGCAAAAAGCTTTAGTAAAAGTGCTGTAGTATTGAAGTAGTGTACTACAGTACTGGTAGGGCATTTGTCTATTTGCTATAGGGAATGTTGTCTGAATGTCGAATCGTCTATTAACTTGTACATCTTCTATCGAGTAATGGTGGAGTAGTTCTGTGAAGGGTGTGTGTTCTAGAATTTCTAGTTCTAAAAGGGTATTGGAGCCTACCTCTCCACCTGGGTGAGGGTGAAGGCAGCAGCTGCAGGTCCAGCCGCCCTCTTTCTCCTCAGCAGCACTGAGGCCAGGTCTCTCTTCATGATCACCTCTGGCTCTGTAGCTGCAGCTGGGTCCTCTGCTGTAGCTGGAACACCTACACACACACACACACACACACACACACACACACACACACACACACACACACACACACACACACACACACACACACACGTCAACCCTTATACAGTACAAATGTGGTTTTACTTCCTATTATAGAGCAGCAACGGTAGCCTATATTAATGAACAGTTTCACTTCCCATTTTTTGTGTCAACACAAACATGTACACATACTCCTACACATTTCCTGATACCATTACAAATACAAACACAAAGAAGGCTACACTCTTCCCTTTCTATGCAGATCTGCATACACAGCATACACTTTCTGCTAGGATCAATGCGTCTGTTAACTTTACATCAGCACACTGCTGAGCAATGACACCATTTAGAGGAGTTCGAGAGATGGCAGACCTTCAGCACTAGCTGACTCTGAAGAGGAAGACGAGGAAGAGGATGAGGAAGAGTCAGAGGAGTCTGAGGCAGAGGAGTCAGAGGCTGATGAGTCGGAAGCCGAGGAGGAAGAGGAAGAAGCTGATGAAGATGCGGAGGAGTCTGCGGCTGGTGCTGGTTCAGCGGGAGGGTCAGGAGCAGGATCGACAACCACATCAGGATCCAAGTCTGTTGAACGGAGAAAATTACATTGGCTAATGCTTTAAGGCTTGTTATAAGCATGTATGAGCTTTTATAATGTCTTACTATAAAACGTGTTACGTTAGTTCTCTCGTTAGTTAATCTCTTTCAGAATACATCGTCACAATCAGAAGTTATGAAACAACACAATATGCTTTCCCAATTTACCGTTCATGGACAGAGAGACCGACAGGACAGCACAAATGGTCAGGAGAGTCAGAGACTTCATGTTGTTTTTGGGTGGTTGTCTTGCTGCCTTCTTGAACTACCAGTGAGTGGTAATAGTATAACTTTGGTTCTTTCTCTGCTTCTTTCAATGCGTTCTTCTCTGTATATCCCTCCATTCCCTCCATGGTCAATATATACTGAAGTCATCCCCCTCCCAATCAGATACATACAATGGTCAGACTATGTGATTGGTTAGGGAATCGAATGTCAACTTGTCCCACTTCCACATTCCTGGACACTCATCACACAACAACCCACACACCCGGCAGGCACAGGAACCGGCTAAAACACACCCACACAAACATACACACTCGATGTGGCATACATACATGTACAAGTATTTGATCCCCTGCTGATTTTGTACGTTTGCCCACTGACAAAGAAATGATTAGTCTATAATTTTAATGGTAGGTTTATTTGAACAGTGAGAGACAGAAAAACAACAAAAAAATCCAGAAAAAACGCATGTAAAAAATGTTATAAATTGATTTGCATTTTAATGAGGGAAATAAGTATTTGACCCCTCTGCAAAACATGACTTAGTACTTGGCGGCAAAACGCTTGTTGGCAATCACAGAGGTCAGACGTTTCTTGTAGTTGGCCACCAGGTTTGCACACATCTCAGGAGGGATTTTGTCCCACTCCTCTTTGCAGATCTTCTCCAAGTCATTAAGGTTTCGAGGCTGACGTTTGGCAACTCGAACCTTCAGCTCCTTCCACATATTTTCTATGGGATTAAGGTCTGGATACTGGCTAGGCCACTCCAGGACCTTAATGTGCCTCTTCTTGAGCCACTCCTTTGTTGCCTTGGCCGTGTGTTTTGGGTCATTGTCATGCTGGAATACCCATCCACGACCTATTTTCAATGCCCGGGCTGAGGGAAGGAGGTTCTCACCCAAGATTTGACGGTACATGGCCCCATCCATCGTCCCTTTGATGCGGTGAAGTTGTCCTGTCCCCTTAGCAGAAAAACACCCCCAAAGCATAATTTTTCCACCTCCATGTTTGACGGTGGGGATGGTGTTCTTGTGGTCATAGGCAGCATTCCTCCTCCTCCAAACACGGCGAGTTGAGTTGATGCCAAAGAGCACTATTTTGGTCTCATCTGACCACAACACTTTCACCCAGTTCTCCTCTGAATCATTCAGATGTTCATTGGCACACTTCAGACGGGCATGTATATGTGCTTTCTTGAGCAGGGGGACCTTGCGGGCGCTGCAGGATTTCAGTCCTTCATGGCATAGTGTGTTACCAATTGTTTTCTTGGTGACTATGGTCCCAGCTGCCTTGAGATCATTGACAAGATCCTCCCGTGTAGTTCTGGGCTGATTCCTCACCGTTCTCATGATCATTGCAACTCCACGAGGTGAGATCTTGCATGAAGCCCCAGGCCGAGGGAGATTGACAGTTATTTTGTGTTTCTTCCATTTGCGAATAATCGCACCAACTGTTGTCACCTTCTCACCAAGCTGCTTGGCGATGGTCTTGTAGCCCATTCCAGCCTTGTGTAGGTCTACAATCGTGTCTCTGACATCCTTGGAGAGCTCTTTGGTCTTGTCCATGGTGGAGAGTTTGTAATCTGATTGATTGATTGCTTCTGTGGACAGGTGTCTTTTATACAGGTAACAAACTGTGATTAGGAGCACTCCCTTTAAGAGTGTGCTCCTAATCTCAGCTCGTTACCTGTATAAGAGACACCTGGGAGCCAGAAATCTTTCTGATTGAGAGGGGGTCAAATACTTATTTCCCTCATTAAAATGCAAATCAATTTATAACATTTTTTACATGCGTTTTTCTGGATTTCTTTTTTGTTATTCTGTCTCTCACTGTTCAAATAAACCTACCATTAATATTATAGACTGATCATTTCTTTGTCAGTGGGCAAACGTGCAAAATCAGCAGGGGATCAAATACTTTTTTCCCTCACTGTACATGCAACCCATATAGCGGAACCAATCAAATGAAACAAGTAGGGGTGTGTAAGAGGGTTTCTATAAATTGAATTCTTCTTCTATGTAACCCCCTTGATTGCACAGAAAATATTAAATATGTTCTAGAATGGACCTTACATAATCATCACACCAAGAATATTGTGTCTAAAATCAGAGAAATAAAGACAAATGCTGGTTTGAAAATTAAATATAGGCTTTGTGTTGAGAAATATGATTAGAAACATAGGCTACTTCTGGCATTGTTATTGTTGTAATGTACATGTAATTTACAAACTAAAAGGAAACACCATCATCAAACATCTTCATTCAACTGGGTTGAGATCACCCCTCTTTCAAAGTCAAAGATCTCAGATCTTGTCACAAACAAAATAAAGGTCAACTGGGCCTGCCCAGCTTTTTTATACATGACCCTAAGCATGATGGGGACCAGGAACCACACCTGTGTGGAACTGGTTTTAATGTCTATGGTGTGGAAGCAACTGCTTTCAATATACTTTGTATCCCTCATTTATGCAAGTGTTTCCTTTATTCTGGCAGTTACCTGTATGTGCATGCTAAATTAAGTCCTGTAAAAGTTATATTCATTCACGCCAATTATTCTGAATTCCAACTGATAATTTCCCCCTATTTCGGTCTAAATGGAATCAATCCTGAAATTCCCCTGAATTCGATTCCATCCCCACCATTCATCAGTGTAGTATAAATAATCCCAGCAGCAATACCTCAAAAAGCCAAACGGGTCAGAATAGAAGCAATATCCCTCTAAATAAGACATTGTCTATAAATTGTGATTGGATTTAAATCAGGCCCCAGCCAGTGGCGGGTAGCGAAAACTCTGGGTCTGAGTTGCTGAGAGGCTCAGCTCCTCGGCTGCTCGCCTCCAACTCCAAAAAACCCCAAACTACAGCCCGGGTTTACCACACACTACTAATCGAGTGACTGGGAACAGCACTGAGACTCATTATGTGACAGAGATTAATTACAGGTCTACCAGTGTCCCACCGAAGCCACAGCCGTTCACTATATAAAGGCTGGGGCCATTCAATTCCAGCCAGATCCACAGCCACGCGGTTTAAACGAACTTAACGACCCAACTGTTACAGGTATAAATAGCCTACCTGGGTTGCCCATATGTTAAATGCACAATGATGTGTATGATATGCATATGGATTGGATAGATTTGTTTTGGTGGGGGCCTATTATAGACTATGGTTGGTCGATATATAGAGATACAAGCTTGCGTCTGCTGATATCGGCTGATATCATATTTCGTTTTCCAGACTGTGGACAGAGAGTAAATCCATATAGAAAGGTAAATATGGTAGATAATCCAATATGTCTTGATGTATATATTTATATATCTCGGAGCCTACACCAGAGGCCTGGTTGTGTGTTAAAATGAGAAATACCATTGCCCTCTGCTGTAGCAGACTGACCTTGTTGTCAATCTCTTGCTGGTCTGTTGTTATTCTTGGTGTTAAAGGGGCAATCTGTAGTTGCTACATCCATGTTTTGATGTAAATGAATTATATGTTGTCATTGATTCTTGAAGAATATAACTTATAAATGCCTCATGAGTTTAGTTCAACTGTCATACCTCATCAGAACCCAAAATATAAGCTTGTTATTCTCCAATGTTTATAAAGTGAACAAACACTGTATAGCCTCAAAACATCATTAAATTTTTTACATTTTTAGTCATTTAGCAGACGCTCTTATCCAGAGCGACTTACAGTTAGTGAGTGCATACATCATTTTTTAATTTTTCATACTGGCCCCCCGTGGGAATCGAACCCACAACCCTCGCGTTGCAAACGCCATGCTCTACCAACTGAGCTACATCCCTGCCGGCCATTCCCTCCCCTACCCTGGACCACGCTGGGCCAATTGTGCGCTGCCCCATGGGTCTCCCGGTCGCGGCCGGCTACGACAGAGCCTGGATTCGAACCAGGATCTCTAGTGGCACAGCTAGCACTGCGAACTATAATTAAAACTATAATTTTGATATCATGGATGGTCAATCCTTCAATTTGCTCTGTCTATGAACTTGAGACTGGTTATATATTTCTCAAGCCCCAACACTCAGCTTTTTATCGAGACGGGGAGAACGCTTTGTTTTGTTTAAACTGTTTGGTTATGTTTCAACCGCTGATTGCCGCTTTAAGGGTTTGTCTTGGATAGTGTGGGGTGTAATTACAATGTCTGGTCCAGCATCCATTTTTGTGGACGCGTTTCAATGCAGGGGGACAAAGTTTGAGAAAACATTTGCCACAAAGTCCCCGGTTGAAAAAAGAAAGATGCTAATGTCTAGGCTTTTCTGCGGGATCAGGTCTGTTTTAGTGTGCATTTTCGTCCTGGAAATCGCATAGAGTGCAAGCCACATAGTAATCCGGACAAATTGTTTTATGGTTCTCCCAGTGCCCAGACAGAGACAAAAATCTGCTTCTTTTATTTTGCATACATTGTAAAGTTTAAACAAAGTAGCTGTCAGGTGTGTTAGTATAGTGTGCATATCTCCCCTAGGGGACAATGTGGCCGTGTGCTATATAGTAACTATAATAATGTAATTATGCATTTGTAGTATGAGATGCTTCCATTGTCCTACTTGTTTAAACCATACACTCATTAATACAAAAGCCTTATGTATATAATCTTAAAGAGTGTTCAGTCTGAGCCATGACTGATATGAGGGGTTTTGAAATACCCTGTTGGACATTTTTTGTAACTACACTGCTATTTTTACACACCTAATGGTAGAGATGAGTAGGCCTAATTATCTGAAGCATCCTTACACATTGACCATGTA